TTTTCTTATTTTAGCCTTAAGGATAAAGCTAATAAAAGGGGGATATTATATTATAACCTAATTTAACCTTTTATAAAATCTAAGATAAGTATATACTTAAAATAAGGTTATTCTACTTTAGTTAATAATAAAAAAAAGCGCTAGCCTTAAATAGCTAAAGCGCTTTATATAATTACTTTTTAAAGTAATAAAGTAATAGGCTATATTACTTTATAAAGAAATAACTTACTATATAAGAATAAAATATTTATATTTATTAAATAGCTTAGATAGTTAGTTATTAATATAGTAATAAAATTAATTTTAGTATTTAACCTATTAGTTATATAATAAAATTGCCTAACTTATACCTTACTGCCTTTGTTAATATAAACTGTAATTAGTTTATTACCTTAAGAATTATACTATACTATTAGGTATAGACTAGTCTGTTATATATCTCTAATACTACTTATTAAGTATTTAATATATAATTAAAAATTCTTTATTATAAATAAAGTATTTAAGTTTTAGTTTATAAAATTTCTTAGAGAAGTAAGTAATAAGCTTAAATTTCTTTTTTAATATATTATTTAGTTAACTAAGTACTTCTTTAATTATATAATCTAAGGCGTTAATTTTAATTATAATAGGTTTATTTAGGTTAAATATTATAAGTACTAGTATACTTATAAAGGCTTATTAAAGGTATTTAAAGGTTATTTAAGTATTTTATATAAGTTTAAATTTAATATTTTTTTTTATTAAGTTTATAAATAGCGTAGTAATTTTTAAGAAGTCCTTAATAAAGCGTTAATAATAATTAGTAAGTCTTAAGAAGCTTTATACTTACTTAATATTTTTAAGTAGCTTTTAGTTATTAATTACCTTAAGTTTCTTTAGGTTTATTTAGATTTTACTTAGGGTAATAATATATCCTAAGAATATAATTTTTTATATATAAAAGTTATATTTCTTAGGTTTTACTAGGAGTTTATTATTTTAAAGTATTTATAATATTTTTTTAATATATTCTTTATATTTTTCTAAGTTTTTAAAATAGATAAAAATATTATTAAAGTATATAATAATAAAATAATCCATGTAGTTTTATAATATATAGTTAATTATTTTCTAAAAGGTTACTAGGGTGTTTATAAGTTTAAAAGGTATTATTTAGTATTTATAAAGTTTATATTTTATATAAAAGGTAGTTTTTTATTTATTACCTTTCTTAATTTAAATAAGGTTATATACTTTTTTTAAGTTTAGTAAAGTAAAAATATTAGCTTTTATAAATTAATCTTTAATTTCTAAAATTAGTAGTAATAATATAATATCTTTTTTAGTTATTATATTTAATTATTAATAATTTATAATAAGTTAAAGTTTACTATTCTTTTTTAGTATAAATATAATTAAATATTTTATTAAGGATTTAAAAGGTTTAATATAGCCCTTCTTTAGCTAGTCCTTAATTTATTTATTAAGTATCTTAAGTTTAGTAGCGCTAAGGTTATAAATCTTATTAAATATTAGAACTTTATTATCTATAAGTTTAATTTTATAGTCTTATTAGCTATATTCTAGTAATCTAGTGTTTAGTTTTTTATTAAAGACTAATATATACTAAAAGTTTATTAATATATTTTTTAGGTATTTTAGTATATCTTAGTCTTAGTAATATAATTCCTTAACCTATTATATAATTAAGTTAAGAAATCTAAGTTATTTTTTCCTTAGTTTCTTAATATATTTAATTATCCTTAGGGGCTTCTTTAGCTCTGTAAATTATACTTATTTTATAACTTTATTCTTTTTTATATATTTTTATATTTCTTTATATAATATAAGGGTTATTAACTTTATTATTAGGGATATTATAGTATTTTATTAATCCTCTTAATTTAATTATAGTATATCTTTAAAATTAATTAGTTTAGGATAAATTTACTATCTTACCTAGCCTTTAATTTAATTAATATTAGAATTACGTAACTTAAGCTAATTATATCCTAAAAGTATATTATATTTTATAATATTTATAATATTAAAGCTAAATATATCCTTAATTTTACTAAATTAAATTATAAGGAGATTAGTTTTATAATTAATAATTTTATTATTATAGGTAAATTATTACTTCTTAATACTTATAAGGGTATATAGTTTTTCCTTTTTATAATTATTTAACTATAGGTAGTTAACTAGTTAAGGCGTAATATAGTTTATTATAGCTCTAGAGTTTATATAGATTATAATTAGGTATCTTTCTAAAGTACCTAGTATTTAAAATTTTTATAGCTTTTTTCCTCCTAAAATAGTATTTAGGTTATAATATATTATTTTATCTATATTATTATAGTAACTATTATTAATATTATTTATTTTAGTAGTAATTTAGCTAGGTTTATTAATTTAAATATTATAGCATTTACACCAGGTATATCCAGGCTTAGGGGTATACTTATTAATAAATTTATAATATTTCTAAAAGTTATTTTAGTTAATTTATTATATCTTAGTATTATAACTATATTCTCCTATATATTTTTTAAAGTTAAATCCTTATTTAGTTAAGTTTTTAATAATATATATAAGTGCTTAGTATTAATATTTATATTTAATATAGTTATTTTAATTATAAAGTATAAATTCTTTTTACTAATAATTTAGAATATTATAATTCTTATATTATTTAGTAAGTTTATATAGGGTATATTATTTATATAATAATAGTTTATAGTTAGTAATATTAGCTTTATTATATTAGTTTATTAATAAGATATTATTTATATAATAAAGGGTTAATCTTTTTTTTATTATATTAATCCTTAGAATTCTTCCTTATTACTTAAGGAGTTCCTTAGGTACTAGGCTTATTGTTAAAGCTATACTTAAAAGATTATTATTATACTAATATATTATTTTTTATTACTCCTATTTTTAAATTACTTTTTTTTTATTTTTAAAGTTATTAGCTTTATAAAGACTAAGGTTATGGATTTTATTATTATTAAGGGTAAAGTAATCTAGGCTATTAGGTATTATTAATAAGTTATTATATAGTTCTTATTTATACAAATATCTAGGTCCTTAGAGTTCTTATAAACTATAATTTTTATATAGCTTAGTAATATTAAGGTTTTTATACCTTATTTTATATTACTATATTACTTATATAACTCTGTCTTATTATATAGCTTTTTCTTATTCTTATTTATAAAGTATTTTTTCTTCTTTTTTAAAGTTATACTTATTATTAAGTTTTATACTATTTTTAATATTTATAAATATAGTTTTTTATTATTTAATTTCTGCTTTTTCCTAAGTAACTTCTTTAAGTATATTTAGGGTATATATAGGTTTTTTAAGTACTTTAGGGAATTATCCTAACCCTTACTTATTATTAAGGTATATTTAGTATTAGTTATTATAATATATTAAAAAATATAATATATTATAGTTTACTAAGGGTTAAATAGTATTAATAACTTAGTTTTCCTTAGGTTTTAGAATAAGTATAAACTTTTTATTCCTATCTTTTTATAAAGCTTAATAGTATTTCTTAATATATCCTTTCTTTTTATAATTATAATACTTAACGTTTTTATATTATACCTTAATAATACTAAGGTTTATTAGTCCTAGCTTTCTATTATTATATATTATAATATAGTTATTTTGTTTTTTCCCTTAGTTAGCCTAGTTACGTTTAGGTTAAATATTATAAAAGTTTTTAGTTTTTTTATACTTTTTTTTTTTTTATTATTCTTAATTATAATTATTAATTTTAATAGCTTTCTATATATAGTTAATAAAGGTAGTTTATTTTTAGTTAATTTTAAAAAGTTTATCCTTAACTTTTAGCTTTACGCTATTATAGTAGACTTCTTTTTTAGTTTTTTTAATTTAGTTAACTTTAGTTAATAAGCGTAGGAAGTTTAAGGTATACTTACTTAATAATCCCTTCTAAATAATAAAGCAGAGTTTTTATTCTGCTTTTTATTATTTATCTACTATACTAAAGGACTTTTTAAATTACTTCTAGAATTCTTTATAATTAGTATAGATCTTATTAATCTATAGTTTAAGCTTAGTTTTATTAGTTTAGGCTTCCTTATAGTTTTATATAATAGGTTAAAACTAGGTTTTAGTATCTCCTATAAAATAACTTTTTATAAAAATAACCCTATCTTTATTATTTTTTAAGGTGCATGGGAAGTAACTAAAGTAAGTTATAAGTTTTATAAAAAATTTATCTATTTTACATAGGTTTTTTTTAAAAAACTTAGGTTTCTTTAATTTAAGAACTTCTTCTTTCTCCTATTAAGTATCCTAAAGTTTTTTAAGCTAGTTTTTAAGGGCTTTAAATTTAGCCTTTATTTTATTATATTTAACTTAATTAACTATATTAATTTAAGGGGCGTTTTTAAATTTAATATTATTGTTTTAATAATTACTTAAAGCTTAGCTTTTATAATTAATATTATTATTAAGTACTTTAAATATTAGTATATATATTTTTCCTATATTCTTTTATTACCTATAGGTCTAAGGTAACTATTTAAATAAAAGTTATTATTATATAATAAACTAGTATTTATATATTAATATAAATAGTGTTTTTTAAAAAATAAACCTTTAAACTAGTTCTAGGGTTTATATTAGCAAAGCAGTTAGGTTAGTAAATAGGTAATCTTATTACTAGCTAATATAAATAAGAATAAATATTTAAGTTTTAATTTAATTTATATTATAAATACTATAGCTATAATAATAACTAGCTATCTAAGTATTTTAATAAGTAATATAAAGTAAACTTATATACCTAGTTAGCTAGGCTGGATTATTTAACAAAGGTTAATAATCCTATAATAGATTATCTTATAGCTTTAATAATCTGCTTATAGGTTATTGAATTATTATAGTAATTTAATAATCTGTTCCTGATTAGTAGGTCGGTCTATTGTTTATCTGAAATCGGTTACCCTATAGGCCTATTGTCGCGATTATAAGAGCTAGGTCGTGACATAAAGACCTTTCTCGGTATTCGAATGCCTCCCTGAATTGCATAGCATTTTCGCAAGCCAAACACAGGTTATTGAGAATACCAGAGATTTCTTCATGATTTGCGGTGAGCACGCGTTTCCGTATATTCAGGACCTGGTTGAACTTCTCAATTTGTGAGTCAAAAAATCCTCGAAGTCCTTCGAGATGCGCACTGGTGTTTAGCATTCGGGCGTAGATGGCATCAATCTCATCTGATTCAGACTTCCTCTTCAACTTCTCACACGCGTCGAGGCCACCAATTAATATTGTTCGAGCCTCTATGTCATTACCTTTCTCGCAAAGAAACCTAATTATATCAGTCATATCCAGGGTTTGACACTGACTTTCAAAGCTAAATTTATGCTGAAGAGAACGTACCATGCGCAGTTACTAAGTAGACGAGCGTAGTGTAAAGATGGATAGATTGTGGGAGATGAGGACAGGTCAAGATAGTGTCGATTCAGCGTGACGATATGATTCAGAAAAAGATTGCCTTGTTCCCAGTCTCCATGTAGATACTGGCCTTCATCCCGCTTAGGGAATGCATGATATAAAAGGAAGGCTGCTTGATCAAATGCAAGCTGTTTTTGGCTTCCATTTAAAAAGTGGTGTGTCTCTTTTTGAATGAGTCGGTGAAGCGAAATATTCCCTTCAAAATCTTTTTCGATCAACGCCCAGTTTAGAAGGTCGCCTTGAACGGTTTTCAGCCTAAATGACTGATGTGAGCAAACTTAGATCGGCGAATTTGGGAGGACATATTAACACACTTAAAACCGCTTGAGCAAAAGAGAATATTACTAGGATATTCCTCTCGGGAGAGGTTTGGCATAAACAATGCCTCAGGAATTGTCTCTGCTGCCAGGTAGGATAGCATCCCAAGTAAACTCATAGCTTGAGAGTTTTCGGATATTTTTTTAAACGACATATTCCATACTGTACAGATCTCTTTGGGATAATTATCAAATTTTTCAATGGGTGATGTATCCCTTACTTCTTCCAAAGCTAGTTCAATTTGGTCAGCGCATTCCTCGATACGAAGCTTACAGGAGCGAGCGAAGGCAGCCACGCGCACAATCGCAAGGGGGTGGCCTCCAAGTTCCTGGTTAATCTTCGCGGCCGAGATTTTATTCAGCTCAACCGTGCTGTCAATAGAAAGGTGATCGAGTAGGCACTCTATTGCCTCATCATCAGAAAACGCAGGTACCCTGATCCTATAAGGATTGAGGTTGAATACAACGTCTGAAACAACAGAAGTGACGATGATGGATCCCAGCCCTCTGCGGGGCCAGAAGTCCGCAACGATGGATGCATCGTGTAAGTTGTCGAATATAAGAAGCCAAGGGGTGTCTAAGATACATTGTATTAGTATTGCTATAGTCCAGAAGGTAATGTAGTTATGTGTCATTGCCATCATAGAAAGAGGAGGTTTGTAGGATGTTACCAGATCGTTCTAATTTGCCTCGTACAGCTACTTTATTTTGGAAGCTGTCTGTTTGTGATACATTGTCTAGTTTCAACTCCACTGCCGCTTTGCGAAGACTTTGATCCAGAGAAAGCGCGGTCTCGGATGCGATCCAGAGTATGATATCATACTGCTCTTTCCACCGGTAAGCGTACTCGCGAGCAATTTGGGATTTACCAATCCCACCCAAGCCACTGAGAGTAATAGCAATGGGCCCAATGGCTGATTGATTATTCCGTAATACGTGGTCAATCTCATTTAATATGCTTTCGCGGCCGAAGAATTTGGCATTTCGCAACGGCAGCATGATAACCGAATGAGAGCCAAATACACGCTGTTGCAGGGGCGCGGCGGCGGCATTTGCGGCAAGGGTGAGTGTAGTAAATTCCTGGCAAAGGCTAGGATAAATTGTTTTCACGGCTCTTAAATCTCTTATATCAGAGTACGCGCCGACGAAGGCCCTGGTGAGGTTCGAGAATTGCTTTTCGACCCCTTTCCATTCCTTTTGAGACAGATCGACTAAGTGTTAAGCAAGTTAAAACTGTACTTTGCAGATGACTGATAAGATTGCACGAACCAATAGGGCCCTGACTTTCCCTGAAACATAATATTACCTGGGTAAGAAACAGCATTATGTGGCGGTATATGCTGACAAAGGTTCGAAGTAGATTCTGAATAGGTGAGAATTCGCTCGACAATTGATTGAATCGATCGAGCTTTTCCACCATGTCCGTTATCTGTTCAACTAATCGAACAAAAGTGGTATTGCCAGTATCCGCTAATTGACTAATTGGAATTGCTTCTATAGCGACCTTGGAGCCATTAGCAGTCTGGTAAATGAATTGGCCGGGATTTCAGCTATAGAGATCATACATCGATAGAGGCGTACATATGCCCCAGCAATCGGCCTGTATTCGCTCGTTTTAGAGCGACTTTACCCAGAGATGCTTTCTCGAGTCGTGACAAGAATCCACTGAGAGCTGACGGTAGTTGTTTCACTTGAGCCAGCAGCAGAGTTGATTTGGATGGGTTCTCTTGTAGCCAAAATTCGATGCGTTGCTTGAAATGGTCCTCAGTGTCAATAAGGATGATAAGTTTCCGATCGACTTCTTCCAGACGCCTCAGGCAATCTTCGTTGGTCTGGGACAAGTTAAAGAGCTGCATCTGAATTTGCTCAGGGCTGATATCCATGATTTGTACTCGAGCGGAAGATTCGCGCCTTTGCTTGATCTGCAAGTTTTTCTTTTCGCAGAAACAGTTCGCACTGAGTAGAGAAATAGCAGTGGCATAAATATTTGGTCGGGCTTATTTTGTTAGCTATTACTTGTAGCCAGAGCAATATTCTTCTCCTGTTTCTCGTTTTTCTTTCCTTTTCTTTCTTCTCCTCGGGGGCTGGAGGGAGAGCGGGGTTACACTCTCTCTACAGCTTTTGCAGTCCGATGCGCGCTGGGTTTAAAGCCTCCCAATTTCGACAGATTTTCGACATGAAGATAATATGTGGCTTCTGATATTTTTCGATGTTATGGAAAAGTGTCTGTTAAGTACACATGAAGAACACGTACCGCGACGTACACATGACCATGGTACAACGAAGGAGATGAGTGGTCCATGAATACGAAGTGAGTATCACAACCCCCTCACTTCGAAGTCCGTTGGCACGGGCCGATGCGTCATTAGGCAACTACATACATTTAGGTAGCACAGGATAATGCAATTCACGGCCTCGATTTTTGTCCGTGCCCTGGCACAAACTAATCTGCCCTTTGCCACCTCACCCCCTCATCTATCTTTCAAGAAGTTTCACATGTTTCACCAACCGGTTTGTCATTACTGTTGCCAACTTTTGCTGTTGCAACGACCATTCAATCCAATAGCGGAAATGACATATGCAAAGCAAATTGTGCTCATAACGGGAGCAAATCGTGGCATCGGATTAAGCCTTTGCAGAGAGTTCATTGCCAGAGATTATCACGTCTTCGGTTCGCTACGCCCAGAGAGCCGTGACGACCCAAGTGCGGCAGAGGTAGAGTTTATCCTGCTAATATATTTGCACATAGGCTGATCAACTTATTTAGTTGAGGAAAACAGGAGCGACAGTCATCGAGTTTGACGTCACTAATGAAAGCACTATTGCCGCTGCGTTTGACTCTTGGGGCGAAAAACCTCTCGACATCTTGATCAATAATGCTGGTAGTTTTATTCGGGAAAATTATTGTTTCCAGCTTTAAGCCCGCTCACACTTTGTGTAGGAGCCCCTCCGCCTCCCAGGATGTGGGATAAGGTCACAGCTGAAGCTCTGATTGACAAGTTTCGTGTCAACGCTGTGGTAAGTACTTGTCTACCGTAGGTCATGCCTCCATTCAAACGGCCGTCATTCACATTCTTTTGATCGCCAGGGACCTTTTCTTGTTTCTAAAGCTTTTATGCCGGCTCTAGAGAAGAGCATAAGCCCCAAGATTATAAACATAGCCTCAAATTCGGGCCAGATCGCCGGTGAGTATTGAGGAGTTGAGCCTGCTTATGCAATACGAGAGTCCAAGGGACTCTGCAATACAATGCACTAGCTAATACATATCGTTAACCGGGGTTCGCACGGTTAACTCATGATGTAGCAAATAAAGATGGAAAATATATGGCATACAAAGTCTCCAAAGCCGCACTGAACCAAGTCACCAGGTCTCTGGGCATGCAGATGGAGATGACCAAGAGCAAAATCATTGTTGCTGGTATTCATCCTGGCTGGATTCCAACGAAACTCACCGGAATGACTGGGCCAGATAAGATGGACGTGCAGGTTCCGAAAATTGTTGACACAATTGAGAGCATGGAAGCCTCGCGAAATGGCGGGTTCATGGATGCCGAAGGAAATACTATGGACTTTTAGTGACTGCTAGAGCAGAGGTAGGAGCATGGTATGAGGTACTACAAGATATAAGATAGTTGCACATGTACGTAGGCTATGGATGATCGTGATCACCATGACACCCCATATTATACCCTCATAAATGATTTTGGTATTGGTGTTTTGTGAAATACGATTTCCGTGTGTGAGTCTATGTAAAAGATACCAATAGTCGTGGCCACCAACATCAACCTCACAATCACGCAGGTAAATTTCTTCTCCTTTCTAGGTCCCATATAGCACTCATGGCAGTGACAAGTTACAGCATCTAGTGAGCCATGCCCATAAATGAATGATATATTGAAAACGAAGTTACCCAACTTATAACCCTTTGGCACAAGATGACCACACACAGACTACCCTCAAACAGCTTACCCAGAAGCTCATGTCCATCTCCCCCATCATCCCACAGGATCATATCTCCAGTGCCTCCAGTCCTGTGCAGGTAGGCGCTGCATCTCGTGGTCCCCTGATGTCTGCCGAGTACCTGTATGTGAGAAGGCATGCCGTGATCTGCAGCCGATAGATACAAGGGGTAAGTAAGGTGAGTAAAGAACTTACCCACATTCCGTCCTGAGTTTGCCCAACTTTCTTCCAACTGCTTCCTGGGATAGCCCTTCATCGCTCGCGACCGGTACTCCGCACATGTAGTCTCGATGCTAGGTTCTGGGAGTTGTACTTACCAACTGACGACCATGTCGCCCCGATGCATGTACCTCAAGACATGCATCTCGCTTGCTGCTAGTACATACATGCACTTCCTAGCCAATATATAGGCCTGCAAATAGACAGTCGATAGCATCCAACACTGCCCCTTCATCAATTAACATCTGCCTTTCTGTTAGCTGGTTACTGTCACTCTTTCCGTGGGCATGAGCGTTATCAGCTTCTTTTTGGGTAGTACGTACCTTTTGATAAGATGAATGTTGCTTCTCTTCTCGTATGCTGTTTTCTTTTCTCCTTTACCGAGACGTATCGCATCTTGTACCTGAACCCATTGGAAACTCCGAAAACTGGCTCATCGCCGACATGGTGTTGACGATGCCAAAATACTGCGTTAGAAGACTGCGTAAAAAAACTGCTCCTTCTTAAGTTGGGCAGTTTGCTATTCATGCACTTGCTCTCCGTTAGCTATCGCCGCTCTTTCCACGACGAGAGCCTCGCTTGACAAAACTCAGTAAGCGAACACGTGCTTCTCGAAGGTATAAATTCCCCTTCTCTTCTTCTCCCATTCTGTTTTCTTTTCTCCTTTCCCCACGCATAGACATTCATGTTTCTGCCGCCTCATCACTGACGCTCAAGAGGTCGGGATGGGTGTTGACATTGCCAAGGCCCTGCGTGAGGCGACTAACACCTTGGGATGATCAGCAGGTCTGGTTAGTATCCCGGCACAATTTCTGATTCATCTTCTCGCGCCCCTGGTATTACACTATCTCCAGGTGGCGCTGCTTTCCCTCTTCCTCTTTTTTTCATTGCATTCGGCGGCTTGTCTGCTGGTGCGAAGAAGAAACACCCTTGGCCTTTTCTCTTTGCCTGCGTCTATATCTTCATCTCCGTCTTCGTCGCGAAGACCGGCTCATCACTGACATTCAGGAGCCGAAACATTTGTTGGTGCAACGTGCCCTGTGTGATGTGGTTAGCATGGAATGGCAGGTTTGGCGACTACATGTACGGCAGTGCGGTTGCGGAGGGTATCGGAGCGAGGTTCTTGGTCTGGTCTGGATAGCGAGGGGGGAAGGATGGGAGAAAAGATGGGAGAAAGGATGGGAGAAAGGATGGGAGAATGGGAGGGGAAATGGGAGGCATTTTATAATGCGTTTGTACTTTATACTTCCTAGGTATGACTCATAGAAAGTTGAACAGATCAAGTTTTTTTTCTCTTTGCGTTTCCACTGCCATCATTGTTCAAAGTATGAGGAGATGATGGCGTTTTTCGTGCTCAAGCTTCCAAAACTATAGATGACTTCTTGGCACCTGGTAGGTTTGTATGAATCCACTGAGGGGTTTTTCGTAGGGACCGAAATGTACATTTAGGTGGACAAGATTGTCAAGATGATGATTATTGGGCCACTTTATTGGAGCATGGACGAAGCTTAGTTCTGGATGGCGAGCTTCTGGTATCCATCTACCGCACCTGGAGCACGATCGACTGGAGAAGACACATCCCGTTGCAAATTTATATACCATATAAGTTCTCAACTAGCTCAAGGTTCTGGAGAATAAGATCATGTGAACGGAGGGGATGCTCCATACATACGCAGGGCTGGCGCTTTTCATCTCTTCCCCATCAAATTATGATTCTATGCTCGAAAAATAACTTTTAGGCACGCCGGACAAGTCCAGACTTGACGTCGTAGAGATAGCCGCTCGCATGGTCCCTCAGCTCACGACGAATGATTCTCGATGTTTTCAATAATTTGACGTCAGCCCGAACGCTTTGTTCCAGGCTGTGATAATTAGCTTACTGCTTTTGCCGACTGATACTCGATGGCAACTCACTCGGTAATGACTGGAAGCACCAGCTGTGTTGCATCTTCGATAAAAACTCCATCTTCCTTCAAAATGTAGTCGTGAATCCTTTTCCCATTCATGTGAGTAGCTCCGCAGTCTGTTTTCCACAAAACATCGATAGTAAATTAGCTCGCACTCAATGCAAACACATATCCTCCGTACCTGTATGATGAATCACCATGATCTCTTTGAGGCTGCCGAGGAAGCAGTCCAAGGAAATAATCTGGGCAATGAGTGGAGCAACTCTGCCACCCCCGACGCGTAGTATAGCAGCATCTATGGGAATGTCAGTGACAAGGTATAAAATGTCATTATGGAAATAAATTATACCCCCTGGTAAAAGACTGAAGAACTCTTCAGGGTTGCATCTTGGGTCGAGGCAGGTTACTTGAGGTCATGTCAGCAACGGGTTCTTGTCTACAATTGCATCTCATGAAGTTCACTTATAAGAATTGACGGTCTCTTTTGGCCTTGGCTTTCAGAAAAGAATCCGTATGGCCTATGGGCCGCGGCAAAGTTTCTGTGGTCAAGCGTTAAGTAAGTATGCACGAGGAAAATGTAGGTTTCTCATACTTGTTTCGCTCAAGGATTTCGTCAACCAAAGATTGAGCCATGATCTTATCCTGTACGTGATGTAATGAGTATTATAATTGTTACTCGGCCACCAATGCGGTTGTATATACTCACATGTTTGAGAGATTCAGTCAGGGCTTTATATCTCTCGAGTTTATCGCTTTAGATTACCGCTGAAAGGGAGATCTCCAATCATCTCATAGACTTTCGAACGCGGGTATCACTTCGAATACCCGAGATCTTCTGCTTCCATATTCACAATAAACATCTAATCAATGTATCATCGTCTCAAAGCAGCGGCAATCAACGTGCAATATACTTTCGACTAATACTGGGCTTCATTGCTGAGTCGACTGCTCACTTTGGATCTAACCGAAACCGGGAAATGGTGCCCTGGCAGATCGATGAGATTACACGTATGTAACGAACAATATCCACCAGTAGATCAATTTTTATGTATAACTCAGAGCTCAGCAGATTGGTTTTGTAGAATTAGAAAAAAAGAAGAAGAAAACATATAGTGAAGGGTAATAGATTTAAAAGGAAGAACTGTAGGCTACTTATGTCTTCGCGTACGGATCTTGAGATGAGTTGTCATTCTCCCCCGCAAATCAAAGAAGAGTATGCCGAAATGGCAGAGATGAGAATGATGTTCTGAGAGATGAGCATATCATCTTGTTTGTAAGCTCCCCATTAGGTTGCGTATGCTATGCGATATTGTCTGTGATTGTATTGTCCATTGTACGACTTCGGTAACTTCCGAATCGCGGATTCTACACCGTCAAGGATACCATACTACTTATACTAATTACTGAATGATTCCTGTACATTTTGCATCACCATTCTCTTTCTAGGTCTATGGTCCCCTGGTGATCTACAGTTTGAATACCCGACTGTAAGTTTGAATAGCCCATGCGCAATGTGCTTCGAACGAGCATGAGGAATCTTTTCAGACGACATTGCAGTTGATGTTTCTATATAACAAGAGCCCTATAACTGCCATGAGATGAAGAACACATACTTCATCAGTTCAATAAATCAGTTTAATACATCAGATACATAAAGAATCATGTCAGATAAGCCCAAGATCCTCATTGCCGGTGCCGCAGGTCGCACCGGTAGCATTGCTACCAGAATGCTTCTTGAAAGAGGCTATCGTGTTCGTGCCATGGTCCGCACAGATGACGAGCGTGCTCGCAAACTATCAGACTTGGGCGCCAAAATCTTTGTCGGTGACTATCTCGACCTTCGCTCTGTGCGACGTGCGTTTGAGGGAATCAAGCGTGCCTACTTCGTTTACCCTATGCAACCCGGCCTTGTGGAAGCGACAGCAAACTACTCCATGGCAGCTATCGAAGCCAAGGCTGAGTTCATCCTCAACATTTCGCAGCGGACGTCCTGCCCGGATGCCACCAGCGACTCGGCCATGCATCATTGGCTTGCGGAGCGAGTCTTTGACTGGGCACCTATTGTGGTGACCCATCTTCAACCAACAGCTTTCAACGAGTGGTTGACCTTTATGCAGGATATGATTCGGCAGGGACGTTATGCGGTGCCGTTTGGATCATATGGTCGCTTCGCCCCGATCTCATGCGAGGATCAAGGGGCCGTCATCACCGAGATTCTTGCTGACTCTTGGTCCCATGTGGGAAAGACTTATCGACTCCTCGGACCTGTTGAGCTGACGCCGCCTGAGATCGCCGAGATTGTTGGCAAGACTCTCGGCAAAGAGATTCGTTACGAGCAAATCACCGGAGAGGAGTAGGTTCGGGAAGTGGCGGGCCAAGACATACCGTACCTGTCTCAACACGTTCAGGGTATTGTCCCGATGCATGAGAAGGGGCTTATGGACGGGACAAACGATGTCGTGGAGAAGATTACCGGACGTCGCCCAGAGACTGTGGAGGACTTTGTCAAGAGGCATCGTGAAGTCTTGGGAGGGTAAGCATACTCTGAAAGACTGAGTGGGCTTGGTAACATTGCTCGGTGATATCTACCTCTCATCAAGGGGACCTGTGTGGTTGTATAAGAGGCTGTAAATTCATGTATGCACTATAGTTATCACAAGCTGGATGAGAATATTTATCTAGATATGTATCGCCACATGGAAGCATGATTTGCATTAGCTATATAATGTAAATCATGCTTACTAGCAAACATATAATACGACTTGATCAGTTTGTTCGTGCGCAACTCACCGCTGGCTCTGTTGACACCAGTTTTCGTCATGAATACCAAGAGAGTACACATTTGTCTTTCAATTCCGTATATACTTGGACGAACTCACTATGCCATGTTCATGTAGATATTTTACTGCATTTGCTAATGGACTCGTTGCTGAATGAAATTGCAATGTCAATGAGGGGCTATTGAGATACGTCGTCAAACGCCAGACTCAACCAATTGGTAAATGTGACACTAAGAGCAAGCTTTGTCCTCTTATACATCACGAAAGCGTCTGTTTGCGCACGGCAGCAGATCCATTCCTCTACCGTACGCTAATCAGCGTCATATAAACTAAATTTAGTCCAATCGTATGCATCAAACAAGCATATCCGACGTGGTGTAGTGGCTAGCATACCGCGCTTTCAACTAGAAAGTCCCGCGGCGATCCGGGTTCGACTCCCGGCGCCGGAATTGAATTTGATTTTTTGCCAATATCTTGACTTTTTTTTCATTTTCGTCTTCTTTTCTTTGTGTTTTTCTTCTTATTACTGTTCAGTGTCAGGTGAAGCTGTCTGTGGTGTAGCTTACCCAAGAGCTGCGCAGGCTGATTAGCAGCTTCGCTACCGAGAGTCGTGTGTCACCTACGGTTGCCCAGGTGTAGAAGACGCCTACGATACGGATATTGGATAAGGATATTGGAGAGTCATGGCCGCTCAGATGCGATACAGGGCCGTGGATGCCAAGGGGGAAGAAAGCCCTATTCTTGAATACCAGTGATGTGTGCGCAGTGTCACAACGCCCGCCGTAAATAAGCGGACGAATGAATGGCAACACGGAGGGATGCTCCGAAGACACAGGTCAACACAAGGATGCTGGTATCTGTGAGCATTGCGAAAGGAAATCAACGCCTACTGGCCCTACGGTAGTTGGGTTAGTAGGTCTACTCCATTAGGTACAGAGTACATTCTCCAAGATGCCAACAGGTTGGGCGTCAAGGTGCACATTGATAGGTGAGAGAAATGGGACTCCGGAGTGGCAAAGGTGAATGCCTACCTACATCCGCATACATGTAATGTAATGTAATGTAATGTACTCTGTCTGCATGCAACGCTGCAATAGGTATGCAACGCTGTGATGAAGAGAACAAGACTATGCCATAACCGCAATCTCTAGAAGACACGAGACTCGATGGGCTCAATGAATATCAGCCAAACGAAGAAAATAGCACATCAGATGAATTATTATTCACAAGCACTGCAGGAGGCTGATGGGCCGCGTGCCAGGCCAGAAGTCCGAGGCCCGCCTTGATGGCGATGCCGCATCCATCAGGCTCTCTCGACAGCTGGAGTTCCACAACATCAACATTGCTTCCACGGCCTGACGCGCCGTGAGGTGGCGTGAAGCGCGGGTGCGAGCAACCGACGGCCGCATGTCAGTTTTCAGAATCCAGGCCCCCTCCTCGCGGCCTACCTTGGTGTCGAGAAATGTGAGGCTGAACTTTTCAATCGGCGATGACGGGGCGGGTTGCAGATGCTGCAGAATGCAATGGTACAGATGGCGCCCAGCCAGGCAGAAAAGAGGCGCCCTGTCACTCTCTTCTTGCTTGGAGCGAATCAGCGGACGGCGGGAATAATGGACGGTGACTCTTTGGGAGGCCGACAATGGCAACGAGTCCCATGTCGGAGGCCAGCGGCGTGCGCAAGGGTGGGAGGGAAAAGATTTTGTTTGGCTGATGGTGTCCGTCCGATGTTGGGGGTGGGTGTGCATCACTGAAGATGGGCATCTCAGCTGCAGATATATATATGGCATGTTGATGGCTGCATTGACACGCGGGATCCTCTCGAAGCTTTACCTCTACGCATTACAGACTCGTTTTCAGGTGTTTTGGGCATTCAACAGCTATACGAAGCTGGATATCTACCTCTATCTGTCTTCTACCCGCCTCTTTGCCCCCATTCACATCTACCAACAAACAAACACGCATTACCCAACTGCAGCGCGTGATCTCGGTAAAGCGGCGTGCAGACTTCAGTGCAAAGCAATACGCAAAATTCACGGCCGACGAGAGCAAACGACACAAACCAACAAGCAGCTGCGGGCATGCGATTATTTGCATGAGAAGCTCTCAGACCTCTGGCTGACTCGGCACCTGTATTTTCCCCCCGCAGAACCCCGATAAGGGCCCTCTTAAAAGACCCTGTGGGGAGCTCGTGGCCTGGCGTCATTCCTCGCCTCCCAAAAGTCAAACCTCAACCCTCCCATCCCTTCGAGTCTCTTCCAAGCTCACGGCAAAAGAGCTGCTGCGCAGTTCGGGCAGCTTCTGGTAGCTGCAACTCATCACGACGTGCTGCATTGGCCGTTTGCTGTTCTCGATCGATTGGTCAAGCAGCCCCTCTTGCGCTTGATTCTTTCAGCACGACCCATTTATCTGCATTTCTGTCCTTTGTTTGTGTTCACATACCGTCTTTTGCTCAGCCATCTATTGCTTTGCCTCTCTGCCTAAATATCTATACCCTCGCTTTTCACTTCAATATTTTGATATCTTTATTCTCATCACAGCGCTTTTGCTTTATCCCTGATATATATATCACTTACACACATCTCTGATATACATCTTGCTTGCTTCAAGTCGCGGAGAGCTTTCTCATGGCTGACAGAGGCAACCGCGGCAACCGCGGCGGCGACCGGGGCCGGGGTGGCGATCGAGGACGGGGTGGCGACCGTGGCCGAGGTGGTGATAGGGGCCGTGGCGGCGATCGGGGTCGAGGCGGCGGTGACCGAGGCGGTGGCGGCGACCGGGGTGGTGGCCGAGGAAGAGGAGGCTTTGATCGCGGAGACTACGGCGGAGGCCGCGGCCGGGGAGGCTACGATCGTGGAGACTACGGTGGAGGTCGTGGCAGAGGAGGCTACGATCGCGGCGGAGGAGATCGCGGCGGTTACCGTGGTAGCTTCAGCGGCTTCCGGGGAGATGGCCCACGAGGCGGTGGTCGAGGTCGGGGCGGGCGGCGTGATGCCTCTCCTGGTATTTCCAGGGCCTTTGGGTAAGCCTTTCTCTTTCGGATCAGTGTCAACATTCGCCTAACACAGCCTGTAGCTACGGTGATGCGATTCCAACTCCCAATGCTGAAGTCGCTCAACTCGAAACTCAGATTGTCTCACGCCAATCCGCCTCGCTTGCATCCATCACCTCTCAGATGGCTGGCATGAGTGTTAAAGGCAAAAAGAGAGGAGGCGGCAATGTTGGCGGCAAACCCCCGCCTCCAATGAACGACCGGCTCCCTGCCAGGCCAGCGTTTGGCTCACAGGGCAGACCCGTCGTTCTTTGGGCAAATTACTTCAAGGTCAATGTCACCCGTGACTCTTTCTTCAAGTATACCATTGAGGTCAAGAAGAAGATGACCAAGTCGGCGGCTCCGAAGAAAGCATCCAAGCGTGGTGGCAAAGCCTCCTCAAAGCCAGCTCCTCCCGACACAGAGGGGCCACAGGAAGCTGAGCAGGTCAAGGAGGTCAGGGGCAGAGAGCTTTTCCTCGTCATCAAGGCGACCCTTGCAAAGCTTTTGGAGCAAGACAAGTCTTTTGTCGCCGCCTCGGAGTTCAAGAGCCAGATCATCACGCTCAAGAAAATCAACCTCCCTGAAAACCCCATTATTATCCAGATTCCCAAGGATGAGGGAGATGATGAGCTCTTGGACACCTATAGTGTCCATGTTCACGGCCCCAGTGAGATTGATGTGGGCAGCCTGAAGAAGTATCTGACGTCCTCGGCTGACGAGCCGGTTGCCAATGGAGACGTCGCCTTCCCACGCTTCCCTGAAGCCGTCGATGCTCTCAACACTATTTTGGGCCACGGGCCAAGGAGCGATTTCGACAAAACTGGCACCATCGGATCACACCGTTTCTTCCCCTTTGGCGACGACAAGGTTATCGAAAACCTCACCCATAACTGGCATGCCCTGTCCGCCGCCCGTGGCTATTTTCAATCTGCCCGTCTGGGAACAGGCCGCGTCCTGCTAAACGTCAACGTGACCCACGGCGTCTTTAGGCTGTCGGGCTCATTGACAGACTTGTTCGACAACCTAGGCTTGAGGGCTGCTCCAAAGACCGACTTCCAAGCCATGAAGAAGCTTAGGGCCTTTGCTAAGTTCCTGCCCAAAGCGCGTGCTTGGAGAACTATGATTCTCGCCATAGGCAAAAGAATTCGTCGATCCAAGGCTATACAGGGGATGGCCACTGCTTCCGATGTATTCCGTAAAGGACGTGGTGTTGCCAATCCACCAAAGTTTGACCGTGATTGGGAGTTTGCGGGACCCAAAAATGTCCAATTTTGGCAGAACACGGATGGAGGAGGAGGCCGGTACATCTCAGTCTTTGACTATTTCAAACAGAGTAAGCGCTCTTTTCCCTTTTTCTTTCCGTCTTTTTCTTTTCGACGTTCGTTTGTTTTCAAGAGACTGGGTCTAACATGAGTCGAAGGCTTTGACATTACACTGAAAGATTATCCGCTGATCGACATGGGCACTGACCAAAATCCCTTCACTTACATTCCGGCCGAGATGGTGGAGATCCAGCCTGGGCAGGCGATCAAAGCCACTCTCACCATGGAAGAGACAACAGCAATGCTTGAATTTGCATGCCGCTCACCATATTCCAATGCTCTGTCGATTAGCGCGGCCAGCCGTCAGGCTCTCAATCTTGACGACAGCGCACTAGACAAATTCGGTCTCTCTGTCGACAAGAGGTTGTTGACCGTACAGGGAAGAATTCTCAACGCGCCCATGGTAAGCTATATTGCCAACGGTAAGAAAGTTGACGTGGCCCCATCCAAGGGCCAATGGAACATGAGATCAGTCAAGATCGTCAAGCCAGGCAAGAGGATTGAGCGCTGGACTTGGGTCAATCTCATGGCAGAACATCAGCGCAGGAGGGCCGTCGATAAATCCGTGGTGGCTAGTTACGGTGAATGGCTGGTTAGCATGGGCATCAACATCAACAAAAAACCCATGGATCCATTCCGGGAGGTGGCCGATCCCTCGAACCTCGAGAATGTCTTTGACTGGCTGAAGAAGAATGATGTCCAGCTCTTTGTCATTATTCTTCCCGAAAAGGACTCCACCGGCTTATATAGCAAGATCAAGACGCTGGGCGACTGTACGTATGGAATCCATACGAGTTGCGTAGTGGCCGCGCAGTTTGCAAAGGCAGCTCCAGCCTATTTTGCCAACGTCGGGCTCAAGATCAACCTGAAGGCCGGCGGCACCAACCACAAGCTACGAGAAGAATTCGGCATTCTGAGTGATGGCAAGGCCATGATTGTTGGCTACGACGTTACTCACCCAACCAACATGAGCCAGAGGAAAGGCAGCGAGACTCCCAGCTTGGCCGGGTTCGTATCCAGCATCGACAGAGATCTCGCCCAATGGCCTGCGATAGCGTGGGAGCAACCTCCAAGGCAGGAGATGCTCAGCGACAAACTGCTAGATGCATTCATGACACGGCTAGATACCTGGAGCAAGCACAATGGAGGCAAATATCCAGAAAACATCGTCATCTACCGAGACGGCGTCTCTGAGAGTCAATTTTCCCAGGTGCTCGACGACGAGCTCCCAACCATCAGAGAGGCCTGCCGCAAGAAATATCCCGCCACCCAGCCCCAGCCAAAACTCACAATTTTGGTCGCGGTGAAGCGGCACCAAACTCGCTTTTACCCTACTTCAGCAGATGACATGTCCAAATCCGGCAACACCATCAATGGGACGGTTGTGGATCGGGGCGTGACCCAGGCAAGGTACTGGGACTTCTTCATGACAGCCCACGAGGCCCTCCAAGGCACCGCTCGACCGGCCCATTATACCGTTCTCCTCGACGAAATCTTCCGCGCGAGGTTCGGTGGCAAGGCGACCGACGAGCTGGAGCGTCTGACGCACGAGCTGTGCTACCTCTTTGGCCGCGCCACCAAGGCCGTCAGCATCTGTCCGCCAGCGTATTATGCAGACATTGTCTGCGAACGGGCTCGTCAACACCGCCCTGAGCATTACGGGGCTGGCGATGATACGGAGAGTATGTCGACGGTATCGGGGGCCGGAGCAGGTACGGCAGGGAGACAGGTGCATGTCAATCTCAGGGATAGTATGTATTATATTTGATCTATGAAGATTGGTGTGGGAGACAGATAGGATATGCGAAGATTGTTTTGGGTAATCTCAAACTTGGCGTAGTTTAGTATCCTGGATGTTCAGCGGCTTTTTAAAAGAAATTGAATGCAAAGTGAATTTTCGAAAGCGGCACCTAGAATGGCAGCAGGTGTCTTTTGTGATGGCTAATTAGATGAAGCAGATTGATTGCACATATATGGCATGTCCTGAAGGTATTTGTGTATTGCGTTTGTCCGTTGTAGAGTAGTTTTTACGCGTGAATGAAAAGGCGAGCATGTTGTTCACATGGTATCATCAATCTAATACAACTTGTATAATGCAAAAAGAGAAGAAGAAGAAGAAGAAATGCTCCATCTTAACGAAAACATGCCCCCAAATCAACAAAAGAAAGAAGCCGAGAAAAGACACGTCTGCTCTACAAGTTCGCTTTCGTCTTGTCGATCTTACGATTCGGCACAATGCGCTTCATAAACTCATCGTCCAACGTCGATTTCTCTTCCAATGGCTTCTTCGCCCACTCCTCATACTCTTTCTCCTCCTCCCACCACCTGTCCATCTCTGCCTTGGTCCACTCGGCTGCAGCCTTTGCGCAGAAGGCGGGCTCCTCTAGAGGCACGAGGTGGCCGCTCTTGGGGTGCGTGACCTCCTTTACGCGGCCGGCTTTGACGCCTCCGCTGCCTCCGACGCCGGTGCCCGTCTTTTCGAGCTTCTCGCGGATGAGATGAGGGGGGGAGACGTCGCTTGTGGCGCCGAAGACGTAGAGCACTGGGGGCCGGAGATGGGGGAGGCGGGATGTGGTGTTGTTGCCCTCGGAGCGGTAGAAGGGGAAGATGGGGGGAGTGCCTGGATCGAAGTCGTGATCAGGGACGCGGGAAGGGTGAGCGATGAGTTTGCTGACGGGGTCGATGGCCGGCCAAAGGGGACGGATAAAGGTGAAGACCTCCTGGTGCTTGGTTGTGGTAAGACGGACAGGGGTCTGGGATTCGTCCTGTTTCGGAGTAGACGGAGCCGAGACGTCGCGCAGGCCGTAGCGGATGAAGAGATCAAGCACACGAGGATCCCAGGCCTGGTAGAACGGCTTCGAGCGGAACGCGGCGGCGGCGGCGGCGCGGGACGGCCAGACTTCGCGGCGGATGGCGCTGAGGGAAGCCGGCCCGCTGTACCTCTCGGGCGAGCTGTTGAGCTTCTTGGGGGCGGTGAAGCGGGCGGAGGCGGGGTCGAGCATGACGATGCCGGCGAAGAGGCGCGGGTGCATGAGGGCGACGTCTGTGAGGGCGTTTGCGCCAAAGGAGTGGCCCATGGCGATGATGGGACGGGGCATGCGGAAGGTGTTGATGACGTGGAGGATGTCGCGGGCGTAGTCGAGCCAGCTGGCTGTGTTTAGAGGTTAGTGTGTTTATCTATTGAATATAGTATATTGTAGGGTGAAATAGATGAAATTGGGGTTGGAGTGAGGTGAAGGATGAGGGATGAGAGAAACATACGGTCATTGCCCAGGTTGGCCACGTTGAGGATGCCGCTTTGGCCTTGGTGAGCGGTATCAGTGATCCAGATGGCACGCAACCGGAGACCCTGCTTTTCCAATTCTTTCAAGAACTCCTCGTAGAGAGGTTCGTAAAGTTCCTGGTTTCGATTAGCGCTCTGCATCATGTCATCTTGAGAGTGAGAAAGGGACAGACCTTTGGAAAGCCATTTGCATGAGATCCCACGATGGTGATGTCGCCTCTGCGCGGAGGGCCGCCATGCCGTGGAGTGTATTGCTTTACGCTGAGCAGAAACGGCTCGTCTTGCGAGACTGCGGTTGCGCGAGGGTATTCCCGGATGTGGGATGCCTGGACGGTGTGCTCGCGGATGTCGAAGACGGAGGAGGAAGAAGAAGAAGCCATGGTGGTGACGCTCTATCTATATACACGTGTGTATACACGGGATATGAAATCCAGTGGTAATAAGGCACAAGGGAGACGGGAATCTTGATGGCGGCTTGCGCTATTTGAATTGATAAAGAGGAAAAGTGAGTGAGAGGCCGTTTGTATCGTGTCGGGAATACCAGGACAGGTAAGAGATTGCTACGATAGATCCTTGGTCTATATGTGAGTCGCCAACTCAGTCAACCTCTGCAGGTTTTATCGCTGAATCTCAACAACCGGGCTTCGTGAATGGGACAGTTCTGGATAGCCTCAGCTCCATTCCTTCAGAAGCAAACGGCAAACACAGGCCGCATGCAAGATGCTCCTTGAGGGCTCTGCTCGGCATAATTGGGGTTTCTGGGGTCCGGGTGGAGATTGAGCCTCGGCAAAGACGATTGGAGATGCCGGTACCTGAAATCGGGAAACATTGAACGCTGAGGCGGATTCGGTTATAGTGGCGTTATGGCGACGGCTGATACCGTTTAGGTGCTGACTAGTGCAAATCTCAGCTTCATTGTCGGGGCAGTAGTATCAATGGAGAAGTGCCCAAGATGCCTTAGTAATAACGGGGAACACGTGAAGTGGAGAGTGTTTTGTTGGTGGTCGTTGTCATGTTGGAAGCTTTTTGACACTTTCACGCCAACTTGTAGAAACCCAGCTGCGAAATACCACGTATCAATGTCCAACGAACAGCATCTCGATCGCATCAATACCTCATAGAGCGACAAGTAACCAATACCCCAAGCCGTTCACGTGTGCGGGTTACATGGACCGCGGAATCTGGGGCATGACAGGGGTCTGCTGTGGAGGCGGTTGGTTGGTTCAACAGCCAGCATCGCAGTAACTTGTAAGAGAGAGATAGCCTCAAGCTGGGACGCACAAACACGGATACAAAGAGAATAGTGCAACATCGATCTTTTGCAGCATTCTCATTCACCAAGAGATATGCCTGCACCAGCACCAACGCCGTCGCCGAGCCTCTTGCTCTTCGTTGGAGCCCCGTCTCCAGCCTCCGTGAACCCCCAATCCTGTACTCTCAACAGCTTTGAGGAGCCTTTCCACACCATATTTGGCCCTCTAGACACCGGCAACCCCAAACTGCGGCAACACACAGACCCGACCTCGGGTATTGAAATTGCATCACAAACACACGCCGTTTGGCGGTCTGTGCCGCTCAACCGCCGTCCTCTTCACACTGGCCTAAGCCAAAACCACAGCATCCTGGACATCTCCTTTCAAGCTCATCGCGACTTCTTCACCACGGCAGACGCTCTCCCTGGAGATGACACCCAATCTTTTGACGGGGGCGACGATGGAGGAACGCTGCTTACACAGTTTGTTGAGGAGTCGCTGGCCGCTCACAACTTGATACCGTCCAGTCAACTAGGCAGCTTCAGCTTGAACACGACTGAAGACACCACAACATCATTCACCACGACCTCTTCAAACGAGGTCTCCCTGCAGGACCCCACACGGTCACTGCCAACGCCTGTGCCGTCGCACCTCTCAGACTTGGAAGACGTCCCTTCAGCAGCTCGCATCCTCGCCCTGAGCCCCCAGACAGTGACGCTTAATTTGATCGTTGCCGTCATCTCCATCGCCCAGCCCCGGACCGTCACAACGCGTTGGGGCAAAACTTTATCGCTCGTGGAAGTCCTGGTTGGTGATGACACCAAATCGGGTTTTGCGGTAACCTTTTGGCTCTCCAACGACCAGGTCTCAACGGGCCAAGTGAGCAAGCTCCGCCGACAAGACGTTGTGTTGATGGAAAATGTGGCACTGCACGTTTTTCGCGGCAAGGTCTACGGCCAGAGTCTGCGCAAGAACTTGACGCGAGTGAGCCTCCTATGGCGAAGCGAAGGGGGCGGCTACTACGATAATAGAGACATCGCCAGACGAACAGCTGCGAAGCATCCTCAACGAGAAAAGACACGGCTCGTCAAAGATTGGGTGATTCAATTTGTTGGGCGAGATTTAGGAGCAACCACACGAAAAGAGACGGGCCGGAAATCGTGGGATCGGCCGCCCGATGATACGCAGTAATGTGAGTCAATCATGCTTCTATTAGTTGTGTCCAAGATCTATACGTGATCCCTAATTTAATTACACTATGCAGCTCAAAATATGCAGTACTATTTGTACATGTCCAAATTCCATGGGTATAGAAAAACACACAGCTCGAAACAAAGCAGTCAGGAGAGTGGAGTGGTAACTTCAGCCGGGTACTTATACCATGGCCGGTGCCATCTCAGTCTTCTTACCGTCCACGCCCTTCTTGACAGATCTCCATTGGAACGCCAGGCAGCACAGGAACGCGCATCCGGCACAAGCAACGGAAATGTAATAAGTATGGCGCAAACCCAGCATATATGCCTTCAGAACAGCATCAAATGCGTCAAGGCGGTCGATTGATGCAAGCACGGATTTGATCTCAGAAGCGCCGCTGTTGATGAAGAGCTGGGGGTTGATACCGAGGTTATCCTTTTCAAGCTGGTCGATGAGTCCATTCTGGAAGAGAGTCTGGGCGACAGCAACAAAAACGGCGCCTCCCAGGACCTGGAAAAACTGGACACAGGCAGTGCCGATGGGAACCCATTCCTGCGTGAGGACCGTCTGCACAACCAAAACGGCAGTCTGGAAACCAGCTCCGATGCCCAAGCCGGCAATGACCTGGTAGCCAAACCACTCCTTGAGCGGGCTGTGGACGTCGAGAGTCGTAAGAAGGCCCGTTCCGATGGTATACAGAATCATGCACGGAATGATGATGTAGTTGTAGTAACCAATGACCGAGATGAGGCCACCCGAGAGTACTGAGATGAGCACAGTGGAAAGGAGCAGCGGCAAGATCTTGATACCAGCAGTGACAGCGCTGACGCCCTGGATGGCTTGGAAGTATAGGGCTGTTGGCTCGGTTAGCACAAATTGTTTGGGTCGCCATCGTTAACGTTCTGGAGAGACAACTCACAAAGATAGTAGACGAGAGGGAAGAAGCCAGCGCCGAAAAACAGACTGAAGAGCATGGCAGGGAGCACATTGCGGTCCTTGAACATGCGCGGCGGAAGAGTTCCCTTGTCGCCCTTCCAGAACTGGATCCCAATGAAGATTGCAATCATGAGGCCAAAGCCGACAAAGAGGCCGATGATCTTTGAATTGCTCCAAGCATATTCCGAGCCGCCCCATTGCAGAGCCAACAGGAGACACACAATGGCGGGGATGAAGATGGCCGTGCCGAGGATGTCGATCTCGAGGATGCGGGCCAAGACGGTCATGTCGAGCGTATCTTCCGAGTTGCGGTTGACGTGCAGGATGAGGACGACAATGAGCATGGCGAGGCCACCGATGGGGAGGTTGATGTAGAAGCACCATCTCCAGGAGACATTTTCGGTAAAGGCACCGCCGAGGAGAGGGCCGGCGACGGAGGCGATTCCCCACATGCCACCGATGAGACCAAAGGCAAGGGGACGCTTGTCGAGAGGCACTGGAGAAACAATCAAGTTTAGCAAGCTGCTGTTTTATGTTGATGATGGGAAGGGAGTTTGAGTGAGGATCATACTTGATAGAGAGATGATGACGATGGAGCCGGAGAATAAGCCCGCCGTTCCAATCTAGCCGTCTCAGTCAGCACCTTGATGTTTAAGCTATTGTGACAACTGCTTCGAAAGGAAACTTACACCTGCAATGGCTCGTCCCACAATGAGTGCCTTGGATGAAGGAGCCACAGCCGAGAGCAAGCTGCCGATTTCAAAGATGAAGATGGCGGCGAGGTAGGTCCACTTGACGTTGAAGTATTTGTATATGGCACCGTACATGGGTTGCAGGGCCGTGGTGGTGAGAAGATAGGAAGAGCCATACCAGCCCTGAATTAGAGTCAGCTATTTTGTACAACAACAACATCATGCAAAGGGGGCAATTGATATCATATCTCAACGACAATAGAAGAGGAAAATATTCAACGCAAAAAAAGATGCACACTCACAATATCCTTGACACTCTGGAACCTCGCGGTAATCGTGCCCAACGCAGGCGCAATGATGGTCTGATCCAACGCAACCAGGAAAATAGCCATGCACAAGGCGAAGACGATGGAAACGAGCTTCAGTCCCTTGGGATAGTTGGCCGCAGGGTCCGTCGCCGTCGTCGTCGTCTTGGTGACATCTTCCATGACGCCTCCCTCCTTTTCCTGGGTGACGTCCTCTCCCGTCACGGCGATTTCCTTTTCGACATGGTCGTTGTCGTGGTTCACGGGCGGCGGCAACGAGCCGCGCTCCGTCTTGTCTGATGAAAGACGCGGAGTTGGCGATGCTGAAGACATCTTTAACTCGCGGTGTGTACAGTATGAAATAACGGGATGAGAAAATCAGAAGAAAAGAAGAACGAAGCTGGTTCCCTGTTAGCTTTTTTTTTCAAAGTCCCGAAGAGCTGAAGAGGCCCAGGCCAGACAAGGGATCTAGGCTGAAAACTGAGATGCCAATGCTAGCGCTTCAGCCTCTCGATCGGCTGCCGTGTTATCCTTCTCTCGTCTGGCATCAACTTTCCCTAACCCTTCGCTGGCCAATGCAAGGTGCAGAGGGGAGATGATAAAGGAAATACGAAATCCAGAATGTGGTACACCTTTTCAGCCTTATACCGGAACAGTCACATCACATCAAATCCAAACCCACACCGAACAAAAACCATCGTCTCATCATTCACCGCAAAACTCCTCGGCCATCGGAATGACTCAAGCCCATGAGATGCACCAACTAGAGTTCCAGCCCATTTACCGAGCAAGACTAGTACAAACACGAGCAAAAGAAGAAGAATTAACAAGCCGTAAATTGAATCCGGGAAACTCACTCCATCCAATACAGCAGAGACACACGCCCCATCCCCACAGACAAGGACGTGGCGAACCTCTTCACGATACAATAGTCTAGGCTATCCTCCCTCTTCCAAGCCTCTCAGAAAAAGAAATCAATGACAAAGACAGCTCCACTCTCCTGCAATCCTTGCTCCTCATACACGGAAATTAAAGCATAAAAGGGATTTTATTGTTTTTTTTTTTTTTTCAACCTTTCGTGCCGCCCTTCTCCTAGGAGAACCAATCACCAACTACAGCTCTTTAGTGTCCAAATCCTGCCCATGACTCAAAGGGAGAGTTTGACTCCTGAAGTAGCTTAGTGGCTCCAAGAGCCAGCTGACCCTGGGAAACGTGGTAGTAAGACGCGGACTTGGAGCTTGACCGATGTCCGAGGATCGAAAGAGATTGGATGAGGGGTGTGTGTGAGAAAGTCTTCTCTACTCCGGGAGAATAAACTAGCTGCCGTTGATATGAGACCGGGGGAGCGTTGGTTCTTATATGTTGGAAATAAATACACGACACGATATTCGAGGAGTTGGTGTTGAGCCTCCCGGTGTAACAGCAAATGCCCTCACAACATAACCTGCAGTCAAGATGTAACATCAAAACACAAGGATCAATACTATACCAAAACTACAGCTCACAGCTTCACGTGCTAAAATCCTTTCTCGAAATCCCATCCATACATACATACGCGTACTGCACACACACTCCTCCAGATCCTACAAGCTTCGCAAACCCGCTAATAAAAAGGCCCAGAAAACCCACATTCTTACAAGGAACCGCATCTCCACCCGCAAAAGCTTAGCCCAACCTCCCCCCAATCTAAACATCTCAGGCACCCTCTCTCGGCCTTCTCCAAGTCCCGCGTATCGGCATCAGACTGGACATGGGAACCGCACATTGTCCGCGCTCCAACCACTTTCGCAATTCCTTCGTAGTGTACGTGTACGTGGCCGAACCAGATGAGCACATGTCGGGTTTTGCTGCTTTAACACCGCGTCACGGCTATTTCTCTCACGGCTGTCGGCCAGGCTAACATCCAGCGCATGTACTGACACTCTCAGACAAAGGGGGAAACAGTTTGGAGTCAGACGGCGTGAAATCTTTTTCCCCCATCTAGTCCAGACAAAATTCAATGCTGCAAGATTTTGCGTGTTGCATTTGCGTATTCCTCGGGTACCTATCCCTCCGCCTTCTCTTCTGCTTCTGGCGCTGGGGGAACCCATACCAGCAGCCCGTCCTTGTCAATCTTCATCCCCTCCGTTGGAATAACCCTCAACACCTTCTGGAAATACTTGTCCCTCACTACCAATCCCGGCCGTATGTAGACGCCTCGTGCAAGCGGCAGCAGGCGATACGTCTTGGTGCGTCTTGACATTGGGAGCAGATGCACCGTCGTCTGCTTCGATCCAGAGAAAGCAAACGCATCGCTTGGTTCCATCACCAATCCGAATGTCAGGAAATGGCTAGATGGGTTTTCAATCGTGATATCGAGCCGAACCAAGCCTGCCTGCTCCTGCGAGCTATGAAGCACTGATGCCAAAACTCTGGGCTCTGTCCCAAGCACCATGTACTGTCCAACCGTCATCGTCGTGACATTGATCGTGTTGCTCTCGCCATCTGCTAATTGTCGTCGTCGTCGCCAGCGGACTACAAACGCCAAATCAATTGCGACGGGGTGCCTGTCGTCCAACGTGATCTTCTGCGCCACCAGGCCAAATCGAGCTTCATACATCGTCTTGGGAGCCACAATCATGCCATCAGCTGAGAACTCGGGCTGGTTCACAACCTGGCACCGTCCACCAGGCGTCACAGCCGTAACTGCCAGATCCAGACCAACTACGTCCAGATCCTCTGTGGCGAACGACGCATAGTGACAGACTAGACACCATTGCTGCGCAAGGCCCCTGGCCTGAATAACATCGCCATCAGACACATCTTGCAGGTCTTCATAGTCGAACAGGCTTGGCCAGGGATCGGGATGAAGCCGCGGCATTAAATCGTAATTTGCTTCAAACGCGTTCACGATATTGAGGTGAATCGGCAGCACTTGGACAATCGGCGTTGCGGCATCTGATTCCAAGTGGTAATCTGCCCGAATCTGTACTTCATACACTGTAGGCGCTGGCGCTGGGTCGAGATGAATCGACAACTCCAGCGACGAAGAGCTGCCTATGTGACCGAGAGCGAGCCCCGTCACTTGCGACTCTTCTTCAGCAGTGTCTGCCTCTCGTTTGTGTTCGCCAGCGTCCACTCGGAACCGAGGAATAACCTTTCCAACAATGCGAATGTCCAACTTCACATTAGCAGAGTCGTCCTCTTCATTGTATAAGCCGATCCGCAGGGGAATCGGCTCATTAGCATAGAACTGGCTGAGGGGCTCTACCAGCCTCAGTTTCATCTTGGGAGGCCTTGGTTGTATATGTAAAATGTGCCCGTCGGGTCTCGACAGCCGTGGTTTTGTCGCGCCTTGAACGAACCATCCTGTGATGTTGCCCAACTCTGACAATGACAGCGTGTAATCCAGCTCAAAGGTATCGGCTTTGTAAGTCAAAACCACGCGAGACGCCGACGCCTGCCCTGCTTCTCGCAAGGGTATGTTCATCTCAAAAACCTGTCGGCGGCCGGGTCTAAGCGTAAGATCGCATTTGCCAGTCAGTTGACCCTCCTTTTCGTCGTCCTTGTCTTCGACTTTGCCTTCGTCCTTTGCCTTGTCTTGGTCCCCGTCTCCATCGTGTTTGTCCTCCTTTTCGCTTCCATCATTTTCCTTGGCATCTCCTGCAAGTTGCTCCGTCAAAGCTACGAGGGTTACGGAGACAGGAGTTTCGGAAGAATTCGTCGGCAAGTCAGAATCGTGTATAAGCGTGATCGGTTTAAGATGTCCCTCGAATTCGATCCGGATTGAAGACAAAGTAACTGGCGCAGCTGCCTGAAGCGCCTCAGACTTTAGCGACAGCTGAGCCAAGCATGTCTCACCAGCCCTGCCCTCTTTAGAGCGAAAAGCAAAGGATGTTGATATAAAAGACGAGGCTACATCATCCGAAATGGTAATGAATGGCCTAGATGTCGATGCTACCCCATCTAATGACTTGGCAAGATCATAATGCCAGTTCTTTCTTCGAGTAAACCCTGAATGTCAAGTATTAGCATAGCTCCAAGCACATGCATCAACGGCATCAGATCAAACTTACGCTCATTCATTAGTTCCCAGTCAATTGCGACCACAATGTCCGCCCGCCCAGTTTCTGCCGCCGCCCGCCTCATTACCCATAGGATCTCTTCAGAGATGTCTAACCACCATTCGGAGCGGAAGGATTTATCTTCCCACAACGGCCTAAGCATGGCCAACACTTCATTCCAGCTGCCCAATGTCGCCATTTCCCTCGCGCACTCTAGAGATATCTCTGCCGCGATTCGGTGCTGCTTCCGCGCTTGAAACTGTCCCCTGGCGTTGAGAAGACAGTCTATCATCATCTGTGCATGGTTGATTCCGTTTCCGTTCAACGGATATTCCTCGTGAGGCGGAGGACACATGTATGTATCATAGCGGATGGCCTTGCTCGCCACCCTCGACGCGGGCGAAGCGTCTGGCGCTCCCCTATCATCGTCAGGTATCCTATGGGCTAATTTTCTGCGAGCTCCAAGGTGGCGCGCAGCTATCCGGTACCAATAGCCCGTATGATGCAATAGTTCCCAGGGCTGCAATCGCTCTCCAAAGAGAGCCTTCTCTGGCTGAAGGAAAATCCTCATGGTTGAGGGCCCTAAGCCCGGAACTTCGACCATCTCAATCATGTTTGCCATCACCATTGCCCACCGAGATTCCCAAGCTTGCCAGCCGTAAGTGTTGGTGCCTCTTCCTCGGCGGTCAACAAAGTCGCTGATGCGGTCACGGTGAGACTGCCATCTCCTAACTGCCAGGCTCGTTTGCCCCATCCACAAATGCAGCCGTAAACAGCGAATCGATATAATATCCGCCAGAAGCCGTGCCTCGTTCCAGCGAGGGCTCCAGCTGGGGATGATATCGAGCACGTCTTGACCAAGCAAAATCTCGTACGCCTGCTCAAAAGATCGAATCGCTGCGTCAATTTCTTGGCGAAACTCGGCGAAAATGGCAGACTTGAAATCATAGCGGAAGTTCCAATCCGGCAACGACAGTGTTTGTGATGTTCCAGAAGTAGGTGGCAACGTCGGCTGAGGAACGATTCCTCGGGATCTCTTCTTCCTAGCGTGTCTCCCGAGATCTCGATAATACTCGATGGCCGTGTTATATAGCAGAGAGAAAATACTATCCATCACCCTCCTCAATTCCGACGGCGATTCCTGCGGAGGAATATAGAAAATGGATTTAGGGTCTAAACCAGTTCCCCTTCGAACACCCTCCAGTCGATCTTGTATGATTTCGGCAGTCAGTTTAGCCTTAGCCTCCGCATCGCCGAGAATGATAACAACCAGGCGTGTCTTGTATCCCGATTCCACCAAAGTCGCTCTCATACCGTTAAGAGCAGACTTTAACCGATTGTCTTGCTGCACGGCAATCTTTGAATCGCTAGTCAAGGTATGGAAGCAAACGAATATGCTGGGTATTTCTTCCTGGTGCTTCCCGATCCACCGCGCATTCATCAGTCCATCAGGGTACAGACCCGACGACGGGCTGAGCGGCGAGAAGGGCGAGTGTAGAATCGGGGTGGTTGTCAACGGCTCGATGGTCTCAGGCAGCGTCGCTCGTCGAGATGGAAGGGCAAAGGACTATATTCAATCAGAAATGCGCTGCGCAACCGGCTCGGCTCCCATTGCAAACTCGTCTTACCCTGCCGACGGTCTTGACACGAAGCCTGTAGTGCTCTTCCCTCGTGACCACAGTCCATGATTTCCCGCGCTCGTCCACCTCTTCAAAGTACGATTCCAAGAAATCCGCTTCTTTTCCCTCGAGAGGCGGCAGATCAGACCGAAGAAGGACGCCCTGGTTGGCCTTGGGAGGCTGGTCTGGCGAATCCGAAGTCAACCCCGACACCACAATCAGCGGCACATTATGATCGAGGCTTCCCAAAGGGTAGCCATCCATGGTGATTAGTTCGGCGTCGAGAAGACATAGGCCAGGCGTCTGTTTCGTGCCGAGGAGCTTCGCATTCAGATCGGACTTGCGCAACTGGTTTCACTTGGTCAGAGGTGGTGGAGCAGCGTTTAACGTTGGCATCACTGGTGAGCAAAAGCTGCCCCTCGTTGCGGCGCAAAGCAGCCCACCTTGCAACCTTGTAAACGAGCGTTATCCGAGGCTTTCTCCAGCAAAAGCCGAGATGTAAAAAATAAAATGAGGAGATGTTCAGAAAACAACAACTAAATCATCAACCAAGTGCACATTTCGACCCGTGAAACCTCGATGAAATGGCACAAGCTCGCAGCATAAGAAGCTCCCAAAGTGACAACTCGATAGACCTGCCATTAGCGGCAACGTTATTAGAGCTCACAGTGAGTTGGGCGGCACAAAACGAACCGGCGCCGGAAGAACGCCGGAAGCCGAACAAGCGCACTTCTCTACCCAAAAATTCAAGATGCAATAGAACGATACAAAACAATCCCTCAATTCAACCACAAACCCACCGATTCCCAAGCGCAACTTCGCAATCTTCATCGCCCAACTCCTCGCCTTTCCCCCTCAACCATGAGACCCACGCAAATCCTCAGCGTGGGCAAATACCGCCACCTCAAGCTCACAACCAAGGACGTCGGCCGCGGCTTCTACAAGGGCAACCGAACAGGATCCATGGGTCGCCACACAAAGTACGGAGGATACCTCATCGAATGGAGCAAAGTGCGCACATACGTTGTGCCCCAGAACCTCGGCGAGTCCAAGGTACGGAAAAAAAAAAAGGAACACACCAAGGCAGGATATTGGGCACTGGCAGAAAGAGATCACCGAGGCGGGAAATTGGGCATTGGCAGAAAAGAGAGCTAACATTTGTGGTTTATTGCAGCTCACTCCGTTTGTCAGCAGAGAAGTTCGATCCGAGCCCGGTGATTACAAGGGCCTGAGCAAAGGTCCCCAGGATCCTTACTTTTACGTCGAGCAGTGGAAGCGATATAACGGCGTTGACTAAGTTGTCTTTTCTATGAACCATACAAACTATGCGAGACGGAAGAAAGAAAGGGCACATCTACGAATAAATACTACAGCAGAAGTCAAGGGTATTCTGCTAAAGTTGTACATATATACACCCTACGAGCATTGTACCACCACCATGTATGATGGAGTCAAACGGTGAATAAGGGGAGAATAGGGATACCATCACGGCCATGTATGATTAGTTACGGTATCTAAACATACACCATACAAAAGGGAAGGAGGAAGAGAGGGAATTAAAAAAAAATAAACTCAAATTCAAATAAAATAAAGAGCGCCACTATTGATGTGGCCAGGATATCACTAGGTATATGCTTGCTTGCTGGCTGGCTGCCTTGCTTTCTTGCCGCCATTCTTCTCCCATTTATTCCCTTCTCTTGACGAAATTATTCACACCTCCCATCTCTTTCACGTCTCTATCTTGACCTGCGGCAATTCTTCTTGTGCTGTCACAAAAGTCTCAATGCCCGGACGCTGTGCTTCGACATTCTCATTGTCTTCAGCTACCCCATTAGCAGCGGCCTTCTCCTCACCCAGCTCTGTCTTTGAGCCCGTTACGCCAACAAATGCTGGTCCAAGCGACGGGCTCATAGGTCGCGAACCAGGCGTCATTGCTGAATTCAGCGTAATCATGCTCGCTGTTTCTGCATCATTCTTAATGCTGAATGGCAAGGCGATGCCGTCAAGGAACGGCCTCTTTCCAGCCACACCCGTGTCAGGGGAATAGTCTGGGCTGAGGAGACCATCGTGAGCTGCCTCCTGCTCTCGGCGCATGGCAATCAATTGCCCCACAACAGTTTCCCCCTCCGTCTCTTCACTGCCGGTTTGATGCTCATCTCGCACAATCCGCTGACGAGAAGGTCTGCGGCTATGTCCACGTTTCTCGCCTCCAGACTCCAACGGAGCCTCGTTATTCAGCTCCGGAGCAACGGCTTGCATCTCAGGTTCGAAATTAGCCTTCTGCTCTCTCTCCACCGTCATCTCGTCATGCTTTGATCCCCAAAGGGACCAGATGGCCAGGCCAAAACTTCTCCTTCTCTTCCCTGGCTGCAACTCGGTACCCAGGGGTATTCGCCCAGCCAATGCAGTAGGCGGCGGACGCTCATCCGCGCCAAAATCTTTATAACCAACAATCATCTCTTTAATGATCTTTTTATGTGTTTTGGCTTTGGCGCTGGCATATTTGTGGTCCCATACGCCCTTGGTTTCTAGCCACTTTCTAACAGGGCCTTCTTTGATGACTCCAATCTCTTCGGGCTTCATGTTGCATCCAGGCAAGTCTTTTTCCAGGGGAAGAGGCAAAATGGCGCCATTCCGGGCTATACGCTGTCGAATCATATAATTCTTGAATGGGGGAAGTGGATCTCCTGCTCTTCCAACCTCTGCTGGGGTTAAATCATCCGCTGGCTCTTTGTCTTTACTCTGGTCTTGCTCTTCCTGCCCCCCAGCTTCTGTATCAGAGCCAGAGCTTGTAATGACGGAAATCGCATCATCATCCATAATCTCAATATCTCTGTTCTGAGCACGAGCCAGGGCCCAGGCCCCAAACTGCGCAATCGACCTGTACATGTACTTGGCAGGGCTTGTAAAGCTCAGAGTCGGAGCAACGTGGCACAGATCGTCCCACACTTGAAGCTGCACATAGGTAGGCTTGTACTTGGCAAGTAATCTCCTTCCGTGATCCGTCAAGTCCGCGTCCGGCGGAGCGTATTTTGTCGGGTTCGCGCACTTGTGAGCCAAGTAAATCTGCTCGTCACGAAGAAGCTCGCCACCTCCGACGGTGATGAGAAGAGGTGGCAGCCCACCAAGCGTCGGCTGCTTGACGGGGCTCACCAACGGGTGTGATAGAAGGGCATTTGTCGTATACATCTAGCAGAGGTTAGGCTCCATTTCCACCCAGGCGGTGAATAACTCAGAACTCACCTGAATCTGGTCCTTCATGGTGATCAGCTCTCCATCGATTGTAACGGTCAAAAACTTTTCCGTCTCGGTGTGAACGCCAGCGCTATCAATGTGAACGCCGGTTTCGCCATCAACTACCGGAACCACGGGATCCTGCTGCTTCTGCTCTAGCTCGGCCGTAGACGGAGCTCGTTTCTTATCCGTCTTCTTGCGCTTGTCCGCCTCTGCCTTGAGCATCTGCACATCATCGTCGTTGGGCGGCGGCCACGCCCTGGATGGCTTATGGTGAAACCCTGACTGTGGTATGTAATCCAGGGGCGTCTCGAGGGCGACGCTGGGAAACGAGTGCGTCAAGTCAACCCAGGGGCTTATGAGGATGCCCCCGGCAGGCAATGGAATGCCTTGGTCTCGAAGAAGGCACAGCATGGACGTTACCATGCCACCACCCGCCGAGTCTCCAGCAAAGATAATCGTGCTCGGGTCTTGCGTTTTCAGCAGATATAGATACGCCGCCAAACAGTCCTGGAGGCCACATGGAAATGGAAATTGAGGAGACAGTCGATATCGCGGTGCAAAGACTCTAGCTTTCAGTTTTCTCGCGTGGCGCTGTAACTGGTACCGATGCTCGTCGACGCTCCCAAAATAATACGCACCCCCGTGTACGTAAAGCATCACGCGACGCAGCGGCTCGTTGTTCTTCTTCCGCTCATTGGCATCCGCCCGCATCTCAATCCACTCGGCCTCCAAAGGCCCTTTCGGACCTCGCCAGTGCCACCATTTCCTGCCCCCAACCTGGCTGATGCCGTCAGGCCCCAGCTCCCCCTCGATCAATTCTGCTGCTCGGCCGAGGTGTTCGTCAGGAATGGTCACGGTCTCCAGCTTGACCCATTGCGGGTGCGGGACCCATTGGGCCGTGAATCCCTGGATCTCTTCGACGGTGTGTTGAGAGGCATACTCGAGGAACGATCGGACAAGGTGCAGCCCCTCGTCGTACGAAAGATGCGTGGTCGGGTGCTCTTTCAAGTTCTTCTTGTTCAGGTACTACAGAGATCCCGCCCCAGCAGAGCACGAGTTAGCACAATTGTCCTCATTAAGAAGCAATCCAAAAGGATCCCCCCTTCGCTTCTTGAACATCAAACACCAGCAACATCAGGCCCGTCGCCATTGAATTGTACATACGTGTGAAAACAAGGTGGTGACTACCGTTGGCGTTACGGCCAGAGAAACCGACGTCGTGTTAAGCCTGTTCATGGCGATCTCGTTTGTCTTCCAGGTCCCATTGATTCGTGCGGATCGCTGGTTTATAGGGAATACGAGTATAAAAGGGACAGCGCAATCTAATCAAGAGACGGGAAAATACGAACACCGACACACCGGCATAAAAAGGGCTGCGAGGTCAAAGCATCTTGATATTGGCATCAGGGGCCCCCATGATGTCATGCTTCATATGGCAAGGGATGATCTTGGCTCCCAGTCCTCGAATGTCGGTTGGGAAAAGAATGCTACTGCATTAGTACTAGCGCGGGGAGCTTGGTTCGCCGGCATGCTAGTGGTCCGTGCACAGGCAATCTGGCACAGAATTTGCGGGCGGGATTGAAAAAAAAAAACACCAAAAGTTTTGTGCAGGCTGGAGGCCGTTTGAATTTGAGCCCCTCCATATCCCCGCTTAATACATTCAAGGCCAGCATCAGCATCATGGCATCTACAGAGGCAGCGCAGTTGCCGCCGGCGGGTAAGTGGGAGCATAGGCATTCATCAGGCCTTGGGACATTGGTTTATTAACTCTGCATAATCCAGCACTCCGGCAGTCCAACTTCGAACAAGCAGTGGCGTGTGCCCTTCACCTATGGCCGGCCCTGACCCTCGCGGTGCAGAACAACTGGGGAGGACCCGACTCTGCGGACAAACGGGACTGGTTTGCTGGCGCCGTTGTCGATCTGTTTTCTGAATTCACCGATGCGCAGCCGGGAGAGACTGCACCGACGACCAGCGCCGCTGATGAACCAGATATGGAGGACGTCGAGACGGTGCTGCTACAAGTTATGATTGACGAGTTCGAGGTCAACACCGATGATGATTCTGCCCTTGAAGTTGCCAGGTCCATTATCAAGGCGCGATCCGAGTGCGCCATTGGCGAATTCAATGAAGAGGTCAAGAAGCTGAGCGAGCGATTCGCGAATCGGAAGGGCGCCAAGGTGGATCAGATGTTCAAGAAAGCCGAGGATGAGGACCAGGATACCGACTGGGAGTCTGGCGACAGCGGCGAGGACGATGATGACAACGGAGGCGATGTAGAGATGGACGAGGCGCCACCCCTGGTACCCGTTGCCAAGGAAAAGCCTGCCCCTGAAATTGACGAGGACGGCTTCATCAAGGTCACCAAGAAGAAGAGGTAGACCTCGAGTAGCAGAAAAACATGAGGGGATCACGCTACCGCCGTGAAGGAGCACATCCCAATCGGCATGATCCAAAACACACAAGTACACAGCGCCGTGACGACTCGACGTGCTGAATAGGCGATAGCAATTCCAAACGCCAAAGTGCCCAAGCTCTAAGAAACAAATTATACCCGCAGACGCACAGAGCAAACGCGGGACGAATTTACTCCCAATCCTCGTCGCTGTCGTCATTATCGCCTTCGCTATCATCGTCGCTGTCCTCGTCACTATCATTCTTCTCCCCCTTCTTCTTGGGCTCCTTCGGGCTGTTTGGCGTCTGACTAGGCAGCTGGCTCGTCTTTCCTGAAGCTGCTCCTACAACATCATAGCTAGCATCGGTTTCCGCCTCGGATTTTTCATCATTGGATTTTCTAGACTCAGCGGGCTTTATGTCTTTGGCCTGGATCGTGGTCGATGAAGCAATAGACTCGGGCTTCTTTCCCTTGGCATCGGCAGCGGTGGTCTTATCGGCTGGAGTAGGCTTTGTGGGCTTTTCGTCTTCCTCGGAGTCATCTTCTTCCTCTTCCTCCTCGGAGTCGTCATCCCAACCAACCTCATCTTCAGCAGACGCGGCTAGAAAAGAGTGTGTCAGCAAGAACTGATTATTAGATAGAATAGGCATAATGAAGCAAAAATAGTAGCATCTGATTACCATCAGCTTACCTTTAAGAAGATCACGTCTTCGTGATTCAGCAGTCTCGATACCATGGCGCAAGAAGTAGTATCTCTTCCAAAAGTCGGCGTAGGGAATCTGGTCCGGCACTAGCTTCTCCATAGTCGCTCGCAGTTCGGGGTATTTGGCCAAGTCGCCGCTGATTTCATCCGTTTGCTTGTCGATATCAAAACCGCTGGTCCATTGGTCGTATTCCGTGGCAGACGGGTCTTTAGCGAAGCTCTCCGGGGACGTGTGGATGACATGTAGCTGGGCCTCGAATCTTGAAGTATGAATCACACGCTTTCCTTGAGCATCTTTGCTCTCAAACATGACCTGGCTGCCTTCGGTTGATTCATCTGGAGGCGCGACGCTAATCGCATCCCGTAAAAAGTCACGAATATTGCTTCCAAATCTAAGCAGAGCTTCGTCGGCGGCATCCTCAGCTTGCTGCAAGTCCTTTAAGCGCTTCGCAGCCTCAGCCCTTAGGCGCGACAGCACAGTTTCAGACTCTTGGGCAGAAGCGCCATCTCCAGCTGCCGGGGCCGTTGTATTCGTTGGAGTCCTCTGGCTATCGTCGGCTTCGGCGTTGGACAAGTCGGGGATGATGGTGGTGAGAGAAAGCGATCGGGTTCTGTTTGCAATGGTTTCTCGCAGACTGGTAAGTCCCTTCTGCGCATCCTCACCAACCTCTGCAAACTCCTTTGAAGCTTGAGTGTAGACGGATTCGCCCTGCAGCAGATGAGCCTCAGCCACGAATAGCGGTGATACGGCGGCAGCCCGGTTGTCATACCTGCTTGATTACATTCCCAAAGAAGCCTCCAATCTTGGCGCCCCACGGGCTTGCGGAGAATGCCTTGTAAGCTTCTTGGATATCGCTGTTCAGGGAAGTTTGCGCATCTTCCTGTTTGGAGCTCTCTCCTGGCTCGTCGGTGTTCTTGATGTAGGCCTCCTCCTGGATATGATCATACGCGAGATCCATGATGGGTAGACGCCGGCTTCGTCCGCGGCGTGGAGAAATACTCCGAATATCTTGATTTCGCTGTCCTTGTCGAAGTTTCCGGTATGAAGCTCCGGAATCTGCTCTCAAGGGATAAACAGGGACATCAGCAGCTGAGCTGGTGTGCTAACGGATGCGGTAGAGGGGGGTGGGCGGGGAGTGCATCGCAATCACGTGAGACTCTAGTACCGGGAGCATCATGGAGCAGTGAAATCCTACCCTGTAAGTCTATATCAGGATCAAAATGCAAACTTTCTGCTCGAACAGCTTCCTATGCATATGAATCTCATGGTGTTTTCTGTACTCAATGTTGGTTATTAGGTCAGCTACTGAAAACCGTATATAACGTATGCACGGAGTAGCTATCTACCAACTTAGTAGGTGTGTGCTTGTTCATTTATCTGTCTACTAGCCTAGTCATACACCAAAAGGGTAATACTGAGAGATAAAGTGAAATACAGCAACAGCGCTAAATGATTTTGGCTATAATCGAAAATATTCACCAAATCCTACCTATGTAAATGCTCACCATACGGACGTGGTATGATTTAGGCTTGAGAAGGTGGAACACTTCATTACTAACTGCCGTTGAGCATGTGACATCAGTCCGATGTTGTCCAGAATGGATACGCATGGCGTGATGGAGTAACGGGGGTAGCATAGGACGTAAGCCGCAGGCATAGGCATAGGCGACATATTGCCTGATGTTGAGCGCAGTAACAATATCTATTCTACGAGTACACCGTAGCTTGTTTGGCGGTTTACCTAAAAACGTAGAGCAGGGCGTAGAACGTCCATATTAGACCGGCCACTCTCTACGTTGTTCCTAATATCATACTATGCAGCGCCGCAGTTCCCAACAAGATAAGGTAGGTGGCTTAGATGTACGCTATTCGTCGTGGCGTAGAGGTTCAGCACCGCAAGTCTCGTGATGGCAATTACTGGACAAGCTAAGGCCAGTTGAAAGCGATGCTGGCCGTCTTACGCCACGTCTGAAAGGGGAGATTCAAGCATCAGGGTATTGATCCGCTCAGATGACCACAGAAACCTGTTATACCACTGTCCTGCCCGCGGTTGTTGTGCCAAGTTTTTTGTCTCCCTTGTCCCGAGGCTAATGCAATTACGCGATGCAACCAGTGTTTAGAGTTGTGTTGGTTCGCTGGGATCGGACAGAGGGTATATTGCATTCGTGATGGTTTCAGCAAGACGTCGATATGGGCTACTTGATATTGTATGGCTGAGAGTATATGCATCGACTGTATTTTGGTTATTACAAGTCCTACAACGACTTTTCGTGGCTGATGTGCCAACTAAGACCATCTGTACATTAATTACCTGCTAATTCATTGATATGTTGCTCTGCTATCTGCTCACCCTTGAGTTGCTCATTGACGAATCTATGCCGTCATTGTGCATTGTGGAGAGGTCCCAATCAGATCTAGATCCAGGGCCTGAGCTAAATTGCCCCCGTAAGCTCCATCTTCTCCGCAGAGTCAACGGTGAATCGACCGGCTGCCTTGAGGGCCAAAGCTCGATCCTCTTCAAAATCCAAGATGTTGCGATCGCCAGACGGCTTGTACATCTTGTTTTTTTGCGTCATTGCTCGCCCAGAGTGGGATTTGTGGAGTGCATGTGATTTAAGCTTTGTCCTGGACCGATTGACATGACGTATATGTTGCCATTCTCATTGGCGGATGGCCCTCATTTGGCCCACTTACTACCGGATCCGCTGCCAATTGAGTGTCGATTGTGCCTGACAAGTGACGATCATGGCTTCCGAGAACATGTTTTGATGACATCGAAATGTTCAGAATGCATCGGAATGCGGGTTCCCCTTGGGATTACATGCTCCCGGAGGACTCCGCCGTTGTTTATTTAAACCTCGTCGACATCCCGTCTGAAAACTTTTTAGAATCATCATCACACTCTCAAACACACAACTCAACTACACCTTTCACCTCTCAACTTACACCACAACTTACAATCTCATCTCGAGACCAACCAAATCATTCACAATGGAGACTGTCAAGCAAGCCGTCAACTACGTTGCCGAGTCTGTCCAGGGCGCTGCCTCTGGTATCAGCAAGGAGACCAACAAGGAGATTGCAAAGGACAGCAACGTCGCCGCCAGCACTCGGTAAGCCGGAGCAAAGATCCCGAGAGCCTCTGTGCCAGGTCCCTGGTCCGCTAACTAACTCATCCGCAGTTTGTCCGCTGGCAAGGACGCCCTCGGTGACAAGTTCGACGAGACAGCCCACAACAACAAGGCCGAGGCTCACAAGGAGCTGGCCGAGCACAACTAGAGCGGCATAAGAAGCTTCGATTGCTTCACAGGCGTTGAACCGGATCAGAGCGAAGGGAATACATAGCCTATTAGGCAGGAATTGATGATTTGAATTCGGATATGCACTCTTTGTGCCCACTGGTGGTGATATTGTGGCATCCATCTATTTTGTCGTGAAGCAATCTGTCCAATTCGCCAAGTCATAGTGTCGTGAATCTGCCCCTCGTTTCATCATGAACGCCCGAGTCCAGCTGATGACTCAAGTTTTAAATGTCTCAACCACTCAGCTATGCAGCGAGTAACTGCCGACGGCGTATGATTATCCAGATGGGCATAGAGTCGCCTCCCATTAGTCGCATCCTTCGTATCGAGTGAGTTTAGTTGCGCACACTAGTGATAATATAGGAAAATACTCGACTGCTGATAACAGCCGGCGAGCTTGGCCAAAATTCAAATCGAGAAATAGCCTTATCCAGCTCCCCGGCCAATGGTAGGGCTGTTGCACGGCGGGGTAATGGTGGTAGTAGTAGCTGGGAATAGTAGCATTCGCCGTCAATCTTGGGAGTGCTGTGAGAGTTCGATGACAGCCACCAAACGTCGGCAAGAGTGCCGCATATTTTTTCCGTGATCCTTCGGATAGACCCCCCCTCTAGCTCCAATTGCCCCTCGATCAATCCTGACAGTATCAAAGACAGCTAGGGCCGCCGAGTACTCAGCCATTGAGACGCACGCGGCCAACAAGTCATCAATAATTGATGCCTCCCGCGCTTTGTATGCGCCCGAGGGCCTATTATCGAGAAAAACCGAGATGCTACTCCGTGCTCCAGTGTCGGGGATACGAGGCCCAGGGTCCTTTTTCCGGAAGCGGGACAGCCGCTAATTGGTCGTCAACCCCACCCAACGCCCGGAGATTGTAGCATACAGGAGCGGAACTGCGGGCTTTCGCGGCTAACATGAGCGGGCATGCGGTGTATCTGCTTCATTTTGTCCTTTTTGATGGCTAGTGCCCTTTGCTGTCTGACAAGAATTGCAACGTGAAGAAAAAGGGTCCTTCGTGTTATTGGGGGAAATCCGGCTTGGTCTGTCCTTTGCGCAGCGCTAGCTGCATCAGATGGCAAATCACCTCATCGGGCGACGGGCCGCTGGGCAATTGAGCAATTTGCTGACGATTGAATGCCTTTGCCATGTATGTCTGTGTCTTGGATATCGGGATGAGGGTGGGAGCAGCCAAATGTCTCGACAAGAAAAGAGACATGGCGACACAGTGACTGTCGAGTTCCTGGCTTTCGGCATTGCTGGGGATATCGGTCGGACACAGCACAATTGCCGAAGGGGCACGGGCTGACACAGCTCGATTAGCACTGTATTTCGCGGTCGATGGTCATTCGGGTACTTGCAAGTACGGGACGGGTACCGACATCGTCAGCAACTCAAGTGCCTGTTTTGGTAAAGAGATTGTCACGGCCAAGGTACTCTAGGTAACTCGCATGTCGGCTGTATGTACATGTCTCCCCCGGTTCATGCTGGCTGGGCAAGGCGATGTTGCTATCAATGCACTAACGGGCCCTTGGAGACTGGAAGGCGAATAAGCAAAACGGGGAGAAGGGGAGCAAGATCAAAAGAGAGGAGAGAATCTTCGTCGGGACGCATGCAGACAGGGACGGCGACCTGTTATAGTCAGCACGCGGACAATGCACATCGCCTGGTGTTGCGTTGCTCGTCAATGGCAGCACAAAGCACGCATTAGGCCTCTTAATATTGCCGCCGGGTCAAGTCGCAGATGCTCGGTAAGCAAGATCAAATGGATCGAGGCCATCCGGGCGACACAGTGCGCTATATACTGTATCGAACAGGTGCTGTCAGGCCTTCCTTGGCCGACACCGAGGCGTCGCGGCAGAGCGGGCAGCGGTCAGGCCGAGCAGGACGTCTTGAACGCTCCAATCAATGGCCGGGCGGCACGCTAGCCAGACACCCTATTGGAAGGGCTGAAGAGCCGGACGACTTTTGCTGCGCTGCCCCCGCCCTGCGCTGCCGCTGACAAATGCGGCAAGATTCCTCATCCTCAGCATCAGTCGAGTCGTCTCCCCAGCATCACCACACGCTGGCTGGCTGTCCCCTCTTTCTCTTTCGCTTTGTGCCATGCCACAGTGCGCAGAACAAGATACTGCTCTCTCTGCTCTGTCCTGCCAGGCCGCACGGAAGCGCCTAGAAGAAATTTTCTGACTCAGGCAGCAAGAAAAGCCGGCGTCGTCTCTTTTCCCTTTCCCTTTCCCTTTCCCTGGCCATCCGCTTTGCCCCACAGCTGCTAACGAACGACGCTGGGAACCGCTACCAACATTCTCATTTGCCTCCCGGCCGTTCTCTTGCACCAACCAAACATCATCACCACGACACTCCTGGGCCCCAAACCGCTACGTCTGTCCGTGACGTGCAGTGCATCCGGGATTTCCCTGTTCGCCTCTCTTCATCTATTCTTATCTGGCTCGTATCCCCCTCGTCGCAGCTCTGCTCTCGAGACTTGTTTCCCCTGGATCTCTGGCGCCCTAGCGTCTGGCATTTCAAATCAATCTCCCCGCCACCCGCGGCTACGGAGGGAATCGACCAAGTCCGTGCTGAGAGACTGAGAGAGACCGGCGCTCTTGTCTGCTGTTCTCACGGCAGCGATCTCGTCAAGATTGGCTTCTCTTTTTGATTTGATACATTCTCCTCTCGACGCTTGCTGCAATGGCGACCACCGGTTCTGGAAGTGGCTCGTCATTGCCACCGAATTTCTTCTTGACCCCGCAACAGCAGAATCTTCTCTTCACGGCTCTCAACGCGAACAAGCAGCAGCAGGCGAATGCAAAGACGGGCCTCTCGCTGTCCCCGACTTCTTTCAAGACGAATCCGCTTCAGAGCCTTGATGGCGCTGCATTCCAGGAAAGCCCCTTCCTCGACAACTACGACTACGACTTTGGTGACTCCAGCTTTGATTTTTCATTTGCCAATGATGCGGCTCAGGCCGGCATGATTGATGATGTTCCGGATAGCGCCATGAGCGCCAAGTCCGACTCGACTGAAACTGACAGCCCCGAAAAGAGGAGCCATCCTGATGATGAGGATGACGATGCCAGCCCTGGCAACGAGTCCAAGAGGCATGAAGGCTCTGATAAGGTCCCCAAGAAGCCTGGCCGTAAGCCGCTCACTTCAGAGCCAACTTCGGTACGCTCCAATTTCTGCTGCCCCCCCTTGAATATTCTTCGAGTTCTTGTCCACTAACAAAGCCCACTGCAGAAGCGCAAGGCTCAGAACCGAGCTGCTCAGCGTGCCTTCAGAGAGAGGAAGGAGAAGCATCTCAAGGATCTTGAGACCAAGGTTGAGGAGTTGGAGAAGGCTTCGGAAGCCGCCAACCATGAGAACAGCATGCTTCGTGCTCAAGTCGAGCGCATCACTGCGGAGCTCAACCACTACAAGACGCGGATTTCTATTCCCACACCCAAGTCATCTGTCCAAACTGCCCGTGCCCAGCCCTTTGGTAGCGCAGCCATCAACAACATCAACGATGTGAGCTTCCAGTTTGAGTTCCCCAAGTTCGGAACCCTGCCTGGCCCCCCTGCCAAGTCGCACCAAAAGTCCATGTCGCAACCCATCAGCCCCAGTTCCCAACAGGCCCCCAGCCCTGCTGCAAGCCAGAACTTGGACAAAGTTGTCTCCCAACAGGCAGCACGAAATGCGCAGTTCAAGGAAGATCTCGCAAAGTTTAACAATGGCGTGTTCAACATGCACACCCCGTCCATGAGCAGCAGCTCTGCCGCTACTGGATCTCGGGCCAGTGTCGACTCGGTCAACTACAGCTTGAATAACACCACAAGCTCCCCATCGGCATCTTCCCATTCCAACGTCGGCGCGAGCTCGTCGTGCGGCACATCCCCCGAGCCATTCACCCAGTCTCCCATGGGTTTCAAGCCCGTTGATACCCTGACCACAATTGGCGAGGAGCATCCCTCCATGGCTACCAACGATGGACCATTTGCTCAATTCTCAGGTCTCGATTTCAGCAACAACAGCTTCGACTGGATCGTCCAGCAGAACAATGGCGGCCAGTTTGATCCGCAATTGTTTGGCGATTACCGCGAGCCTCAGGAGAACGTCATGACAAACAATACATTCGACGACTTGTTCAATGACTCGCTTGAAGCCGATTTCTTCACTCCTTATAACATTGCTGCCAGCCCCAACCTGCCGAAGAAGACCAATCTCATTGATGAAATCGATGCAAAGCAAAACGCAGATGATGATGTCACTACAAAGTCAAACATGAGCTGTAACCAGCTTTGGTACGTCGCCACGAATATGAGTTTTTTTTTCTTAGTTTATATACTAATATGTCTATTACAGGGAGAGACTACAAGCATGCCCCAAGGCTCAGAATGGCGAGTTTGACCTGGATGGCTTGTGCTCGGAACTCACCAAGAAAGCAAAGTGCTCCGGAAGTGGACCAGTCGTTGCGGAGAGAGATTTCGACAGTATCCTCAAGAAGTACATGGGCAAAGAGGCGGCTGATTGCACGGCTGAAAAGCTGGGCATCTCAGTTGAAAAGAGCCAGCCCGAGCCTCTCGTGATGCCATGATTTAGCAAAATCAACGGCATTCCACTGGCGCATAAGTGTACGTTAAAAACCGATTTTCGGGTGCAAAGAGGACACAAAGAATCCATGGATTTACGGCGTTTTGAGCAAACAGAGGGGCGTGGCCAAGGCCAGTGACCCCGGGCTTTTTCAAGCATTTGGATGGACATAGGACGAAAGGACAACTCGTCATTCTTGAAGCATAATTTTGGTATATTTTTTGATTTTACGATTAGGGACTCTGGTTGTTGTATCTCTACTATGAATGATCTACACTTTGCAATCAATCAATCTGTTTTTTTTTTGGCTTTTTCTCTTCGCTCTTTCGCATCAAGGAATCGATTTGGACCGATCTAGGCTCGAGAACGCTGCTCAGGGTGGGTTTGTTTTGGTTTATTTTATGGGACATACACGAAGGCAGTTATGGAAAGGAACTGGTCTTTGCTTTGTTTTCTTTGAGAGCAGATATGCTCTGATCCATCTTTATTCATGTATACAATAACCAACCGAAAAAAACCTATCCAATGGTAGGTCCTGCAATCAGAATCTACGAGTGTATAGGTAGTTTCATAACACTTCTTGGCGTATCTATCCAAGTATCCTAAACGAAGAAAACGACACCAAATGTCTTGCTTGTCCATCGTATCAACTCGTCGGGTAATTTTTCTGCCAAGCTTCTCGTCATTTTGGATAACCAACAAATCCTCTCTGGCCGCTAGTATCGGAATAACCCGTACTTTGGCAGTCGAGTCATTACATACCAAAACCCGTTTTCTGAGTGAGCGTACTGTCATGCTTGGATAATCAGGAACAGAAAACTCCGGAAGCGCGGCAAGGAAAAAAGGGAGAGGGCGTGTGACGACGGGAACTATAGAAATAAATCAGAAAAATAAGGACATGACCTCTTAGTATGTAGTTTCAAGCTTGGACAGGTTTTCTTCTTTTCTTTTGCCCCCTCTTTCTGGGATTCGCCTGGATTGTCTGATGTTGAAGTCGTCAGTCGGTGGTGTTGAGTCAGGGGGGGGATCATGAGACTTACCTACGTGATGCGAAAAAAGGCCGTGTCCTGATTGGCATCATGTGCTTGGAATGGACTTACTTGACAATACATACATCTTTTCTGAGTATTTGAGAGAGAAGATGGAAGAAATATGTTTTGGTGAATCATGTTACGGAGTGCCCATGCTTTTCGTATGCATATAGGTACCTGTATATGTTGGGCGAGGAGCATTCACGTTATATACAAAAGTTGCATAGCATGTACGGAGTACCATGCAATAATATTACCCGCTCTCCAGAAATCTCAAAATGCACACCCTTTTAACACACTCGACGGGATGATGGGAATGCGAATCTGAAAAGCCAATCAGAAAAGTACATCACAAGCACCCTTGACCAACGTAGATGTGTAACAAGAAAAATCCCTTCATTCTCAAGCATAACGTTAGGTAGGGTTCGCTCTTTAAGCTCATTTGACTATATATTTGGTATTTGCTATGTATGCATCATAATTATGGCCAGCTACGTAAAAACATAAAAATATCTCTTCCCCCGTCTGTCTATAACATTAGGCCGATTCCAAACGACATGATGGTGTACTTTGAGTGAAAGTATGATACCACGAGGGGATGATGCAGATATCCATATTCCCGCTAAAACCGCCCGCTGTCTCTTCCCTTGTTCCACGTCTAAAAATGTACCAACGCCAAACCAGGAGAGCGAAATAATAAAAAAACGAGTAGAGCAATTGGTGAAAAAAAAAAGACATTTGCTCTCTATCCAAGAAGAAGAAATTCCAAGATGAAAGAAAGCGTTAGGACATGCATATGTGAATCCCTTCCGGCAGGGAGGTTATATCGTACAATGAGATGGGTATCGACGATCGAAAAGGCGTTCTAGCCGTCAGATACGAAACAGGAGAGAGGCGCTCGAAATGTCTGCCTCTGAAATGTTTCATATGGGGACGGAAATCGGCCAAGAAATAGAAAAAGATAGGCATCGTGTTCGTCCGCCTTGCCTGACATGGCGACTGGACAAGCAATGCTGAGCTGAATTCCGTCCCAGGAGGTGCCGAGGGCCAGCGCTTCAAGCGGGCCGTATGAATTTCAGAATGTCAATCTTCCGTTAACTCCGCGTGAACCCATTAGCCCGTATCGCGTACTCATTCTCCTCGTGGGTGTCGCATCCAGCTCGCTATCCTTGGAGGGGAAAAGACGTTGGTCGTGTCGTCGCAAATCCATCACAGTCTTGGTCTTGGCTCTTCAGCTAATGACCACTCTGGCTCCCTCCTTGCCCAACACGCCACGTTCTTTGGGCTTGGGGCTGTTATTTCTCCCCTTCTTATTCCTCAAGAATCCAAACATGCCGCCTGATCCTTCGTTCTTGGCCTCTGCCGCGGTGGCAGCATCCTTGGGAAGCGTCGCGTCTTGACGGGCAAGATCTGACCAACTGCCTCCGCCATCCAGTGTCACCTGCACTCCACCTGTCGGACTGGTAACTCGTTTGCTCATGGGCGGCGGTCGGGGGACGTATTGAAGTTGTCCGGGATAAGCAGCCTGCTGGTCCTGAGGAGGCATCCGACCATCAGCGCCGATGGTAGGTTCCACAGGGGGAGCTGGATAGGTCACTGGCGGCGGCTCGTTTGCAGCTTCGTCTGTCGTGAGGGCCTGGGCGGCAATTGCAGCTGGGTCGACGTCGTCGCCGTGAATGGCAGCGAGCCTGTAGAGAGTCAGTATCCCGTTGTACGTTTGGTAAAAAGAGAGCATCTCGACTTACTTGTTGTAGGCCGCAATGTTATAGTCAAACGGACGGAAGTCCGTTTCAATCATCCGGTACAGCTCATCTTCGCGAATCTCCTGATCGGTGGCATCCTCCTTTAGCCTCTCTCTGGGCTTCTGTCGTCTTGCGCGAGCTTCAAGAGGGGCCTCTTCGAGTAGCAGCTCCTCCAAGTCGTAAGTCGCGTCAAAGTTGGTCTTGTCCGACGAGGGAACGAAAATAGGCTCGATGCGTTTCTGCTCGAGCAGATCGAAATTGATGGTTTTGAAGAAATCGTTGTAGATGAAGCTCTCCCATGTTGAGCCGAGCCGATTGTTGGGGTTCGGCTCGAGGGCGGCGCGAATGGCGTACAGGCATGTCAACGAGACGGGGGGCTGCGTAACGGGATACTTTGGCTGAGAAAACTGAACCTGTTGGCTGAGCGAGTTTTCACTATTGCCCTCGAATGGTCGCTGGGTTTGGTTAGCCACGAGGATTCTCGAAATCGCAATCGGGAGAGTTGCATCGCGGGAGCGGGAGCTGCGGAAGGATAGAAATAAAAACATACCTTGTTATAGATGCACTCGTAAAACAAGACACCTAGTGACCACCAATCCGCACGAATGTCGTATCCCTTGCCTGAATAAACTTCCGGGGCAAGGTAAGCCAAGGTTCCGGATTTGCTAGTCATGATGCGCCCCGGAACAATGTCAGAAGCCACGTTCTACGCAACGAGCCCAGTCAGCTTATCAGCCCGCGCAATCTCACAATTTGGACGAGAACCTACAAAATCAGTCAAATGGACATGCCCCTCGGCGTCGAGGAGGACGTTGTCGGGCTTGACGTCTCTGTGGATGATGTTCTGGCCATGGACGTAGCGGAGGGCGCAACCCAATTCGGCTATCCAGAAACGGACGGCTTCTTCGGTAAAGGTCTTTCTGGAGATGTGGAATCGCAAATCGCCACCGCTCATGAGATCGACGACGAGATACCTGAGCAGATGTCGTTAGCACGGCGTCCAAGGTTGGGTGGTAAGACGTGGGTTGGAGCGGCTCACATGTATTCGATATCCTGAAAGCTATATCGCAAGTTACAGATGAAGGGATGGTTGACGTGTTCCAACATTCGCCGCTCACGGATGATGTTTCGGACGCTTTCCGACTTGACAACTGTTGGGGATGTTAGCCGTGCTGTTTCTGTCGTGCCGGTGCAGCTGCACACCAGTCTTGCTGTGCAGCGAGCATCATGAACCCTCGTGTTGACGGACCTTCATCTTTGCGGATGTATTTCAGCGCAAACGCCAAGTTTGTGTCTTTGCGCTCGACGATGCGGACCTTGCCAAAGGCGCCTCGGCCGACGACTCGTAGCAAGCGGAAGTGGTTGAGGTTGGCTGTGGTTTTTTCGGTCAAAGGTCAGCTTAGAAACGACAAGAATGCAGCCGTCGTCGGTGCACCACGCGCCAGACACGTGGGAGGGGGCGAAGAGGAGGGAGGGATGCTGGAGGCCATGATTCGCTCGGGGGTTTTGCACGTACTTTCGCCAGTCAGGTCGACGGGCTTTCCCTGACCGTTGCCCATGATGAAGGCCTAGGGAGGATTGGAGGAGACAAAGTTGCAGCTGGATCGTCAACGACGGCAAAGGCTCATGCTGTTGGGAAATGGCAGTTTGTCTGCTCGGGTCACTGTTCTTTTCTGCGGTGGCCGAGGAATCGGCAGGCCGGTGGGGGGGGGGGGGTTTAGGATTAGGAGTATGGAGTAGAGGTATGGAGGTCGAGTCTGGTCGCAAATGGCGGGCTAGCAGATGTGGATAGGCGGCGAATTGACCGAATTCTGATGGCGAGCTCGACCGTTGGAGTTCTGGGGCCCAATGAATGCTGGCTCGTATCTGAGTTGGGGTCTGGTCTGGTATTACGGAGCGTCGTCCCGCCGTTTGCAACCCGTGCAAGGAGTCGATGAAGCCGGTCGACGATTGCTCTCAACAGGACAGGTGGACGAAGAAAGGACCGTCGCGGGTTGGGGATAAGATAGAGAGACGAGAGAGGATGAAGCGTGGAGGATGCGATGCGTAAGAGTAAGAGGAAGAGGAAGAGTAAGAGGAAGAGGAAGAAAAGGCCTGGCCTGGTCGAGGAGAGGAGCGAAGCTTGCAAGGATAGGTGGTAGAGGGCGATGATCAATGCTCGCCCCCAGACTAGCCAGTGCACTGAAAAAGATGCGGGAGATTTGATGCAACGGGGGGGAGGTTAGCGGGCGAGGGCGCCCTGTATTAGTGGAGATGGGCGCCGGTAGAGGAGCGACTGAGCGCGGCCGTGGCGGCAATGCAGTGGGCAGCTTCAGCGCCTTTAGTGCCTGTGCCAGACCTGCAGTGGTGCGGTGCAGGGACCCGTTCCCAAGGTGGGCGCGAATTCAATGCAATGGATTGATTCCTCCAGTCTGCTTGCGAGTACTCGTACATGTACGTTGCAGGGCTTGGTTTCAGGGAAACACAGCAGGAACAAGATTCAGGTACTCGTGACGGACGCGGGCGTGGGTTGGTGCTGGGCTGAGATTCGTGTGTTGTATTGCAGATTGATGCATCGTGGGAGTGAGACTCTGTCGTGTACTGTACCTCACAATGGATGGATCAATGGATTGATTGATGGTGGATGACAATAAAGCGGTGGGTACGGGGTATGTACTACTTGCTAATACTCGCAGTACACTGGACAAGAATTGAAGCTGGGAGAAAGGACTCGAGTCAATAGACTGGGGCCGTTGCTCTGATGCCAACCTGCAAAAGGCATGGGCTCCGGGATGACGCAAGGACGAACTTGGAGAGAGAGAGAGAGAGAGATAGTGCTCCGTATAGATGGAATTGAGGTGATACGTAGCAATTCATGGGATACTGTATCAAAGAAGACGAGGCCCCCCCCCAAATCCTAGACTATTTAGTACCTACCTATGTAGCCAAAATGGACCAAAAATGATAGACAGACAGACATCCAATGGCATGCATGGCAAATCAACGGCACTTGGCTCTTGTCGAACCCTGCCGATATGGAGTCGTACGGAGTCGTCAAGAGTGAGTCGCACAGAAGGGTTCATACTAGCGGTGTGTCGCATCCATGCCCAGCTCTCGACGAAGATGGACCACACAGAAGCCGCAGAGCAAGGGGGGCTACGAGCACTCGTACATGTAGGTATTACGGAGCACACACGGCGCTGTTGCGATGGGAAACGAGGCACACGAGCGAGTCGAAACCGGAGTCTGCTGGTGTTTGTTGCCGGATTCATCCATCGCAGGCTCACCTGCATGACGGGATGCGATGCGTGGACTCACCTTGTTGGCTGTGCTTCCAAGCTGGGGGTAGCAGCACAGTAGTGCCATTGGATTACGGTACTACTACCTAGGTAGTAGCAGCAGATTGATGTCTGGTTCAATACTATTGATATTATTCCAGTACTCCTGCAGCGGCACCTCCTGCATCAAATTGATCTCATTTGATGACTGGACCTGTACATGTAGGTATTGGTCGACGACACGACGAGATGCCTACATGTACATACATAACCCACGCGCGGGAGACGGTCTGGGCTCCGTCCAACCTGAGTCTTATTCGGACTTGCAGCTCGTATCAGCGACGCCAACGTCCATCAAATCTACTCGTACAGGTAATTACCGGTACCTAGGCTCCGTTGTGTGCGTGGTGTTGCATCGATGCGACTCCAGCAATCACTCAACTCCAGCGCGTTGCCTTTTGGGTGTGAAGCAAACGTATGCGACTGGCCAGCCGTGATTCGATGCCGCCGCGGGGACCCAGTCTATTCAATCATTGATTCTGGCCACTCAATAGCCAAATTCGCAGTCTCTTTTTTTTTTTTTTGCTCCGAGCCGTGGATTGCGGTTGGTGTGGTGGAGACGAACTACTGCGCGTACCACGTTGTCAAAGCTGGCCATGGACCGCCCGGGACTTTCTGGAATGGCATTTGGAAGCTGACACTTGGACTCTTGTGATTTTTTTCCCTTTTGGCTTGGCTTGGCTTGGTCTTTTTTTTTTTTTTTTTTTTTTTTTTTGTGCTTCAGAAACCTGATGCAGTGTCAAATTGCCACCCGCTAAGAATCTGGATATGGATATGGATATGATATGGATATGGAGAGAGGGAAAGGGAGAGGGAGAGAAGAGAAAGACTCCGGAGAACATATTGATCAGTGTCAACGAGTCCTTGCTATACTCGTACACGGGATCCGCATAGCCGATACTATTATCAGCTCGTACCGTACTTGGAGGAGGCTACCGTGGACCGGTATAGCACAAAGATAACGAGTCAACAAGGCAACGAGCATCAAATCAGTAGCCGGGTTTCACGCTCTGCCACTATTGCGAGCCCGGCCCATTGGCCGTGTCGTTCCATCCCATTCAATGGCATCATTCGCGCTCCCGTACCAGCCGCTCTGCACTGTGGGGGAGTGTCAAACAGAAGATTGAGCCGCCTGGTCGGCGAGTCCGGCGGCGGATTCAGAGCTGACCAACGCTGGATTGCTCGCGGCCGGGGGGCTCCAAATCGCCAAGCGAAGGCATTAGTGAACCGGCTAGCAGCAGCTCGTGGCGCCCATCTAGCCAAGTGCAAGTAGCAGCTGCTGCTAGATAAGACGGTCTGCTCGGAGGAGATGACCAAGAGGAACCTAGCTGGCTTTTTTTCTTTCCTGGTGATGGGCCGCGAACACGTGGTGAGCTGAGAGAGAGAGAGAGACTAGCCGCGGGTATCGTTTTGAAGGAGAACAATGGATGAGGTGGATGAATGGACGGATCAATGGGTTGGTATGGAGTAGAAGGATCAATACAGTACCGAAGCAGGTGGACAGAAGGATCGCAGCCCGTCGAATTGGCGAACCGGATGGCCGGTGCAATTGAATGCAGCTGCACATGTCCACACCTCACCTCAACAGTCAAAATGGATGCAATGGATCAATATGCAGGGAGCTGGAGCTGGAAGCTGCACTGTTTCGGCCACCGTGTCAGAGGTAGATTGCCAATACCTAGCCCATTCAACATGTCCATATTGTTCAATTGCTGAATAGCTCACCTGGGCTGCGGCGAATCACAAAGCACGTGCGGCTTCAATTGCACTGTGCAGCCGCAAAACGAAACGGCCAATCAATCGTCCTCGTCACGAGCTGAACCTGGACTGGACATGTTACAGTACAAGTAGGTATGAAACTCCCTTGCGCGCGCTGCAAAGAGCGGCGAGCGGCGTTTTGCCAAGTTGACGAGCCTGGCAAAACAATAAAAATGAAATAAAATAAAAAGTCTAAATTGGGACGATCCTTCGCCTTGCGGATGCTTGTAGCTGAGCTGATTTGCCTCCAAGCCAATTCAAGTGTTGGTGCTTTCACCCTTATTATTACCTAGTACTGCATCAAAAGCCCCGACTTACACACAGTGCTAATAGTTACATGTAGCCAGCCACTTGCTTATACTGATCAGTCATATCAATGGATCAGTTTCGCTCCTCAATCCCATCAATCCCATTGCATCCTTTTTCTCCGGACTATTTCCTCGGTCCAGACACAACCAAATCATCAGCTCTTTCAACTCTTAGCTGGCGGTTTTTCTGCTTCGCATCCCTGCTAGCCCACGTGTCGCGCCGATCCCCGTTGCAAAACTCGCCGCTATCTGGAGCGTCACGAGACGCTCTCACAGACGCCGCGCCGCACTAGGTTCTGCCCTTGGGCGTTGGTTTGCGCCGGACTTGGGCTGGGAAATCGCAATGTCCCTTGCAGGTCGAGCTTGCGTACGGAGCACTTGCAGCAGCTATCGGAGCCCCCCCCCCAGCTGTCACTGTAATCTGGCCGTGGACATGGATGGGATACTGTTAGGTATGTATAGGCAGCAGTGAGCTTAGTAGCCCTTCAAGCTGCTTCATGTGCTTTCTTGCTCTAACCTCCTATGTGCAAGATGATGATTATTGTTCCCCCGCGTCGTCGTGATGGCTGGCCACTCTAAGCCGGTATCCGAAAGCTGAAATCTAGGTACGGGTATCATCCATTACTCATGCTCTCGTACTCTCAGGGCCATTGCCGAGTAATCATGTCGATCTGGCTGGGCTGGTTGGGGCAAGTTATCGTGCGTCAACCCACGCAGCCGTCGCTACGTCGCATCCGGATTACATGTACCGCCGCTTTGTTCTTTGGCTTGACCGCACCGCGTTCAGCGGTCAAGGACTTGAAGCTACTCGTGCTTGCAGAAAGGACAAGGTCAATCAGCAAGAGGATACGGTGAAAAGCAGAAGGAGCAAAAGCGCGACGTGAAATCACACGTGTAGCCATTACTGTAGCTCGCGTCTCATGACAGACAAAATAACTGCATACGCCTAGCATTAAGTTGCCCATCTGGGGTTGCAATGATACCGTTTTGACAGGGGCAACGACGCCAGGAGGGACTTTAATGTCTCCATACTTCGGATATGTCGAGCGGACCCAGTACTACATCTACCATTCAATGCTACCTCTTTGTAGTATTAAACCATGTATGTCTGCGGAGTATTCTATATATAAGTGGAAATAGTTACAGTATATGGACTCTCCTGGCCGGTGCTTTATATGCCGTGACTCGCTTAGAAGCCGATCTGGCCCCCTATTTCCCCAGTTATCACGGAATTGCAAGAGATATAATAGGATCTGCAATATATACATGCCACTGCCGATAATCGGCTACCACTACTAGTCGATATGTCTTGATGACCACGAGTGCCGAGGAGCTGCCATACATCTTCGTAGTTTATATCTTGAATGCATCTAGGGAAACCTTTGATGACCTGTTGGGGCACACAAAGCTTCGCGGCACGTGGTGCTATCAATTGACTGACCATAGGCGAACTAAACAAGACTGCAGCGGGCATGAAGAACAAGTTCACTCTAATTCAAGAAAATGTAGCATAAAGACAAGTGATAAGCGGGCGTTCAAAACTTGAGCAACATTAGCCCTAGAAACAGACGTATCAGCCATAATACATATTCACTTCTATTTCGCTACGATGTCACCTCCTTGTCTGCTGTCTGGCTATATTTGGAGAAAGCCGGTTTGCTGTTTATCGAATAGTTCTTGATGGTTAGCCTACATGTATGTTATGAGCGGGATGATGCCAACACGTAGATTGTATTTCCAAATGCCGGCACCAATATACAATTGTATGCTGCCTCGATATCCAAGTCAAAGTTATGTCATACTCTTTCATTCTCGATTACAGAGCGGTATACATATCATGTTAGGCATAGTGTTGACCCCATAGCAACAAGCATCATCGAGTTGACTTGTATGCTCGGTTGTATAACCAGCAAACAGGGCAAACAAATCACTGGTCTCAATGCAGCTGCACACGATGAATTCCACTTTAATCAACCAGCTGACCTCGTTTCAGCCATGGCTTACTCATTTGTAGGTAACTACAGGTAATTAGAATATCTTGCCTGGAGAACAGAAGGCGATCCGCGGTGCTGAAGTTCTCTTTGCTTAGGGACCCAACCATGCTTACCACACTGCCCTGCAATTACCAATTGCGAAGCTCAAGTATGACGATTGATCTAAGCACTGTAAGATGCGGCAGGCTGTTTTCAAAACATCTCATCTTGTTGGCGTACTCGGAAGACGTGCATGATTACCCTTCATATCTCCTCACAAGCGAATGATTCACTCTCTCGTTTTGATCCCAAGCACGTCCCGGGCTTACCAAAAACATATACGTCGTCTCGAAAATTGAGTGGGCCAATGTTTCCGATGTCGAATTCGCCCGGATGTTTTAGCGGTCTGTTCGCTCACGGCCATCATATTACCGGTCGTACAACATGGGCATGCAGGACCCCATAGCATGCAGTGCACATACAAAGCAAACTTCTGGTCGTTTGTTTCTACCGGCGGCACCTCCGAAGAAGCCCCTTGCCCATTACGGGAGCTCCGTAGACTGACGGTCCTGTGCTGCCGTTGCGTTTCGATTCTTTGCAGTGCGCGCATGATGGTGATGCTTGAGAGGAGCGGCGTGAGCACTAGGAAAATGCTACATGGACCGTGCTTGTGATTACTCGTAAGGGAAAGAAAGGAGAAACACTGACGATGGTGTCTGTGTACGAGTGCAACTTGGGGAAAAGTTTCACAGCGGATGGATCATCCGGTTATATCTCCTTCCTCATGGTAGACCATGCAGCCTGCCATTAGAAATGGACAGCTTTCCACGCTGGATTCATTCACCCTAATCTGGATTGGACTGGAGTTGCTTTTACTGCTGTTTCTTGGAGAAGTTGTATGTTATAAGCTGAGATGGTTCTGCTAATGATGTCAACTCCTGTTATGGGCCTTTGAAGGTGACAAGAAGTAATGAGTCTCCCCAATGGGTTTGCAGAGCGAACCAGAGCGAGAATGATTTACTTGCTCTATTGAATCTAAACCTGGCATCTATAAGCGACAAGCGAACACAAGACACGTGAAGCAACAGACTGAGACAACGACCCCACCACGGTTACTACCTCGCATGTTGTCTCGATGTACAGTAGGCTTGTTTAAAGTTAAAAAAAAGACAATTGAATTTAGATAATGATCGCCCATTTTTCACAACGTTGGATTCTTGTCGAGCCCGTTGCAAAGTATCGATTTAGTGCTGCGTGGAAACGCGATGACGTCAACATACATAGTATGTTGACGAGCTTCACGAAGCGTCACAATGACCTCAAGCATTTCGACAATTGAAAACAAATATAATAGAAGAAAACAAAGCCAATTGAACACATTCTGCAAAAACCGTCGAAACTAGAACCATCAATCACCGCTATCATGGCATCTGGACTTCGTAACCTCGCTCAAACTTCGCGGCGATGCATGACAGCCGTCCCGCGCCTGTATCACACCTCCGCCGCCCTTCGACTTCCGTACAAGGACTCTCAAGACCGCCAGTCTCTCAAGCCTCAATCCAACAATGGCACGAGGTCGGGTCGAGACGACGATGTCGCGGCGCAAAAGGACGCTGCCTTTGACCCGTCCAAGACGAAGCCGACTCCGGAGTCGGAGCTGGAGACGGCGGGCCGCGGCAATGAGACGAACCCTCTGAATGCAAGCGGTGCGAACCAAGAGTTTAGCAAGCCGATGGGAGAGGGAAAACAGGCGCATGATACAGGCCCGGGCAAGGAGACGAGGAAAGGGGGGAAGAGTGGTGGAGGGAGCCCGCCGAAGAAAGGGAAGACGCCTGGGAAACGCTGAGGAGGGTGTAGATGCTGCAGAGGGGCTTCAATGAATGATGTGGGAATTGTTATACGAGTTGGAATCATCATCAGGCTTTTTTTTTCTGTTTATCAGGGTACATATATCCTATTCTGGGACCTTGAGGATATACATCTCAAAGCACGCAATGATCCAGCTCAATAACCTCGCGTGGTAACTTCATGTTGCATAGATAAAAACGGGCATTGAGTCAAACAAGAAACAACCGAGAATATCAATATCGTACAATGTTCTTGAAGCTTTTGAGAGTCTTTTAGAACAGCCACATCTGGGGAATCCCAGTAACGTTACACACGCCCTAGCTCGGGACACGGCAGACCAAAGAGCTGAAGGCGGGGTACGATTCAATCAATCGATCGTAATCATCCGATCGACATTATATTAAACCGCTCTCTTTGTTTCCTAATTCAAATCTCAACAACTCAAGTAGAGAAACAGACCAAGATTAAGAGAAGACGATACGAGGATACCTAAATAAGCAAAAGGGCAGAGAGACGCCGTTATGGCTGAGTCCAAGTTCGCCGTTTATCCCAGCCTCGTCGACCGCACCGTCGTCATCACCGGCGGTGCGCAGGGCATTGCCGCGGAAATGGTCGAGCAGTTCTCCCTGCAGGGCTCTCAAGTCATATTCCTCGACGTCGAGGACGAGTTGGCCGACGCTCTAGTCCAAAAGGTGTCTGATCAAGGCGTCAAGCACAAGCCCATATACTACCACTGCAATGTCATCATGATTGACGAAGAGCTCAAACCCACGGCGGCCAAGATCCTGAAAGATCATCCCAGGATCGATGGACTGGTAAACAGTGCCGCGAGGGCAATGGTGAAACCCACGGAGGACATCACGACCGAGTGGTGGGATGAGAGCGTCGCCGTGAACCTGCGGCATCAGTTCTTCCTGACCCAGGCCTTGCTGCCGGGGCTTCTGCTTGCTGCCGGAAACGCTTCGGTGATCAACATGGGGAGCATCAACTGGCTCGTCTCTGCAACGGGCCAGGCGCCTTACACGACGAGCAAGGCCGCCGTTGTGGGACTGACGAGGACGCTGGCACACGAGTTTGGACCGAAGGGCATCAGGGTGAATAGTATCATGCCGGGGTCCATTGCGACATTGAGGGAGAGGACGGTGGTCATGACGCCCCAGTATGAGGCCAAGGTTCTGGGCAGTCAGGCGATCAAGAGGCTGATTGAGCCGGTGGAGGTGGCGAGGATGGCCATGTGGTTGATTGCGGACGATAGTGCTGCGGTGACGAACCAGAGCATGAGGATCGATGGTGGATGGACATGAAGTGTGCTTTGGATACCTCTTGTAAATAAAGATTGTCGGTTATCAGATGCTATGCCGAACGTTGAAACAAGCGATATTGCATGTATAAGAAGGCTTCATGGCGTTTATAATATTATGCAGCTAAAACGGGGTTGTGCCGTAAAGTTGATAGAAATAGAGTGGTCAGTGTTAATAGGTTTCATAATCAAACGCTTTTACGACTTGCCAGCCGAGCGTACAACGTCTATATACCTCGACAATACTACTGCCACATTGTAATCGCCTCATCTACGACTTACCTATACGGAGCTTTATTGACTTTATTGACTTTCTACTCCAACAGCTCACAGTGGCCCGTCGGTACATTCTTATCAATGTTAACCTTGTACATACTAGCTGCTATGTGTTGCAGAAGGAGTATCTCAATTTTAGCCTCTCCAACGAATCGTACGAGGATGGGTTGATGTCAGAAAGGTTAGACAATCGCGTCCCTCTTAGAGTCTTCCTACGTTGGTTCCTGGAAAGTCTATAGGTACTAATGGTGTTGAAAACGATAGCTTGTAAGAAATATCGCCCGTGTTACATGAAAGAAAAGGGGAGGGGGATATTCCTTTCCAAAGCCCATGGAGTTTCATGACGCGTACAAAGGAAGAGGTCAACTCCTACTTCCATAAACTGTCACGCTTCATTGATAATCGTCCTCCGCCAAAAGAATCGGATTCATAATAGTCGAGGAGACAAGCCTCTCCTAAATCGTCCAAGGCTCTGCTGTCGTCACCTTGTTGTGGTCTTGGCAATGAACAGCTAGCTCTATCGTCTTGGCAAGTTTTGTCTTGCTCGGAAGGATGCGGTACAGCCACCATAATGGAGTCCGACGGTAGCTCACATGCCTGTTGAATCACATTCGCATCTTGGCAGCCGAAGAGACGCTCAGTGATGGGAACAGAAGCTTGACGGGCGGCTGCATGGACCAGGAGGGTGCACAAAGAATGCGCAATCGCGTCTTCTTCACTTCGGTTCGACAATTTGACTGTGCAAGTACGATGTCAATGTTGACGTCAATGTGATACTAGTATCCTACTATTGAGATGATATTGTTGGAGACTGAAAGTGACGATGACATTCTTCACAATTGCTGCTTACATTGCATAACTTGTTTACCCTCCACTCCTTCTCAAGTTTTTGACCATCCTCAACGATGTCATTGCTCCCATTTGCCTTGTTATGCAGAAACTCAACAAAACCTTGGATCCATTCCAATTCACTCCTTCTCAAGCATTTACGGAGCTCAAGTCTCCGCACAACGGGCCGAGATTTCGCTTCGGCTCGGGTCTTGCTGAATGGGTAATCGAATCATCAAACAGAAAGAGGGAATGCACGATCTTCGGTTACAAAGAGGAGAGAAGAAGCAAAAAAACCCAAAATTATTATCGGAATTGAAGATTCATCATGCCGTGGTTGCAGAAAGTTGAGTTGTTGAAGACTGCGCAAGTTTCCCTGAGCTGGGAGCAAGCAGGGTAGCTGAAATTGCTCGTGCTACCTACGACAACCTTGGCAGACATACGAGTACGACTTGTATGTAATGCATGATGAAAGATCCCCCCACACGCATATCCTAGACTCATGCAGGTGGCTAGCCGTTGACGATTGACCCCTTTGTCGTATGGAGAACTTGCAGATTAATACAAACTAGGTGGCCGAGACTCTTGGGTTACTTCGCTACGGATGTCCTCAATTAGTACTAGCAGCAGTATGTCGTTCAGTTCCATAACGGCAAGGCTCGAAATGGTATCACAAGATTCATATCGTCGTTTCAAATACGAAGTTAACCGAAATACCCGAGGCAATGCCTGTGATATCGGGCTGAAGATGCGGAGGTGGCACTGCATATCCGCCTCTCTGCAGTTCCACAGGCAGCGCCAGCGGTGAGACTACGATGGAATGGCTTGATAAGACTTGTTGAGATTTCAGGTATTGTTTATCCGAAGCCAGTGAATGGTATGATATGGAGAGGGCGTCTTTGGCGTTTTCGGCGCTTAGTTTCAACCAGTGTAGCATTGGAACTGGCCTCGATGATGACCCCATGTTTAACAAGTGAGATGAGCAGAGCCAATCACTTTATCTTTGATTCCATAGTTCCTCTCGGATAGTGTGATGGTAATGTTTTGATCGTTAGTTTGCGACAAGTCATGAGGTATGCGCCCCTGTAGAGCTTCAACTATACAATGAATGGCTGCATTCGTTTTTCAACATCAAGCATGACACATTTGCCTTGAACTGTGCCATCTTCATTATTTCTCTTCTTGTATTTGCTGGATTACACTGTCTACAATGCTCTCATAGTAACTGACATGATCTGATGCCTTCTAACATGAGACAATCTCCTGATAGTAAACAAAAGAGTCGTTCAACAGAGAACTAACATTGAACCTAACGATCAAGCTAATATTAGAGAGATAAAGCCACTACTGTCTGTCAATATCACGCCCTAAGTTCGACAAGCCAGCTACAGCCTCAAGCTGTCGACATGAGGCCACCCCATCTCGTCGGAGAGCCAGTATCAAGGCACCCAGGCCAATCACCTCTCAGAGTATCTGAACGTGGCGCCGCCTCAACGTTAATCAGCCGCTGATAAGACCATCCACCCGACGGTTTGCGAAGTTCTGGAAGCCAAGTGAGCACTACGAGAACGATTATGGTACTGGCGGAATCATACCGGGCTCGAGAAAAGGCAAGCATCGGCAATCTTTGGGGGAGAGGAGAGGAGAGACATAAGAGACCGGCGGCCGTCGCGGGGGGTCTGGGGCAGGTCGGGGAAAGCGGGCCATTTTGGGGGGCGTCTCGAAGACATGACTCGCGGGCAGGGCTTCTCGCTGGACAAGGGCTGCGTTTTTTCCTTTGGGCTTCTAGCGAGGGCGGAGGAACAACTCTAATTGCGCCCTGTTTTTGCTTGGCTGTCGGGCTGTGGTACGGGTTGGTGTTGGCATGGGTTGACGGGAGGGATGGGTTTGCTGCCATGCAAGCAAGCAGCTGATTTGCCTATGGATGTAGCTTGCGTTTGTTCGTATTGTTAACCACGCACGCTTCTCACTCGGCATGTATAACGCTCATACGTCCGAGTTCTATTATGGAGAAGTTGCTTCCGTAGAGCTCAACCGCCAACCTGTCCCTCTTCGAGGCGATTTCTCGAAATCAACCAGGAGATCCGGGGTATCAACCTGCCAAGAGATCACAGCCTGTTCTGTTACGTTTTCTTTCTCTTTCAAATCTGGAGTTCCCCGAATTTTGCCCCCCCCCCCCCCCCACGAACAAGCATCTGATGAGTTTTCCAAGCCTCTGTACGAGTAAAAAATAAAATAAAAGCATGTTTGTATGTAAAACTCGGAGTCATCCACCAAGCCAAGTGGGGAGCAACTCAAATCACAACCCACAAAGACTCTGTGCCACCGCCAATGCCGCCAATACAAATGCAGTTTCTGACGAGCAAGCGGCTGGACTCTTCTCGTGAAACCACATCTCAGCATCCCGCCCTAGCACGACAATTACCTAACAGCAGCCTCGCGGACTAGCCAGCCGTGCCATCCAGAGTGGGTTCCTGTCGTTCGCGCCCTATCCATCTGCCGGGATTAACATGTCAAGCTGGGTCCCTGCGATGGCGCCGCTTCCCTTGGCGACCCACGAAGCCTTTCCGAGCAGCGGGCTCGAACGGTTCCGCTGAGCTACGAGAATCCTTCTGCGCCGGGATTCTTGTCAGGACGGAGGGTTTTGGCTTACGGAGCTAGACCAGACCGTGTTTACTGCTTTTGTATGTTGCGAGGAGAACCGCTCCGTGCTCTGCCCCATCAGCCTGCGCAAGGTCTCTCGAGAATGGAATCAGATCATACAGCCGGCCACGACTTGTCCTCTCCGGTCCCGGCTATCGGAAAGCTCTGTCCACTGACTCAGGGTTTCCCGCTTCCTGGTTTCTCCCGTTCAGCTTTGTTGTTGGCCGTGCCAGCTGTGTAGCATTGGGCGTGTTAGTGTCAGCTTCACCAGAGGGGGGAATATATAAAAGTGTTGATCCCTCCCAGTCTCCCCTTTGCTGCCCTGCTACGTGTGACGTGCTTTTTTTCTTCGAAGGCTTCTGGTAATATTCTAGCCTCCGCCCTGCATTAGATACCCGAAGACTCGGGCAGGCTGTATTCTGCGCCCAAGATCTCCAAGTGCCGGCACCAGCCCACGCGCTACGGACTTTTTTTTATTTTTTATTTTTTTGAGTGTGAATACCCCAATTTCTTGAACATCTCCAAAAAGAGCAGAAAACAGCCCCAAAATGTCCCAGCGGGCTAGTTCGGGCGACTCACCGTCGTTGGGAGCAGAGGAGAAGGGCAACGCGGGCAAGGCCGTGCAGGACACTGCCGTGGTGCAGCAATCAGACGCTGCCTTCACGAATTCATACGATGAGGAGGACTTCTGGACGAGGAACGGCTTGAACGCCAAGTCGTTCCAGAAGAAGCACTATGGATTGGGGCTGGTGGAACTGGACCGAGCGATGAAGACGCGGCACTTACAGATGATTGCCATCGGAGGCTCCATTGGCGCTGGCTTTTTCGTTGGTTCTGGTGGTGCTTTGGCCAAAGGTGTAAGTGAAGATTGAAAAGGAGAAGAGAAATGGCTATCCGATAGATGCTGACGTTTGCTGCGCTGTATAGGGTCCCGCCTCGGTTCTCATTTGCTTCCTCGTCGTCGGTTTCATGGTCTTCAACGTCGGTAAGTCCACGCACGAGTTATAGATCAAGATGCCTTTCGATTCATACACGTTTGCTCACAACTCGCCACAGTCTTTGCCCTTGGTGAACTTGCCATCATGTACCCAGTTTCCGGTGGTTTCTACACATACGCAACTCGCTTCATCGACCCCTCGTTTGGCTTTGCAGTCGGATGGAACTATTTCTTCCTCTGGTTTGTCGTCTTACCGCTCGAATTAACCGTCTGTTCCCTCGTCATTCAATACTGGAATCAGGATATAAGCGTCGGCGTCTGGATCACCATCTTCTGGGTCGCCATTATCCTCATCAACGTCTTTGGAAGCATTGGTTATGCCGAGGAGGAATTCTGGTCTTCGGTCATCAAGCTGGCAGCAACCATCGTCTTCATGATTATTTGCTTCGTGCTTGTGCTCGGCGGTGGCCCCTCGAGTGGAAGATACTCTGAATATGTTGGAGCTCATTATTGGCACAACCCCGGTGCGTTCCGCAACGGCTTCCGAGGCTTCTGTTCCGTCTTCGTTACCGCTGCCTTCTCCTTCACTGGAACTGAGCTTGTTGGCCTCGCAGCGGCCGAGAGTCGTAACCCAGTCAAGTCACTACCTAGCTCCATCAAGCAAGTGTTTTGGCGAATCACTCTCTTCTATGTGCTTGGCCTCTTCTTTGTCGGTCTTTTGATCCCCGCAGACGACGAAAGACTCCTGTCTAGTGCGGCTTACACCGATGTCAAGGCATCGCCTTTCGTCCTCGTCGGCCTCTATGCTGGTCTTCGCGGCTTCGACCACTTCATGAACGCCGTTATCCTCATCTCCGTCATCTCCATTGGTGTTTCCAGTGTTTATGGCGGCTCCCGCACGCTGACTGCCATGGCGCAGCAGGGATTTGCTCCCAAGTTCTTCACTTACATTGACCGCTCCGGACGATGTCTCCCTTCTACGATTGTCATGCTTCTCACAGGGCCTCTCGCCTACATCAACCTCAGTGCCTCAGGGCCTACTGTGTTCAACTGGCTGCAGGCCCTCTCTGGTCTTGCTGTTCTCTTCGCCTGGGCTGCCATTTGCATTGCCCATATTCGCTTCCGCGCGGCATGGGCTTACCATGGACATTCCCTCGATGAGATTCCCTTCAAGGCAATCTTTGGCGTGGTGGGATCATATATCGGATTGTTCATTTGCTTCATTTGCTTTGCTGCCCAAGTAAGTTCAACACTCCAAGTGTGCAGAGTCCACTCTGATACTAACAAACACCAGTTCTTCACGGCCATCGCACCCCCAGGTACATCCGAGCTTAACGATGCCGAGGGCTTTTTCCAATCCTACCTCGCCTTCCCCATCGTCGTTGCCTTCTGGGTTGCTGGATATGTCTGGAAGCGCACCGGCTGGCTGAAGGTGTCGCAAATCGATGTTGACACTGGCCGCCGTGATTTGAACTGGGATGAGATCCGCGCATACAAGGAATATGTAGCATCTCTGCCTGCTTGGAAGCGTGTCTATTATCACCTGTTCCAGTAGTGAATGCCGTACCGGACTATGGCGAGCCGGCAACCAGTTGTCAGTTTAAGAATCAATGCAAGTAATCTAATGTTTGAAATACATATCATATTATCAACTTTGGCATCCGTAGTTTGTTCGTCGCCTTACATGTCATCAATCACCAAACTCGGTCTGAATATTAGCTTCAAGTCAAGTTCATAGTCTAACATCCACCAACATCACACCGCCCGCGAGTCAGGTCATCTTCCGAGAATAGCGACCAAGCATTGAGTTCAAAATGGAAATTTTCTTGTAGACATGGTCACTCTACCTATATAGACGTGTAACACGGAGGTATTCCACTATCAAACGATCGAGTATGAAGGAGCAAGCACAATGGGCAAATACCAAAATATTGTTCTCACGACCCAAAGCCACAAGCAAAAAGTCCAAAAAAAGAAAGTTTCCAAGCCGAAGCTCCGGAGAACGGGTCTGGCCGGGGATTGAACCCGGGACCTCTCGCAGAACAACTTTGGGTTTTCCCTAAGCGAGAATCATACCACTAGACCACCAGACCGATGATGATTTGTTGTTGAAGAGGCCGGCTCGTAATTTGCCCATCAAGGCATCGAAATTCTCCCATTGTGGGCTGCCTGTGGATCGTGAATTTAGATTGTGGACTCGGTGGATGCCAGGGTTGGAAAAGAAAATTGTAGCGGAATTTGAAGCGGTATCGGAGGAGACCGGGGTGGAGACCGGAGCATTGGCATCCCGGAGAGCTCCGTAATATGCTCCGTTATGTGGACGAAGCTGACATACAGAGGAGGAGAAGGGGAAAGATAGAATTGAAAACCATATTGATTAGTAGAAATGATCATAAGATGATGATGGGTAGAATATGAAATCTATAAACTTGTAAAAAGAGGTAGCAGAATGGTGTAGGTGAGACATAACGTGGGCTGCTTGTTCAGACTCTTTCTACTGTGAGCGAGCCTAACCGTCAAATTCAATGAACTGAAGAAAACTATTCTGGATTGCCAGGATCCTATTTCCTACTAAGAAAACGCTAAATTGTGAACCAAGGTTCATGACACATGGCCCGTCTAAGTCCCAGAAACGGCTTGCATCACCTCCACGACGGCGCCAACCATTCGGTCCGCAACCGCCTTGGCCTGATACGCCGTCACCACGGCAATCTCAACCACCATCTCATCATATGGGACCAGCATCTCGATTTTCTGATCGCCAAACCCGGCCTTCTTAGACTTCGTCTTGGCCAGCTTCCTGCCGTTGCCGTCGCACAGCGTGAGAGTCGAGCCCCCCGTGAGCTTGCTGGCCTTCCACTTCAGCGTGCCCATCGGCGTGCCGGTAACGGAAAAGTCGCCCGACAGTTGGCTCATCTTATGATTCATGGCACAGCCGCGCATGTTCAGCTCGGCTGAGGTCTCCGAGCTGCGTGTGATGTGGCCAATGGGGCCCGCCTGGCCCGTGGGATCGGGAAGGCCGCGGTAGACGATGAGCATGCCTGGCGACATGGCGTGGGGGGCAATGGAATATAACGGTGGTGTGTTCTGTGGAGCGCCGTCATATTGCACAACCAGAAGGCCGGGATTCGTCGTGGATGCGCGGATACAGAGAGTTTGAGATGTGCTGGTGTAGTCGTAGGCTTTTGTGTTGGTTTCGAGATAGGAAGAATTGGCGTTGCTAGAAGATTTAGAGAAATGTCGTGAGAAGAAATCCGTCATTTTGTATGTGTTTATTTGGATCACGAATTGGTTACATGTAAGTGAACATGGAGAAGTGTTGGTAGCGTTGCTTGTTTTGATTATCCGGGGGCGAAGGAGAGAATCAAATCGCCCTCAGGTTATTCGCATTCGAGTGAGTATATCATTTATAACTTTTTTGATCCTCCAATTTGCTCTAGTTACAGCTAGTTTACACTTGTTGCATTCATGGCTGTGTCGTCACCATCCTCATTTTGAGATCTGCATATGACTTCCCCAAGAGGAAATACCATGCGCTGTGGCTAATCTCCAACAAAGCTGTAGCAAGTTATTCCTATTCATGCCATCCAATCAATCCTAGAGCAGGGAATAGTAAGGGCGAATCCTTCAAAACTCAAGTAAATCGTACAGATTCTACGTCATCCCATGCATTCATTACTTGTCTACTAACTGCTCGGTGCTTCGCCATGTATCTGATCCGTCACAAATCCTTTCAGTAACTCCATTATGTAGATTCAAACTAGTAATTCTGCATCATCATCATCATCACCAAAACCTCCCTTTGGCAGAATCGCGCGCTTGTCCTGCCTCTCAATGATATGGCTGGAACCCCATCAAGTCGTGGCTGTGATGCCTGCCGAGAACAAAAGAAAAAGGTTCGTACTCGACACACTTTTCAAGACAAGACCAATTACAGATCAGTAATTAAACCGCATGTCTTAGTGCGATGCATTGAAACCAGCGTGCTCTCGCTGCGCACGCCTTCAAATCCCCTGTGTTGGCGCGGGTCAGCGCCGGTTCATGTTCAAGGTCCAAACCACAGCAAGTAGATCAAAGAGACCAATTACCGGCTCCGAAGATCACGATCAGGAAACTGGTGGCTCTTCAGTCATACCCGTCGGCCATCCATCATCTCCTCCCAGTAATGCCATGACTTTAGCAACAGGGGCCTTTGTGTCAGTCCTGGAGGTTGATGATCCTCGGTACGATATCACCGGTTGGACCGTCTTTCTGAATGAAATCCCCAGGCGCATGGGCACAAGTGATCCGCTTGATGCATCGGCAAAAACATTCGCGAGTACCCTCTCCGCGGTACAGTCCAAACAACCACAGCCTGTAGAAAACCTATCACAATTCGGCAATGCTTTGCAAACTCTCCGTGGATCATTAATACAAGACAAGGATCAAATAGTAGACTCGCTCTGTGCCATATATCTAATTCTTCTCTGTCAAGGATGGCTTTCCGAATCATCAGGTCAAACTGTCATCCACATAAACGGCATCATGCACCTTCTAAATGGAGTATCCGACAAGGACTGGCGAGGCGAATTTGAAAGCCAGATCCTGGTAACAGTGTGCATGGTCGTGGTATGGCGTTTGTATGTCTGGAGAGATGGAAGATGCTAACCATTTCTTCTTACAGATATTCGAGAGCATTGCCAACCCAAGTATAAAATTAAGCCCATGGCTCGTTAACCTGAAGAAGACATACTATGGGCCAGAGAAGCCCTGGGGAGTTGATGACCACAGAGGCATTGGTACTCAAACGATCACAGTGGAACACATGGTCAAAATACCAGGCTATTTCCAGGAACCAGAACTTCGCTTGCATGACCTGCAGAGCAGTTATCACGTCGCCTTTAGCGAATCCAAGGGCCTCTGTGCCTATGTTACAGCCATGGCCGAATCAATAACGCCTAAAACCAATATCTCCTCGTTTAGAGCATATGTGCGTATCCAAGGTGTAACATCCGTTCTAGTCTCCATCGGACTCCTCCTTGGCACCATCCTGCGAATATTCGAGCCCAGCAATGAACTTCTCAAGATAGACTCTGCTTTTCTCATTTCGGAGGTTGTAAAAATCGCAGCCAGAGCATCGGGTTATAGGCCCTTGGGCGCGATACTTATCCCGCTTAGTTTATGCACTGCCTGGGCTGTGGCAGACGACGCAGGAGCAGAGGCAGAAATTGAACGCATCATCAGGGATTATGAAACGGATTTTCCAGATGCCAATTGGTTTGACATTGCCATCTGGCTAAGAGCCAAATTTGAAGGCCTGAAGCAGAGAAGAAAGCAGACGCAGGTACCAGTGCATCGCGAGACACTACTCGTTGATTCTGGAAGTGAGTTTATAGGGAGGTCGCCGGCTCCTTGCTGTGTGATGTAGATGGAATTCATATTACTCTTGCAACACTAGATAGATATAGCCGCTGTGTATTTGAGATTTAGCACGTCTCATGGAACTAGCTTCTTGGTCAAGACTGATAATAACACCGGCATTATGTATATTCGTTCAATTATCACTGCCCCTCTTCAACCTTGCATCCCACACATCCCACACACCCTTGCATCAAATAAAAAGACCCTTCTGTAGCCACTCACATCTATGTCCGGCAGTAGAGTCTTGTCCAGTGACGATGCCTTCTGGAGTCAAGATATTGGCGCTCGCATTCCGTCCTTGCTGAGGGAATGGTGGCAGACCACGGCCATTCGGATTGCCAGTCTTGATGAAATTGGTGATATATCCTTGCCATGTCGATGCCAGCGACTCTATTACCGGAGCTCCGAAATTATTTCTTCCGTATCCATGCCAGATGTACGATTCGTCGTATGCATGGAAAGGGGGGCTGATGTTGAACTGCATGTTGTATGTCTGGTTGGCAAACGCTCTGGCAAGCCAGTTCGTGTTGCATGCAAATATACTATCGCCCATGAAATCAATTGTCCGCACTGCACCTTTCCCAGGATAGAGATCTTTGATGATATAATTGGCCACTTCATCCACGATGCCTGGGTGGAGCTGATGAAGGAGGGATTTGAAGTCATCATCATTCTGCACAAAAGGCTGTGAATACTCGCCGCCTTCATATCGTGTATGACTAAGTAATAAATCGATATTTTTGTGAAAGTTTCTAGAAAGGAGCAATGAGCCTGGTAGAGCAGGCACAAAGTCTCCATCAACAGCGGGACCGTAGACAAAATTGGTCTCAACGCTGGATGTATGCGCAACGTTTGCCTCCATCAAAGCCCTGGCTGGGAGCTTACGAGCTTCCTCAATTGTGCTTGCGTTCAGAAACTTGAGGAAATATTGCGTGATGTTTTCAGCTTGGAAGTTAGAGCCAATAGGAAAGTATCCAGGAGAGTTGATGAAGGCCCTAGCAAAGGGAGGCGGTCCCTTCTTACCACCGTATGCCGTGATATGATGAACTGTACTGCCACCACCGGCCGAAACTGAAGATTATACAGGTTAGTTTGAGGTTGTCTGGATATAAAATTCAAGACTTGTACGTACGGCCGCTAAGCGTCACCTTGTTTGGATCTCCTCCAAAGAGATGAATGTTCTTCTGCACCCACTGAAGAGCAAGATGCTGGTCATGGAGGCCAGCATTTGCAGTGCCATTTGCTGCTTCAAGAGACGGCCCAGCTAGCCAACCAAATGCCCCAAGTCGGTAGTTCAAAGAGACATAGATGAAGCCGTCTGAGCCGTCGCTTCGACTTGCATTGATAAGACCAGCCGGGTCAGTGGCATCAACAACATCATTCTTGTATCCGAAGATGTAGCCGCCTCCATGCATCCTATCCAAGATGTCAGTAAGATGAATACATTTTTCTTTGAATTAAAATTGGACGAACCAGACTAATACAGGGGCTTTCTTGGCCTTCGAGTTTCGGCGCTCAAACACAGCACGAGGAACAACGACGTCGAGAAACAGACAATCTTCTGTTTGGGGGAGCCCCAAGACACTCTGAGCATTCTTCTTTGTGAGAAACTCCTGCGCTTCGTGCTCCGCCGTGTAATTGTAATTAGATAGGTTCCCATTTATAAAGGCACGACCGAAATCCGCATTTGCGATGCTCCAGCCTGGCGACCCCTGAGGGCACATGATTATTGACCCATTACCCTTTTGCACCACATGATTTCGGCCTGTTGGTGGCTTTGGAGCAGAGAAGCGTAGGTCACCGACGGGAGGCTGAGCATATCGGATGTTGCTAAAGGTGTAGAGGCCAGTTGTATCCTACAAAGTGTTAGTAGAGCTGCTTCTCCATTGTTAAAGGAGATGAGAGGGTCGCACATTATATTTGAGTGCCTCATGGATTTGGTATCCCAAGTCCACTTGAGGAAGGCAATCGCCTTTTACAAGGGATAGCTGGGACACAACTATCCCTAGGATGAGAGAGGCTTTCATATCGGCTAGTTCCCAGTGGTGTAACTCAAGAATTTATTGATGAGATGATAATATGAAAAGAGATAAATATTGTTCTGTGTAGCTACTTGTTGTAGTTTTCTTTCCAGCCTTTGACCGGAGTTTCCGGTGCCTTTTATACAAGTCATTGGCTTCCCCTTTTGATGAGGCCGCACGATGATATCTCTTGTACAGTCTAGATCTGCAACCTTTCATCCTTCATCCAGGATAACCACCCGCCAACGCATAGCCCACCTCCTTTACGTAGGCTGAGCACTCAGAAAAATTATTTTCTCTGCTTCAACAAACAATGGCATAGCTTGGACGTTGGAGAGCCTTGAGGAGGATCATCATGAAGCATTGTGCAGGGATGTATGTGCACTCCACGTGTATCATGATGCCATCTCCAGAAGGTTAAAGTTTAACTCAGTGGATTCTATATAACGTTGATGTCAAGATTGCACAGACCGCAACTTTATTGGACAAGGGAACTAATTATAGATGAAGAATGGCGAGTCCCGAGTGTCGATCACTGCGAGATTAGGAGAAACCGTGCGCTGTGTGGGAGCAACCGGTTTAGAGGTGGCCATGAATCCTTCAGGAACGTGCGCATGGATCTAGACTAGGCGGATTTGATTTGATGAATGGAGTGTCAAGCCTATTGTTTGGAGGGCAGGGGAATACTAGAGGGGCATGGATATAGATGGATGTGTTACAGTGACGCAGAACGATTGCACGTTGTATAAACATAATTGACAGTTGTGAATCAAGAAATGGTGTTTCTGTAGGGTGAGGTATCTTGAAGCCTTGATCAAGTAAGCATGATCCAACTAAAGGCATACAGACAGGAGAAATGAAGTAGCCTCTATTTTTTGTCAGTTACATCTCTCATCAAGGACGATATTTACAAACCCGGAACTAAGCTCTATTCAATGAATTGAGTTTTGTTCGTCCTTTAGCCACACGCCATTAGTGAGTGACAGACAGAACATTGATTGAATCTGGACCCCTTCTTTTGAACACCTCCGCTTAAACCTCGGCAATTCACGGCAATGCTACGTCACAGCCACAGCGCAAACAAACAGCGAGCGCGGCATCGGCAAAAGTAAGCTTCCGTGGCTCGGGCTGTGATTGGCCCTGGCTGTGCTGGCTGCAGAAGCTCCGGGAAAAAAAAGTGGGCAGAGCCAAAGCAGCCTTGTCCAGTCTCGCTGCTGTTCTGCCGCTCTCCTCGTCGTGGGCCAATTTGCTCCTCCGATCACCAGTCACTGTCCAGTCCGTACTTTTTTGTGCATGACACGAGCCCTGGGGTCTTCTGGACGAGGCCCTGCAGGACCCTATGAAGCCGCCTTCAGTGCGCTAAACGACTCCATCACAGCCTCGCTGCCGAACTCGATTCTGATCTTTGCCTGCTCTCCAACCCTCGTGTCCGTCGACCTGCTCAGCGCTCCTCTGCCCTCGTTCGATCGGTCGGCTGGCCTCGGGATCTGGACCTGGATCTGCCCATCATGGCGTCGCAGCAGGTGCTCTTTGCCGAGACCATCGCCGGCATGAAAAAGGCCTTCAAGCGGAGGGCCTATGGTGAGCTCTCCAAACACTCGCCGCCGAGGCGGATCACGCTAACCTACTGGCGTCGACAGAGTCTGACTCCGACTCGGAGATCGAAAGCTTCACGAACCGAGGCAACAAACTCAAAAAGAGGGCGCGTTTCGCACACAAGGGGCAATTGATGCCCTCGGCAGGGCCTGGAGCCTACAAGGAGGTACGGCCGACCGTCATCACACACAGACACAGCCCCGTGAGGCGCGATTCCCAGCCTAGCTAACCTGACGCAGTCTGTCGAGTACGCCGGTGTACGAAGGTCCATTATCCATCGCAATCCCCCCTTGGTCGACGAGGACGGCTACGAATTCGACAGCGACGACGATGAATCCCGCGTCGAGGAGGCCATACTGTCAGCCGCGGAGCTGAATCCATATGCAAACATCCGCTTAGAACGTACGTCTGCCGTGCAACCCGCCTGGGCAGGGCTCGCGCTGACCTTGACAGACATCCTCGCGCCCCTCACTGCTTCAACCGACCTCCCAACCCATCCCGTCCTCTCCAAGCCCTTCACCTCCAATACCCTCACAGAGCTAGTCAAGCAGAGTTCTGGCATAATGCAAAAGGAAAACCGATCGCTATGGCAGGTTCGGCATTTATGGACCTCGCTCTGCGGCGATTCCACTTGGGTACCGTGTTCAACCATGGTCGGCACCAACGACATCGAATTTTATACTCAAGATAACGAGGCGCACCAGCCTCAGGATCTCTCCAAGGCGGGCGATGATGTATCTTCACCATCCAAGGTGAATGGCGAGAAGAAGCCTGATGGGCCCGCGGCTCACGCTGCTACTGCAAATGAGTCGGGAAATTCTGGCGCGCACGGTACCGCTGCTTCGGCAGATGCCGACGTGCCCATGCGCGACGCCGAATCACCCGGGAAGAGGAAAACGCCCCCCAAGGAGGATGAAGCAATGGACACAGACGACGGAGCTTCCAGAGAGCAGCCTAACGAAGCAGAGGACGCGAAAAAAGACAACGGCAAAAGCATACTTAATGGCGACTCAGGGAGAAATACAAACGGCCGAGAACCATCGGCCGAGAATACAAGTCAAGGTCGCAAAAAGGGAAGCCGTCTACCTAGCGAAGACGTCCAAATGCAGGACAGTGTCGAACAGACGAACAAGACTTCCCAAGAGAAGTCGGAAACCAAGAAGGACGGGGAGGCTTCATACATCCACCCAATGTTCTTACCTCCCACAAATGCTTCGCTCGATAGAAACCTTGGCTTACCGGACAACGAAGCCGAAGACATCAGGCGTCTCCTAGCCCTGTACGTGCAAAAGCAGGAGGAGGTCTGTCGAGGGGCAGCGAGATTGCACCTGGGCCTTCTGAGAGCACAAAGGCTCCGCAAAGATGTGCTGGACTGGTCAAAGGCAGAGGCACACTGCGGGCCGAATCGAGACATGTCAGATGGCGAAGACTGGTACGACAAGGAAGAATGGGGCCTGACAGAGGACCTCAAGAAGGGCCAGGACGAAGAAGAGGAAGACACTGCAACGGCAGGGAAGAAGACTCGAAATAGGCGGTAAACATGTCACTATGGGCGGCGTTTTAAGGCGTTGTGAGGGAGGGGAGAATATCCAAACCAGCCACGACTCGTGGATGAGCTGATGATGACGATTTCTGTATTGTGAGGGACGTTGAATGGATTTATAGATACCAAATGCCGACCAGTGCCGGCAGGACATGGGCTTTTGTCCCCTGGGCGACGCCGCGAGGATTCGAATTCCGTGGGCATCGGAGGGGGGGATTCTTTGGACACGCGAGCTGTTGCTACCTCATACTCATACATGGGCAGTGTATTTTTTTTTAGGATTAGCGGTTACATTTCCCCTGGTTAATTTACCAGCTAGTGCTAGTTTTCATCCTCTACTATAGGTTTCTCTTTCGTTCTTTTTCATCTCATGCCCCGTCATTTTCCCGGGCTGGCAGAGGCGGCTTAATGGAATTGGAATTGGTAAATTTGCTTGTGACAGACGCCAATTTTGTTGAGGGCCCCATCCAAGTGACCAATCCCCGCACCCGGAAGGAGCTGCAGCTGCATGTACTCTTGGTTAGCAGGTACCTTCAATGACGCTATGCCCTGGACGCTGTATTTGATTCAAATTCCCGGCGAGATTCAGCCACGTTTCTTCTCTCGCTTGTGATTGTGTGCATTCATTCTGTCGCCTCTCTTGCTCTCTTTTCCATCTGGCTTGTTTACTTTCTCTCCCTCCAGTCCGCCAAAACTGCCCAAACACACGTAGCCCGCAATGGCGTCATCATTCAACGTTGCCGACCTGGCCGAGTATATCGATCTGGACAAGCAGAGCCTATTGAGTAAGCGGCGCGAGCTGTTCCGGCAGACGAGAAGAGAGGCAGACGTCTAATCAGTGGGAAACACAGTCTCGGCAGGGTCAATCATCTTCAACCCGCTCTTCTGGAAGTAAGTAGGAATCAGTTGAGTGGAATCTCTTGCCTCCTTTGTCCACAGCTGTGATACCGTATGTATAGCTTGCTTACACATCGTCTTCCTGTAGCATCATCGCTCGTCAAGGTTCGAAAGCTCGTGTCCCGATTGATCCATCTCCCGATTGGCAGGTCGCAAACAGCTGACCATCAAGCCATTCCGCAGAATACCACAACAAGGTCCTGACCAGGCTGTTTGGGGGCAGACCCTACCCGGCCTGCTATGCCCTCGCCGTGACCATCTTCTCGCTGGGCCTCCTCCGCGATTGGCTGTACAAGACGGCCCTGTCGGAGCAGCCCTCGCACCCGCTCCTGGAGACGCTGTACTCGCAAGCTGCCGGATACACGCTGTTCATCCTCGGCAACATCCTTGTCGTCTCGTCGACGTGGCGCCTGGGCATCACGGGCACCTTCCTGGGCGACTACTTTGGCATCCTGATGGACGAGATGGTGACGGGCTTCCCCTTCAACGTGACATCGGCCCCGATGTACTGGGGCTCGACGATGAACTTTCTGGGGACCGCCTTCGTCTTTGGCAAGCCTGCTGGTGTCGCGCTGACCGTCGGCGTGCTCGTCGTGTACATCATCGCCCTGCGGTTCGAGGACCCGTTCACTGCTGGGATTTACGCCAGACGTGAGCGCGAGCGCGAGGCAGCCAAATCTGGCAAGAAGCAGAAATAAGAAGAAGAAAATGGGCCCTCGGGTCTACATTTGACTGCCGATATTGTGTGCGGCACGCCATTTAGATGTACGAATATTGCTGTGATGGAGAGAGATGGGGCTGGGAGGGCTCCATGGGCAAGGATAGAGAAGGGCAAAGTTGAACACCTAGCATGGCGTTTTGTGCTATCGGGAATGGACTGTAAAACAAGAAACAAAAAGGTCTTTCAACAGGACTAGGATGCGGTTTATTGGAAGGAGGGTTGATTATTGAGTAAAACATGGTTGGGAATTCCACATATACCACTAGATGGGGTCGAACAGGATAGGATAGCAATCATTGGGAGAAGAATCATATTCCGCTTTTCTTCGCGTACATCTAGATGCCTTGTTGTTTTACGTTACATTTTCTTCTCGGTGCCGTGAGCTTCGACATCGAGCCCGGCACGACGGATCCAGAGTCGTATTCCGATTGAATGCCGGCATAAGACCGATGGGCATTGCGCGGTTCATGGGTTTTTTGCACTGCCCCTCGGTGCAAAAAGTGCTTGCAGCTAATGAGTGAATTAATGGATCCAAACACGATGCTTCCGAAGCCATGGGGGGCCGCAATTGCTCTACGAGGGTTATCTTGCTCAAAGATGCGCGCAAGCTACGAGAAGCAAGCTCCTTATGATGTCGAGATCGCCCAAACGCCTCTCGGCCTAAAGAGAATCCAACATCGGCCAGACGCGGGGAAACGCATCTGGGGAAGGGTCTAGACGTAAGAAGAAGAAAAAAAACAGCCCCCCAAGCATGTGACCGCAAGAATGAAGGAAGAAATAAGAGGCGGCGCAGAGGCTAGAGAACCCGGATGGGAGCGGCAGCCGGCTAGCCGAAATGCTACTCGTTCTTCTCAGCCTCGAACCTCTCCACCTGGGTCAGAGAGAGTTTTTGACAAAAGGGAAAAAAGGTGCCAGAAAAAGGTTCCGGGGAAACCCGGTCGGAGAGGGGCCCCGACGGTGAGGAAGAGGAAGAGGAAGAGGTATGAAGTTGTGATGTGATGTGTGTATTACGGTATCAATGTTACGTGCTCCGTTGACGGCACTGAGATTCCGGGATTGTTGCAGGGTCTAAATGCACATCGTCGTTGCAACCAAGGTCGAGCTTCTCAGGGTGTCAGTTGTTACTGCAGGCGTAAATACCGAGGCAGCTGCTCCGTGCTGACGAGACTCTTTTCTTTCGAACCCGTCTCGTTCTCCGTCTTCACGATAATCGAACACCCGATGACTCTTTTTTTTCTTCGGCTGATGAGCTCGGAACGGCGCCTCTTTGGCCAGACAGTGATCAAGAGACTCCCAACTACCGGCTGTTTGCTTGTCTTCTAGCCGCGTGATTCACAGGATTTTGTGTACCCCTTGCATTGAATCCCATTTATACGAAAAAAAACCTAGACCGTTCCATTTCCCCCTCCCGGCTTGCGTCGCCGAGGCGGAGCATACCGGCCGGGACTCTATCTCGACGACAATCTCATTCGCGTTTCTGCATCTCTCATTGGGAGCGACATTCGGGCAGCAAAAATTGGTTCAATCTTTCTTCCTTGCATCTTGCTCCAAAAGCCACGAGAACAAGAACGTACAAGGGCGAGTGACAAGTCAGTCTTTTTTTCTTTTTTGTCGGTACATCGTCGAGCTTTTTGCACGCCAGTGAGACCGGATCCAAGTGCTTCCGGGCAGATTCGGGCTTGTTGACCCGATGCCGTAAGAGATTCAAACACTGTTGCGCTTGTACTTCTGTGTTAGTCCAAGCTCATTCTTTTCAGGCGGCGAAACCAAAAGAATCATTAATTAGCCTCCTCCTCTCTCTCTCTCTTCCACCCAAACATAAAGAACAAGACAAGACAAGACGGGCAAGATTGAGACAAAGATAAAATCCAAAGACAACACACAAAGTTCCGGAAACGCCAAGTCATCCAAACCAGCGCAAGCAAAGTCTCCACTTTCTTTTTTCAGCGTCCGTTGTGGCTGTGGCCTCATAGAAACCCAATCGCTTCCGTCCTTTTGTTTTGTTCCTTATTTTATTCTTCTTTTTCTTGCTTTCTGGGGCATGCATGCCACGACTGTTTCTGCGCCGCGCGATTCTCTGATTGGCAGGGGTGACGGATTGATGGACGGGGGACTGACTCGAGGTGCTTGCGTGCTTCTGCTTTGACGAGATTCAAATTGAGAAAAGAACGACGACAAAACCGGTGTATTCACCCAGAACTGGTCATTTCTTAACACAGGGATCCTGCTTGGCTTTCATAGGTGGACGGTAACAGCAGCGCAAGAAAAAAAAAGGGGGGGTAAAGAAGGCGACGAACCAGGAAATACCTTGAGTCGATTTGAATCTTTAAACGAGGGCAGATATGGACAGGATACCCGGGACCGAGGGCGGCGATGTCGCAGACGATTCAATTGTCCGCCAGACATCGCCGCCAATTGTTGCCTTTGACAGAGCCGCCGACAGCAAGACGCAAAACGCGCAGGTTGCAGCGGGCGTGCTGCTGGGCACGAGCGACGAGGATCGCGGTGCTGGTGATGGGAATTCAGTCGCGACGTCGAATGGGCGCGGCTCAAGGACGAGACGCGGGACGCCGCTGGCGAGGCTGAAGCATGTCTTGATGACGTTTGGCAAGTTTGTGGGACCTGGCTTTATGGTTTCTGTTGCGTACAGTAAGTCGGCATGACGAGGATTTTCTCTACCTTGATGAAGAACGGTGCATGATGGGACGAGAGAGGACAAAAAGGACAAGGAAAAGAAAAGCTAACTTGAACATCCAACGAATAGTCGATCCTGGTAATTACTCTACCGACATTGCGGCGGGCTCTTCGTACCGCTTCAAGCTCCTCTTCATCGTCCTGCTCAGCAACCTCTTCGCCATCCTCCTCCAGAGCCTCGCCATCCAGCTGGGCACCGTCACGGGCCTTGATCTGGCAGCGGCATGTCGTGCTTACTTACCCCGATGGCTCAACTACTTTCTCTACGTGCTCGCTGAAGTTGCCATCATCGCTACTGACATTGCCGAGGTATGCAGCGCTTAACGTTCCCCATTTGATTTGGAGCCATCTGGTGTGCTGATTGTTGTGTCATGTTAGGTCATTGGCACGGCCATTGCGCTCAACCTCCTCATCCCCAAGCTGCCTCTTGTTGCCGGCTGTGCTCTCTCCATCCTCGACGTCATGGCCATCCTCGTCTTTTACCGCCCCGACGGCTCCATGAAGGGCCTCCGCGTCTTCGAGTTCTTCGTCCTCCTCCTGGTCCTCGGCGTCGTCATCTGCTTCTGCATCCAGCTCTCCCTCATCCAGCACACCAGCGTCGGCGAGGTCTTCAAGGGCTACCTCCCCTCTTCGGCCATTGTCCAGTCCGACGGCCTCTACCAGGCGTGCGGCATCCTCGGCGCCACCGTCATGCCTCACAGCCTGTACCTCGGGTCCGGCATCGTCAAGCCGCGCCTCAGGGACTACGACCAGAAGCACAACCTCATGCCCCAGGAACCCGTGTCGGCGGCGTCATCCACCATGGACGAGAATTACGACAAGGTCTACTACATTCCTTCTCTGGCCGCCATCAAGCACTGCCTCAAGTACTCCATCACCGAGCTGGCGCTGTCGCTCTTCACTTTTGCCCTGTTTGTCAACTCCGCCATCCTCATCGTCGCCGGCGCCTCGCTGTACGGCAACCCAGACGCCCTTACCGCAGACATCTTTGGCATCCACCAGCTGCTTTCCAAGAGCATCTCGTCCGGCGCCGGAACCATTTTCGCCCTGGCACTCCTCCTTTCGGGTATCTCGGCCGGTATCGTATGCACCATTGCCGGCCAGATGGTCAGCGAGGGCGCCCTGCGATGGAAGATGAAGCCCTGGTTACGACGCCTCATCACGCGATCCATCAGCATCACACCTTCCATCATCATCGCCGGCGCTGTTGGGCAAACGGGTCTCGACAAGGCCCTCAACGCCTCTCAAGTGGTGCTCAGCACCGTGCTACCGTTTGTGACATTCCCGCTCATCTACTTCACTGCCCGGACGCGGTACATGACGGTGCAGCCCGGCCCAGCCCGACTCCAAATCGAGTCGAGGGAAGACGGCCGGCCGATTGGCCAGCAAGGCAAGGACATGTCCAACGGCTGGGTGCTCATCATTCTCAGCGCCCTCGTCTGGCTGCTCATTGCAATCATGAATGTCGCGAACCTAGTATTGTTAGGACTAGGCAATGCATGATTAACTTTTTCTTTTTTTTTTCTTTTTAGCTTCTTTTCTGATTAAATCTTGTTTCTTTATTGTTGCTGCATGGCGCTGCGATGCAATGCTAAAAATTAGACCTCGGTCGGTTTCTGATAGAGTTGGATGGGCGTGGGGGTTGAAAGTATGGCTACGAACTTACACAAACCATGAATCATGTGTATACGCGTAATAGTATTAGACATGTTACCCGATGTATACTTATACTAGTTCTAATACTATATTCCGACACTTACTCTCGGACCTGATACTACCTTAGGCATTATACTCTTTGTCTGGGGGATGAGTTGATGGCTGTCTTGACAAGCAACGGCCTTTGGACCTTGGATAACCAACCTCACGCATGATTACCGCTGTATGGAGAACCTGGAATCAATTGCACAGCCTTCCAAATCAAGTCATTGACCCACCACAGAAAATGCTCGTAAATTGCTCAATCAAATCCAACCCAAGTTCTTCGTTGGAACCTGGAATAAAGCAAAAACCCCAGTCCAAAGACAACGCCGTTTCAAAGACGCAAAAACCAGGGCAGACAAAAAAAAAAAGAAACAGAAGCGACGTCACCGCAAGCCCCCCACCGCCAAAAGCCCCGAAACATCTCCAGCCCCGCGTTTTAATCACCCCAAACGGACCCTCACAACTAAGGCAACCGCATTTGCCGAATCCCCCCCTCCAAAAAGATCATCATCGGCTGATGCCAATCGCTTTTTCTGGGCAGCTTTGGGCGGTGAAATTCCAGGACATCACGCGAAAACCCTCGGGCGGAAAATCAGGCGGGCGCCTCGGGATTGCGCGACATAACAGACGAGGAGTTTGAGCTTTTGTTTGAAGAGACTGGAGCTGGCCTTATTAGCTCACTCGGCTTTGCGACAACGTGGCGCTGCTGGAGCTGAACATTGTGGCACGAGGGACGAGCTCGTCAAAACTCGCAGCTGTATAAATACGCCATCAACCGCGGCGATATCGAAAGACAGCTTCTGGAAGCTTCGTTTCGCTGTGCGGTGTTGCTCGAGCATCGCGGACTTGAACACCTGCTAGCTAAGCTTCACCTCCATCGTCCAACATGTTCCAACAAGTACAGCCAGCTCCAAGCCTCTCCCCAGCCTTGTGAATCGCTAGAGCCTGATGCTAACTTGAACGCTCCCTACAGAAGAAGCCCTACTCGGCCGTCACGGTCACCATCGAGACGCTCACCTCCGAGGCCTACGAAGAGGAAGACCTCAGCGGCATCCCCGACCTCGTCGAGGTCATCACCATCCAAGCATCCGGCCCCACGGAGGCCGCCCGCGCCATTCGAAAGAAGCTCAAGTACGGCAACGTGCACCGCCAGATCCGCGCCCTGGTCCTGCTTGACGGCCTCATCCAAAACGCCGGCCCGCGCTTCACGCGCACCTTTGCCGACGAGCCTCTGCTGGAGCGCCTGCGCGTGTGCGGCACCTCCGACCTCTCGGATCCCGAGGTCAGGAAGAAGTGCCGGGAGCTGTTCAACAGCTGGTCCCAGTATGGCAACAAACCGGGCCTGGAGAGGATCGCTCGGCTGAGCAAGGAGCTGCCGAAGCGCAAGGTTGCCATCACGCAGGAGAGGTCGCGCGTGCTCAAGGAAACCGAGAACCCGTTCGGCGACGAGGAAGACGACGAGCCAACGTCTCCGAAATCCCCATCCCCTCCCGCCGCCGGCCCGTCGTCGTCGTCGTCCCACAGTCGTACGTCTCATAGCCGCGGATCGTCAATGGTCGATTCGTTCAAGCATCAGCAACCCTCTATATCCAGTAGTGGCAGCTTCGTATTCGGCAGCAGCTCCGACAAGAAGAAGAAGAGCGGCAGCGGTAGCAAGACCAAGGGCAAGAGGAAGCCTTTCAACCTAGAGGCTGAAAAGGAGGGGATGAAGTCTGTCATTGCAGAGTCGTCGCTGGCGGCAACGAACCTGCTCAACGTATTGCAGACGATTAACCGTGAACGGGAGCGCATCTCCGAGAACAACTTGGCTGTCGAGAGGTTTGAGTCTTGCAAACTTCTCCGCAGAAAGGTCTTGCGCTTTGTAAGTCGTCATCACATGTCACCCCTCTCTTGACTTTTTGGCTCTTCTCGGTAGATCTCTAATTTCAGAGCCAGGTTCATCACGTCGAACACGAACAGTGGCTAGGTCCACTCCTTCACGCCAACGACGAACTGGTCCACGCCCTCATGACCTTTGAGCAGCTCGACCAGTCCGTCGATGCCGACAGTGACTCTGACGACGAACTTGCGGAACAAGCTCACCTATACCGAAGTAAGAACTTACGCCCCAAACCCTCGCATTCGGTTGAACCCTGAGACTGACCCCGATCCCCCCCCCCCCCTAGTGGCTGCTATAAAGGGAAAAGAAGAACTGGCTGCCAAAGAGGTTTCATCCCCCCCAGCCCGGGCCGAGCATCCCGACATCGCCGGTCTGAGCATCAACTCGTCCCCAAGAGCGACCCCGCCGCCTCGGCCTGCCTCGAAGCCTGTCTATTCAGCACCGCCGATACCACCTCCGCTGCCATCGAACCCCAGGCCTACGGCCCAGCAGAGACAGGGCTCGTATTTGTCCGACGAGGAGGACGATGACGATCCATTTGCTGATAGGAACATTGTTGAGTGAGGTTGACGGATGTAACGGGGAACTGTGATTTTATTCTGTGATCCGCGGTTGGCGTGTGTCGTTTTGGATATTCTCCTATTTTTTTTTTCGATTTACTTCTCATTTTTATTTATTTTCTCGTTGTTTGGAACTTATTACCCGGGAGGGTTCCATGCGTGCCTTGGAAAGCGGGCAAAAAAATCTAATGATTCATGAGGCCATGATATCGCGTGTTGTAATTTCAGTGCGTGCTTTGGTCATCTGAGAGATATCCGAAAATGAGCTTGTGGATTCCTCTTCTTCCAATAACGGATTTTGTTTTTGTTCTATTTCTGGTAAAGAGTGTATTCAGTTATAGGCTGGTTTATGATATTGAATGAAGATTTCTGAGTCGATATGACATCATGTTCATCCTTGGGTCCGACTTGGAATGGTATGTCTATTTTCCAATACATCATACGATGAGGCACTGGATAATACCTGAGATGTCATTTCATGAGATGATGCGTGAGATGGTTGCTAATGCCAACAGTTGGACATTGAGTTGAACCCTAACCAAGTGCTTTCATCGACATTGCTACATATAAACTGAGTACAGGGGCAGACCATTGTCATAACTATTTCTACGAGTTTGACAATGAAGCCATCTTATAAGGTAGATAGTGCCATCATCCGTGGAATTAAAGTAATCAACTCCCATCTAGACACGCTCCAAACACATCTCACTCAAACCCATCGACTTCAGGGTAAGCATCTCATCCCAAGACATCGCAACTCAAGACTATCACAATACAGAAAGGCTGGAACATGTCTACAACCTTCACATCAGCATCTTCTACTCACACCCTCCCCCCCCCACATAACAGCGAGAAACAAAGAGACAGGAGAAGAGAAAACAAGATCAGACCCTCAAGGTGCATGCCGCCTCCTCATTTGCCAGACAACAATGCCGAAAATACGCACGACCCCAGCGCCCACGCCCACGCCCACGCCCCCCCAGGACCAACCACCAAAGAGCCGGTGGTTTTCGGAGACTTTGCACGGAAACCTTTTCCCTCTCGTTTGCGCGGGCGTACGTGCGTGCGTGTTGACCGTTTTCTTCCTTGGCTGCTAAAGAGAACATTCCTCAATGGGCGGTCTAAAAAAGACTCCTGGGGTGGCATTCCGGCGTTTAGGTCGGCCGATCGATCCCTTGGGGGGGGGACTCGACGGACCGGAAAACGGTCAGCAATAGCCAAGGGGAAAACAGACAACGATTTGCTGCCCGAAAGAAAGGCGCTAGCGATGCCGGATCAATGCTTTATTTTTGGAAAATGCCACTTCTACCGCAAGTTGGGCCAGATCGGCGCGTGTAAGTGAAGGCATAGGGGGGATTTCCCGTACGAGTATTTCGTAGAGACGACGCCACGGATGGGTGCCGGTGCGGATGTTGTCGGATCATTCAGATCAGTTGACGTGAAAAAAAAAACTGTCCTAGGCACCCATCATATCTTTGCCTCCACAGCCAAACGGCACCAGATATGCATTGAGTGAAATGTCACAATAGCAAACAATTGAATCGTGCCAATAGTCGTGGGGAATGTCGAGAGCGATGAGGAGACCCCCCGCCCTTCTATCATGCATTCGCAATGCATACTCGTATACGGGCCTCTCATGTCGAGGCCATCATAATGACAAACTGCTCTACCCCGTAGTTGACTCGGAAATGCCAAGAATGGCAAAAATGGAGAAGTACCAGAGAGTATGGGCTATGTCACCTGGTACCGGATAATTACGCACGTTCGATACCACCACGAGGTGAGGACGGCTTTGGCCGCTGCCTCCCCCGGACGGGAGAAGGGAGCTCAGGACAGGGAAAGGATCAAGCAATTACCATCATCTCGTGGCAATCTTCAAGACGCCCATACCCTCCCTCCCAATACCGAAATTCAGGTTGCCAGATGAAGCGCTGTGAAACACAACGTTGCCGGCGAACAAGGCGTCTGAAGCTGCCACATAGTGTCGTGTGCTCCTCACCAAAGTCGGCATCGGATGTCCCCTTTCTGGCGTTTTCCCAAGCGTGGGGGTGCACGGAGTTGCCGGTACTCATAGCTGGCTTTCCTTTGTTGGTCAGAATAAGCCCGGTGTAGCAACCCATTAGCCCGGTGTAGGATAGGGTGCAAGGATAGGAATGTAGTCAGCACTTCGTTTTTGGGGTTCCAAGTCGCTGGATGCTTGCTTGATGCAGAGGGAATTGAGGCGTCTCGTAAACAAGCAGACAATGCGTCGATCTCTCCTCCCATTGGGCGTGGTCATTCTTGCAGGCGTTCATTGGGCACTCCTAGTTTCATTAAGCGATCAAGCCAGCCTTCCGAAAGAGTAGGTGATGAGGATCCGTTTGCATGTTTTGGTATGAAGTCGCCGAAAGAACGGAGTGCTCCGTCACCCGTCGTCCATATTCGGGACCCAGTTGACAATAGTAACAACTGGCCTCCGAACCAGGCCTAAGCCATTGTTAGACGCAGTCCTGATCCGTTGCCCCAGCTTGCGGCGAGAATACTTTGCGCTAAATAAGTGCCCATGCACCGCAAAGGCAATGTCCCAGCTGGCCAACCGTTTAGCCCTGTGTAGGATGCAATTCAAAAAGGGAGTGGCTAGTGAAATTAGCAGATATTAAAGCCAGAGTAGCGAACGGTACATAGCAAGACGCTTGGAAGGCCAGAAGACAAACGGAATTTCATCTGCGCCTTTGTTTTGTGACGACACCCGAGGTCCACGTATTCACTTTGGGTGTTGGATGGCGACGGCTCCCCAGAAGGCAAACGGTGCCAACAGCAGCTTGCTTGTTGACCCAGCTCCACGGGGAGAGGGAGAGGGAGACGGAGCCCTGTTGGTGGCGCTGGGTTTGGAAACTCGGCATGTGGGAATATTGACCCTCTTGGTTGTTTGCCTTGAGGACCGAGAAACGAGGCTCGAAATTCATCGGGCCGCGGCCCATCCAAACGTGATGATGCTAATATTAACTTGCCCGTTGAAGCTTTGCACACATGTACGTGTAGATCAGCTGTCGCAGCACTTAATATCATATCCCTGGCCCCTGGCTGGTGGTGACTGGGGTGGGCGTGATGGTCGGTCGTTTGTTTCACCTGCGTGGTTTCAAGATTAAACCGCCGTGGTGCGACGGATTCCTTGCATGCCACCAGCCACTTTGAGCGCGCCATGCGTCTCTTGGCTGCAAGGCTCATCAGATATCGCGATCCATGCCACGAGCATCGTATCGTATGGGAGAAGGGGGGGTGTAGATGCACATGTACAGCACAGCACAGCACAGTATAGTACAGTACAGTACAGTATGCACGAGCACAGTTGGACGCAAATCTCTGGTTTGTGCGCACCTGGACCGGCATCGTTTGATTGGTGGATCGAGTTTCAACAGACATCATGGATGAATTGAATTGAAGCCTCGAGTTGTTCCGACTGGTAAAAGAACGACCTCTGCGGCTCTTGTTTGTTGGTCACGCGTCGTTCAGGTGACCTTGCCCGGGCAGTTGTCAGCAATGCATGGCCGGCCTTATTTTTCCTTCCCCACGACTTGGGTTTGGTGAGGAGGGGTGGGCAGTGAGGTGAGTGGGCAGCCAGCTGGAGCTGAATTGCTGTGCTCTGGGCTACTTTTGTCCCGATCCACCACCTGAGCCCCTTCATTATGGGCGCGCATTTCGAGTAGGGAGGATCATCACTCATTACATCATTCGCTATTTTGTTTTGTTTTATTTTTAAATACTTTGGAATTGCAGAGGCTGGGTTCGAGTTCGATTTTGGTGCGATGCGATGCGATGCGATGCGATGCGATGAGATGCGATGAGAGTGCTGACCTGTTTGCAGTGCGCCGACAAGACTCTCTCTCTTGTCTGGGAAGAGGATGGACGCCAATGCGTGGCTGACTGGCGCTGGGGGACTATGTACTGTACGAGTACCAACCCAGCAACTGCTCTATGACGGATCGCGGAAGCCAGCAGCCGATCATGGTGATCATACTGGCCGGCACTGACAGCGAGGGGAGGGGGGTGGAGGACAGACAATTGGGCACACGTTACTGCATCGCTAGGGTCGGTCAGCCATACGACGGTCGGTTCATTGGTGGAGGCCCGGCCGGGGCGCAAGCTTCTGGAACGCTTTGAGAAGGATTCCTTATGCCATCCTGTCCGTTTGTGCATGCTCGCGCTCCGTCCTTGTGCGCAGCTAGCGTTCTGGCGGCGGGGCTGGCAAAGCTGGAGCGAGTTAGGGAGATGCATGGGGCTGGCCAGAGCCTTGTCGCACTTGGCATCATCCCTCATCGCCGGTGACAAGGCGACAAGGATCGATCCAGGAGGGTGGAGCCGCCTTCGAGGAGAGAGCCGAGAGAAATTCCAGAATCCTGCCACGTATGGCTAGAGCAATTTCCGCCAGGATGCATTGGCCATCGGCCTCTCCACGCAGCCAACCAGATGCACAGACAAGGGAAACCGAGGCGGCACCCCTGGCTCTCGCAACGGCGACAACGGAGAGGAGGGCCAGGAAACGACGTTTGTGTGTTTCTCGAGCCCGTTGGCGCTGGCTGGAAGCTAATGACGGTGGGTGGAGTGTCATGCAAGCCTTGCGGGAGAGCGGTCATTCTCTGGCCGTCTCATCGCTGCCTGGAGGCTGGAGAGCGTGACCCGTTTCTCCTGTCGCCATTGTCACGACGGTGGGTGCCCAACAGCCAGTCTGTCGTCTGCAGATGAAATGTTTGCTGCGAGAAACTCGAACGACTGACGGGGGGCACTAAGGACGGCTAGCTATGGCAACCGGTCGATTTGGCGGCTGAATATAGGACAACGCACATGCGAGTTGAGTGCATAACGACCACATGCGGGCCTGTTTACGAAATACCTCTTTGTCCTGTCCCGTTGACTGAGACGTGGTGGCGAGATGCCAGCGTGGTCACCGTCACCCCCCAAGCGGGACCAAGTATCCTGTCCTGGCGATCCGGGAGCTGAGCTTGTATATTGCACAGTGCTCACGTAATTACTCGCACGCGCGGGCCGCTCCATCTTATCTCATTTAGGATGAGAGATGTGATCGATTCCATATGCTAACCGCCATGGCGGGCACAGATGAAACGTGCGCCTGGCCGTAGCGTGCGGTGCAGTGCGCTCTGCTCTGCATCTGCATCGCGTGAGCACGAGAGAGAGTGAGGATCCGTGGGCAATCGCCTGCGGAATCCCAGGCCGAAATCACCCCAAGCTGCGAGATGAAGTCGTCGCGACAATGCAAGTGGCCCGTATCCCGCTCCCTCGAAATAACGTGGCGCCATTAGCCCGGCCACCACTCGTATGCCGCCGGTACCTGAGGTGCGTCGCTCAGTGGTGCTGCGCCTCTGTCCGGCAGCAGTAGCATGACCTATCCGCATGATTAATAGAATCACTGATCCGTTTCTATTATCCAATGTATGCATACGACTATGGAGCAGCACAGCACCGCACAGCCGTCTCCGTAGCATCGCATCTGCTGCTTCCCCTTGGCTGCTCTGCTCTGCTCGTGCTAGCCAGCAGTTTCTGTTCCGATTCTTTTGCTAGTGCCTACGCTACTCTGTTCCTTACTAACCTAGTGCTGTCAAGAATGGTCGATTGATTGACTTGCCATGATTACCTTGCAGCCCGACTTGTTTCAGATGGCCCATTAAAACGCACGAGTACGAGTTGGTGTAGTTTGTACTAACTCGACGCTGGCGTTGACGTGTAGCACGTACCACCTCTTATTTCCATCATCGTCGCGGCTAACAAGCGTCAATCTGAATTACATCATTGGCATCTCTATTGTTGGACCCGGCCAGCCTAGTGACAATTGCATGCCTGAGAGATAAAAAAAGAGCACATGGGTTCATTAGATCGCAAGAGGCGTCGTCTAGCATGTGTCTCTATTGGCTGCACGACTTTGCCAATCGGCCGAGGCCCTTTCAAAAGGGCTGCGCTACTGATCGCCCGCCATGCGCGTTTGAGGGAAATGAAATTGCTGCATGCGCGGTGCATTACAATAGTGCTGCTACTCCATGCGCCTGCACTTGCACATGCATATTCGCCGCATCTTGTGCTTTTGTGTCCAACACCGCGAGGCCAAGCGGGTTCACCACTGGCTGGGCCATGCCGCCTCCTCTCCTCCCTACCTACCTTACCATAGGGGGTGGCTCTGTTAGTCACCGGTACTCGCGAAGATGGGGAAAACGCACCAAAGGGAGAGACGCCATTGATGTTTTTTTGAAGCGAAAAGCTGAAATTGGTGCTGACCGCAAGTACAGCTACGACTGAACTCTACTAGAAAGATGGACCATCGACATAAGCTTGACCTACTATTCTTCCGTGCCGCCGCCAACTGTCGAGAGAGGTGGCGGGAAAATGGCCCATTGCCACGCCCCCCCAGGACGCTCGGCTCTCGCAGGGCCGATTGATGCTCGGCCGGGGAATATCTGAAAAGTACAGGTATGGATGTACAACGCACACGCCAATCCCTGGTAATAGTTGTTGGGGGTCCCGTTTGGAAGGGGTCCAACATGGCAAAGTCTGGCCGTGGCTGCGGGTGCGCATGGCATCACGAAACTGCTCCGGCGGGCGAAACGCATCGGCATGTGCTCGTGGGAAGTGCATGAAACGTCAAACACGAAACAAAACGAAAAGAAAAGTGTTTGCCATGCAATGTTACATGCTGATGTGTAGGCACAGGTATTATCGATAGAATAGGGAAGATGGATTTCTCACCGGTCAGCATGCCCCAGCAGACCCCAAGCAACGACCGGAAACGCCGTGCCTGGTGGGTTTGCGGATGTGGCACCAAGATGCTAATCCATCACATAAGACGACTGCCAGCCCAGCCCTCATTAGTGGCAGCCGGGGAGGAGAGCAGCCAGACAGACAGAGCGGGAGGCGCTTGTTCTGAAATGACTCTACGAGTATACAAAATGAGGGCCCATCTGGCTGTTTGCCGTTTTACGTGTAATTTCGAGCAGCAGCCGGAGACGTTCAATATCAACCGCCCACGCATTTGCTGTACCGTGTCTGAGATGATGCCCTGCATGTCCACCCGCTCTCTCTCTCTCGCCATGCCATGCCATGCCACGGATTACCTCACCGTGAATCTGGCATGCCCGTGTCAGCCAGCCAGGGCCCTCTAGCGGCTCTGCCGTGGACGATTGAAGCACTCAAATGCCGCTAGGATCAAATGCCACCTGGTGCCAGGCATTACCTTGCAGCTGGCCAGGTATACCGTAGTCGTGGATGCTTCCAAGGACTCCATTGCACGTGTGCGCTGCTTCTCTCTGTCTCTTTGGGCCGCCATCTACATGTACCTACCTACATGCAACAGGTATGAGTACGAGGATGCATCCAGGGGCGGGCATACTGTACGTGTGCACGCACCCATGGTTCACAGCAACCCAAAGCAAGCGTCGATTAATCAATTGATTGATTCATCGGGGCCTCCCTCTGGCATACGATACTACTCGATCAATACCACTGTCAATCCTCCTCACACCGCATGTACGAGTAGCCGCCACTGGAGGACTGGCTGCTGCGAAACCCCAAATGCCCAAAAAAGGCATCAATTCAACCGCATCCCTGCTCCGTAGTGCCTTTAGCGCTGGGCCAGGCTGCGCTAACAGAGCCTGGCAGCGCTCCACCGCAATGAATCTTTCTTTGTCCATCGGGACACTGTGGAGTGAGACTTTTGCGTCCTGCCCAGGTCCCCAGAGCGGTACTTGTGTACTGGGTACGGAACAATCGTCCCGAGCCGCCGCGCAGGCGTAGCACACTCAGGTACTGCTACCTGCCTGTCCCGAAGGGCTACTCGGACCGCTAGCAACGACGCCAGCTTGCTCTTCACCCGAGCACCAACCCGCTTCCTCTTCCTCTTCTCACTCTCTCGAGAAAGCTCTCATGATCGAGATGCCGCACGTATTCTGAACCAACTCCTTTCGCAAACGCCAGAGCAGCGCCGTTTCTCCTCACACGCCCCCTCCCCTTCTTCTGCTAAACTAATACTTGTTCGAGCACTCGTACTTGTCCAGCTGAGAGCAATAGAGTTTGCGTGCTGCCCGTCTGGTTATATTAGACCTGCAGTCGGCTTTGCTCCTTGTGTCTGGGCCCGGGACCCTTTTGCGATCAAAACGTCGACCTCTCGGTTTCATCCCTCAGCCCGCGTTCCAGAGACGAGCCTCCTCCTTGGTACTGGTAGCCCCCAGCCTTGCCCGACTTGCAGGCAGACGTCGAAAACACCAAAGCAGCTTGCATTCCTGAGAGGGCAACGCACAGAGCTCGCCTCGACTTCACGTGTTCTCATGCATGCGTTTGATAGCAAACCGCAGACAACGCAGAGCACAGAGCACATTGCATCATTCTGTATCCAAGCCGTTGCGCAGTAAGTCGGTCGGTTCGAGCAGTCATCCATCCTCACAGCATTTCTCAAGAAACATCAACGCTCCGAATCTGTCCATCCATACATGCACACCCCTGTTTGCTTGCTGGCGCGGCGCAAGGGTGAGCCGGTCCAGGAGATTTTTTGTTCCATCTTTTCTCGACAGGCCCACCCCTGCACTCTGCCCTGCACCCGGCCAGCAAGCCTGTCATAAAGGCTTGGGCCCCTAAAAAAAGTTACGTCGTTCGCCAGTTCCAGAAGCACTTGCTTTGGACGACCGCATTTTGGCACCGACCTTGAATCCATTTTCCCACCCTTTTTTTCCCACCTCAACCCACAGGCCGTTCGTTGCACCGTTTCTGCTTCACGCCTCTTCCTTCTTTTTTTTTCCCTCTTCTTCTTCTTCCCTTCCTCTCTCTCTCTCTCTCCTCTTACTCTCTTCGCCATCCCTCCTTTAGCCTTGATCATCAGCCCACCCTCCCGCAAACGCGGCTGACCGAACAGGACCCAGCCTTGACCACCCGGCAGCATCCCTCGACACAGCGCCCGTTGCCCATTGACGCCCCGGTCCGGCTTATGATCAGTCTCTCTCGCTAGCAGCTTGTTGCTTCCCGCTCTGCAGGCTGACTCGACTGCTCTGAATCCTCGTGGCCAGACGGGCTCCTTTTCTTCCTCCGCTTGGTTGGCACCTTGGGTGTCAAATCTCATCTGCGAAACTCGTCGGGCTTTCCGTCTCGCATGCGACATCTCCTTACGACTTGAACAGGCGTTGTCAGGATCTCGTTTCTACCTCGCCCAATATTCGATCAGCTTGCGCTCTCCCGTGACGAGTCGCCTGCCTTGTATCGTCCTCTCGCTTGCCCGCGCCTGCATACAAATATATCCTGCGACGCTGCCCCGCGGTGGCAACACACGTTCGAGTTATTGCAACGCCGCTGCACTTTTCCTCTTTCGATAGAGATATCCTCCGAGCTCAGGCATCGATTCGCAGAAGCGGGTGGAGTGCGCAAAGTTACGTTTCGTGGTGCCTAACATAGACGTCTGTTTCCGCGATCCCAAATTGGCGGCGACGACCCGAGAACGGCGGTGGCGCGAAGAAAACAAAGGACGACGGCCCTGACCTTCTCTACATCCCATCAGATCTCGAAAGGTATGTCTAAACACTGTCGATTTTCCGGGTCATCATTCCAGGAATGGGTCAAATGTCGGCTGGTGCTGTTGGTGGGTGGCCCAAGCTCTTGGGAACCTTCAACTGCTACCCAAGCCGACTGGGCGGTAAGAAAAAAGTCTCCGCGATGGCTTCAAACGGCTGGCGGACGACTTGATGGCTTGGCACCTGATCGACTTCCTTCGAATGATGATGACCCCCACGGTCTATTGTATGCGCGTATCTTTGGCACTGGGCTCATGGCTGACTGAAACCCAATAGCGTTCCAACCTGGCTCTCATAGATCGCCGTTTGGCATTTGGCCATACCATGTTGCCCCATACCCTCTCCTCGTCCGCAAGGCCGAATACGGTCATGTCTTCGGCGTCGCCCGAGGTGATGGACATCACCAACATGCTGAACAACAAAGGCGGCATGACTCACGGACTCGGGGGAGGCATGCCCGACCACCATCATCATCAGCACCACCTTGGCCTCGTTAAGCATGAGCCTACGATGGACCGATCAGCCTCTCCTCACATGTCTGAGCATTCTTCCTACTCCGCCCACAGCCTGTCTCGTGCCTATCCTTCACCAACGGCCATGCAAGCCCCCATGCAAATGCAGAACCCTATGCATAGTGCGATGCAGATGGGTGGCTTCGCCGATATGTCTGGCATGGGCGGCGTGCCCAGCATGGCTATGCATCATATTCCGCAGCAGCCACCGCAGCAGCAGCAGTCTCCCGCCGCTCCTGTGAAGGCCTACCCCTGCAGCACTTGTGGCAAGGGCTTTGCCAGGAGAAGCGACCTTGCCCGTCATGGTGAGTCTGACTACTATCAAGACTGAGAACTCATGGAGACCAATGCTAACATGTTCATTTATAGAGCGTATCCACACAGGTGTCAGGCCCCATGTCTGCGACTACCCCAAGTGCAACAAGCAGTTCATCCAAAGATCTGCCCTGACCGTTCACCAACGAGTCCACACCGGCGAGAAGCCCCATCACTGTGAGACTTGCGCCAAGGTAAGCTAGTTATGAGCGTTGCGCTCTCTGCTCTTTCGAGAGAGGGGGAAAAACAAAGCAGAACCCGCTAACTCGTGATATTATAGCCATTTAGTGATAGCAGCTCTCTGGCTCGACACCGAAGAACGCATTCAGGAAAGCGCCCTTACAAGTGCCCTTACGCCGACTGCCAAAAGACATTTACGAGGCGCACTACTCTTACACGGCATCAGAACCACCACACGGGCACCATCGAAGAGGCGGCGGCGGCCACCGCGGCGGCGCTCGCAGCCTCAAGGGCCAAGAACGGAAGCCAAGCTCGCTCCGACGGCGACCACATGTCCAACCACGGCTCGCCCCTGACGACCCCGTCACCCAGCCATCACACCATGATGTCTCCCGCCCTGGACCTCTCGGGATCCAACGGCCTCAGCCGACACGCCGAATTCCAGTACATGACACAGAGCGGCACGCTGCCTCCTCACCTCCGCGTGGGCAGTCCTAATTCGACAACGTCGGCCGCCAGCTACAACACCGGGATTCGGCCCACCTCGCACCCTACCGGCTACGGCCCCCCTCCCACGCTGGAGCCCAGCTTGGAGCAGCACCCGGCGGGAGCTGGAAGCGCAGGTGGCAGTCCTCACATGAGCCAGGTTGGCTGGCAATCCCCCCAAACCCACTCGCCATCTCACAACGGCGGCAGCTACGTCTACCCCGACCCCGATGGTTACCCACCCAACCCCTCGATGAGCCAGATGTACTACGGCGCACCACAGCAGATGCGACGGCCGCAAAGCACAGAGCCTGGTCTGGTACACATGGCTTAGTGGGACCAAATGCCATTGATGAAAGCCGAGTGCTTGTTGCCTGATGGCTCTTATCCATGATGACTTCGACATTGACACACACACACACTGCTGTACATCACTTTCCTAACTCCACATCAACCACGTACACGACTATTTTTGCCGGCTTGGCAGCACAGAGGGCGGCCATCTGTATGCACTAGGGCTGGCTGCTCTCTCTCTCTCTCTTCTTTTTTCTCTCTCCTCGTATTTCCTTTATTTTCTTTTTTTGTGTTGTTCCCTTCATATAGACTTTGGGCGATAGACTGGCGGACCGGAATCTTGACGATCATGGACTGAGCGTTTTCCATTTGACACGACGCGCAGGGCGGCAGGGGAGGAAAGACTGGAGTTTATAAGGAGGGGTGGAAGGACACCAAGTGTGTTTGCTTGCTCGTCTTTCTCTTTTTATTTTCTGGGTGGCATACAAGATGGGCTGGGAAACGGATAAGATATAGACGGCGGGAGAGCTGTCCACCTCTCTTCGATGACACATTTTCCTTGGCTGTTGGCACATTATTTAGACAAGGGCGCTCAAAAGCGCACCTCTTCGCGAGAAATTGTACGGATATACATTACGGAATACGCAGTATCCAATTGTGCACGAGACCTGACCTGCTTCTTCTTCTCTCTCTCTCTCTCTCTCTCTCTCTCTTTTTCGCTTTGTGATCAAAGTAAACTTTGAGCTTGTGATGCCCGACTAGCCAGTCGTTGTACAAGTCGTCCATGTGAAGTGTGCTGAGGGAAGGGAACTAAAGTGAGCCGATATGACGTGTAAAAAGAAGGGACGCTATAATTTCTGATTAGTCGTTCTTGTTCAGGCGGCAGCGAAAGAGCCAATCCGTTGCGCAGGGAATGAATGCTGGGGAAGAAGTGGGATCGGTGCGGATTTTACCGCTGACACAAAGTGAACACGGGGTTTTGCAAGAGAAGAGAAAAGGGAAAAGGGAAAGCTTGTGAGAGGAAGAAGAAGAAGTTGTTTTCCGGATTGAGGTGGGACAATTGGATGGTTTTGGGTGTGTGGCTCTGTGGCGATGGTTTGATTTTGGGATTTTGTAATCAAGTTTTCAGGAGGTGTTGGAGTAAATCCAATGTTTCATATGGGGGGATATGTGATTTGATTCCGAATTGTATACGGGTTGAAGGGACGCTTGCTGGTCTGCATTTTATTCCGTAGACGTGTCAAGTGTTGTAAGAGCATCTTGGATGAGTTTTGTGCCTGGTATATAAGAAAGAAGTCGGCAAGGATTGCTTCCGGCGGGAGGTAAGGGCTGAGAACTGACATGGGGGGGCACCGAGTTCCGGACAACTGGGCGACGGAGATGCTTATGCGTTTGATGGAGTAATAGCTAGCTGTCGAGGGGAAATCCGGGGAGATTGGCTGTAGTTCCTTGAATAATGTGTGGTATGTGGAATACTACATCGGATATGGACGTTTGTCGAGTCGTGGAATGTTTTTGTTTAGATTGGAGAGGATTACGGGGGTTGATCCGAGGCGGAAATGATTACTGTAAGCTGGGCGGATATACAAGTAAGCTTTGGCACTGTCAATGGGTGCTTGACGAGCCTCGTTCTCCTTGGAGTCGTGATATCTTTTGCCTCTGGCGGAGTGATTAGATTTTGCTCAAATCTGAGAATAATGAAATACACAGCTCGTCCCTCGGTATCACAAATTCAAAAATTCGTATAACATGATTACTATTAATTAATTCATCCCCGTTCAACCACCATCGTGAACGAAACACACAAAACGGAGAAGCTTAGCTACTCGTCGCCGGTTACCCAAGGTATTTTCACTTTATACCTTTATACAGACAAAGGAACATTCCGCTTTTCATTCTACAATCATGGCCCAAGCCTTGCACCTGGCACCAATCAGGATAACGGGGGGCGATCCGATCAGTAATCGTCGTGAATTTTCTATTACTATTCAGTGCGTGATGTCTAAAGTCCGCGATGCTCCATCAGGTAATTTTTGTTTGCCCTTTTTCGCCCTTCAGTCGCCTGCAGATGAGAAACCCCCGTTTCCCATGTGGTTTCCCGTGTGATGTGTGTTGCGTTCACGTCTTCTCCTGAACATCATGTTGATGATTGCATTTCATTGAAGAATAGAGAGAGGATTTAGATGTAGATGCATGTCCGTAAGAGGCAATTACAAGGTACGTGTAAGCCCAATTCCCTTTTGCAGAAATCCTGTAGGTACGGAGCAAAAGAGTAATAGCGCCCGCTCACCCTGAAGAACAGCAGCAATTTACTGGCGTTGAGCGCTGTAGCTTATTAGTATCTAGCGGCGTTGAACCCACGCCGGGGCCGGAGAGATTTGCGTGGGATGAAAGGAAAATGATCATCAAATCAATATTTCGACTCCAGCTTCGACCGAAAGAGGAGCCCAGAAGAAAGAAGAGAAAAAAAAAGGCAAAAATTCAAGAGAAATGAATGGGAAAGCAAGGCAGGTGGATGCCAGCCGCGTCGGTGCTATTTCTTGACGCCCTTTTCTCTCTCCCTCACTCACTCACTCTCTTTCTTCTTTTCTCACCAACATATATTCATCGTCGAATCCCATCTCTGCTCTTCTTCCCCTGGGAAGATCTGATGACGAAAATAGTCGTCGCCGATTAGCACGCCAAAAGGGATCCCCCCTGGTCACGCACTTACAAACGCCGTGCATTTTGGTTCCAACGTCCACTTTCTTATCAAGGTCACCTTGACGCCCTTTTTTCTATCCTTGCCTGTTTCTTCTCTGCTCCATTCCAAATCCTCTTCCCGTCCGAGGGATTCAAAGGGACAAGCTTAGGAGACCCCGGACAAAGAACCAAGGTCTGACTAAGAAAAAGACTTGGCCAGCGGCGAGAGCCGAGGCTGCGCGGCCGGTAGCGTCACTTTTTTTCGACTGGAATCGTTCAAATCCCATCCCATCCAATCCGCAGCAGCTGCGGACTAAAAGAGGCAACAATAACCTTTTTTTTTTTTTTTTTTTGGATTGATTTCTAATTTGATTGCTTCCCGTCTATTCCACATCATTACTCAGTCCCTTTGGCGTTTTCTGTCTTGGCCTTTTTCTCTTTTCTTTATTAATATCGCAAAAAACATATAATACCCTCACACGAACATCAATTCAGCCCATAAGCAACGTCATTTCCCGTCCCCTCCGTTCCATCCCACTTTCCCGCCGCAATCCCACTCAGACGAATCAAAAGATGAGTGCATCGCCAGTCATCGGCGTCCCGTCGCAACAACACCAACACCAACACCAGCCGAACCACCACTTCCACAACGACAGCCTCACTTCTTCCCCCCAGCCCGCGCGCCAGCCTCTGCCCTCGTCTGGACGGAGACCGACGACGGCCACGGCGGCGATGCGACAGGAGAAAGCGGCGGCGGCAGCGGCGACGGCCGGCCGCGGCGCCGGAGGGCTGATCCGGCTGGAGATTTACATGGATCTGCTGTGCCCGTGGTGCTTCATCGAGAAGCACAGTTTGGACGCGCTGATGCAGCGCTACACCGAGGAGCATCCCGAGGTGCGCTTCGAGGTGGCCTATAAGCCGTATTACATTGCGCAGACAATGGCCAAGCGTGAGTTGCCCCCTCTTTGTTTCTTCCTCTTCTCCTTTTTTTGGTGTTGTTCAATGCGATGCGATGCGTATCGACTTACAAATCATACGCATGGAAGATGACCTAATCATCTTGACCTTTACATGACGTTCTCACCAACATCAACACCCCTCCACCTTCCATCATCATCATCATCATCACCAATGCTAACCAACACTCCACCAGACAACGTCGAGAAGCGCTCCGTCTACGACCGCCTCAACAACCTCTACCCAAGCTTCCTCACCCGCATCCAAGTCACCGGCGCAAAGTACGACATCGCCTTCTCCATCCGCGGCCTCACTGGCAGCACCCGCCCCGCCCACCGCCTCATCGCCCTCGCCCTGCACGAGCTCGGCCCGGCCGCCCAGGCCCGCGTCGTCGAGACCTTGTTCCAGGGCCACTTCGAGGACGGCCGCGACGTCAGCGACGACGCCTGGCTCGTCGGCGTCGGCGTCGCGGCGGGCATGCCCGAGGCCGTGGTGAGGTTGGGGCTCGACGACGACGACGCCGCCCGGAGGGTCGATGCCATGGCCGACGCTGCGAGGGACGTCATTGGTGTCGAGGCCGTGCCGTGCGTCATGGTGCAGGGGCGGTACAAGGTCGGAGGGTACCAGGAGAGCCAGGTCTTTGAGAGCCTGTTTGACAAGATTCGGCAGGCTGGCGAAGCTTTCTAGATTTTGCGAATGGGTTCTGGGTTCTGATATCCTTCTGCTTTCTTAGGGGGGTTTGTTTTTTATATCTTCCATCTCGTTGGCGTCATATCCCCGGTGGGCGGTCTTCATATAGGAGCATTGCTTTTATTATTTTCAATTTCTTTTTGTCACGGTGTTTTCGGGATGGAATTTGGGGGCGCCGGTTGCAAATGATATCATATATAGCATTATGTTAGTGGTGTTGAAGGCGCATTATCTCGATTGGTCAATACCCTGGACCTCCAGGGCGGCGGCTTGGGAATTTATATATCATTTCCTTTTTATTAGTTTTGTCTTTTCTGTTAGTTTCACGGAATTTTTCCAATTAATTCCTATTTCGTTCAAAAAAAACATACAGAAGCAAAATCTGTAAAGCATCGTCCGGCACTTCCCCCGAGTCTCTATCTTGACGAAAATAAAAAGTAATGCCCCATTACCCCGTGGTAAGCTGTCGATTCATGTCGGGGATAATTTTTTTGCCTCGTCTTTCGTAATAGGATAAGAAAAGTGAAGCAAGAAAAGAAAAAGAAAAGAAAAACACCAATGCAAAAACTCCTCTAAACTCCATTCTAGTGCCTTCCTGCCAGCCCACCAACCTGTGAGTGAAAACCAATCTTTGTCGTCTCTTTTTTGTGTGTGGCCATTCGTTCTCCGGATCAAGTCGATGTGGGAAAAAAAGTGAAAAAAGATGTTGAAAGTAATGAAAAAAAAAAACAATTCGCCAGCAATTCCCCGTAAAATTATGTCCTTGCGCGTTATCCCGTACAGTTTGAATATGTGTGCCCCCTTCACAGTCGCTCCATCTCCGCATCATCGCCTCATGCCGCTGTAGTCGTTGAGCAGGTGCGTCATGTGCGTGTTGGTCGCCTTGCCAATGCGCTTGCCGGCCCTCTTCTTCTGCTGCTTGGGCTTGGCCGCCGCCGCCACGGCCTTGCGCGGGTCGTCGCTCGTCGGCTTCTGCCCAACGCTCACCAGCTTGCGGTGCATGTCGTCCAGGCTGGGCAGCTGCACGCGACGCCACATGGCTTGGAACTCGGGCTCGACCGAGTTGTGCAGCGACGCGTCGTCGGCCCACACGTACCGCGGGAAGTTGTCCTTCTTTGTGCGCACCACGAGGACCTTGTGCTCGTGCTCCAGCTTGGCCAGCGTGTCCTCGCAGTCGGGCCAGCCGTCCTTGAGGTCCTTGACCGACACGCCCGAGGCATCCGTCTTGCGCTGCAGATGGGCCAGCAGCGACGTGGCGTCCTTGACTCCCGGGATGATGGGCCGGTGCTTGTACGTGCCCGTCTTCCACGTCTGCTCGCTCAGGCTCGGATCCGGCCTCCATTCCACCCGCGGATGCCCCCTCAGCCCCTCCGTCAGCTCCTTCTTGTGCTCCTCCGTGTAGTTCCTCAGACTCAGGTGGTCGATGATGTCCGTGATGGACTTTGCGTCGCCCTTCTTCTTCAGGTACTCCACCGCAAACGTCATCTGCGTCTTGACCTCGGCACCGTATCCCGTCAGCTGCGGCTGCGAAAACGGCACTTCCGGAGCGACATCACGCTTCCTCTTTGATGTCGGCGTGTTGCTGTCTGAGGCGGCGGATGGCGAGGGCGAGGGCGGAGCGAGAGAGGCCGTGGCTTTGAGGCTCGACGGGTTGGACAGCTTGGACGCGGCCGAGGCGAGGCTGCCTCTGAATACCGAGGACTGCTTCTCTAGATACGACGACATGTTGGGCGGGGATGACCTAGCAGCGGCAGCGGTATCGTAGAGGAGGGGAGAAGAGAGAGAGGGAGCGAGGTGGTTGACGAGGGTTGATGAGCAGAGGTTGAAGCGGCAGAGTAAGTTCGTATGTATGGGGACGGGAAGAAGAGGCTGATGCGACACGGTGTGGCGCATTAGGCAATCAAGGTTGTGTGGCTTGACTCTTAATTTTTGCGGCTTATCGGCCTTATCGTTTGTTGAGAATGCCACGCAAGCAGAAACTGAGACCGGGGTGAATCCATATTTCAGGTCTCTTTGACTTTGACAATCAACTCAAGTCAGTGCGTCTTCCGGGCATACATTACATTGGACGAAGTACCTTGAAGTTGCCTTTATAATCGGGCCTATGAGGATAGCCGGTGCAAAGAGCCCCGTTCTCTTTGCCATTGCCAACATCAATTGCGGGCTTTTGTATGCGCATCGTGTCAACCAAAAAAAAAACATTGATTATCGTAGATATCTAGCCCTGTATATTTTCCGTCAAAAGGCATCATCTAGTTCATTCCTGTAACAAAGACTCCCAATGGTCTAGTGCCCGAAAATTCTTGACAGCACGCCTCTATACTGTCACGCTTATCAAAATATCCCAGATCCGTTCCCCGGCGTGTAACTGCATGCTTGAAAAAGGTAACATGTCGCAAATCCTCTCCCCAGCTCTTGTCCTGTTTACAACCCGCGCGCTGAAGCGAAAGCCCGGGCATGATCCCCCCCCTTTTCTTCTTCTCTTCTTTTGTTTTAAGATTTTATATTCGTTGTTGAAACCCTGTCATGGATAGGATGCGATTAGGCAGCCTGGGCAGTCTGCTCGGCGTTGGCCTGGATGTATTGGTAGGCGAAGTAAGCGATGAGACCGCCAATGGCAACAACGCTGTAGAGGCCGAAGCCGCCGCCGGTGGTGGAGTTGCCGACAGATGGGGTGTTGCTGGAGACGGCCTTGGGAACAGGGTCGCCGGGCTGCAGACAAACAAACGTTAGTTGTGAACAAAGGAGGACTGTCGCAAACAAGAGTTGATGGGGCGCATACCTGGCGCTTCAGGTCGCCGACGAGCAGCGCGGCGAGAGACTCGCGGGCCTCGTCGCTGTGGCCGACATCCTCGAAAGCCTCGGTGGCATCCTGGCCGGCGACGTCGAGCATGACCTCCTCACCACCACTAAGACACTGGTGTCAGCAAGACGAAGAAAAAAAGATGACATTTCCATGCAACATTGGCACTGTTTCCCCTCTCGAGATGAAAAAGAGGGGAATCCAACAACTGGTTGCCAGGATCGGGAACTGCAAGACGTACGGGTGCTCGTCGACAAACTTGGAGCAGTCGTAGACCTTGTCGTGGATCACGACGAAGAGGTCCTTCTTGGTGTTGTGCTCGGCAACATCCTGGTAAGAGTACTCTTGAGACATGGCGGGCGAATTGGGGCTTAACGCAAGCAAATAGGTTAAAAGAGAGAGTGAGAGTAAGAGAGAGAGTGAGAGTGAGAGAGAGAGAGAGAGAAGAGCGGCGAGAGACCCCAAAAGGAACTTGGTTTGGCAAAGTCGGTCAAAAAAAAAAGATGGTGGGAGAGAAAGAAGAGAAACAGCCGGTGCGAGTACGATAAAAATCGCTTTAACCGTATGGCCACAGCATCTCAGTTGTGCAGATGCCAACTAGCCATTTCACTCTGGCTGCTAGCGTTTGTCAGGCCCCATCAAATCAATTCCGTTGGGTCCGCAGGGGTCTTGCACCCGTCCAATCAGCCGCTGCAAAATTACCGCCTGGGCTGTTCTGATTCGCCTCGCTCCAGGGCATCTCATCAATCCGATCCTGAATGTATTCCGGCGGCGCTCTCAGCCAGCTAACCAGCTAATCTAGCCGTCCAGCGATCCCTTCAACTTCGCATCGCTTTTAAGCGCATCCCCCGTCTTCAAATCCCAGCATCCTCTTGTTGACGTCCTGCTTCTAGCTGGGCTTTCGGGTCAGCGACTGGCGGATCTTGCAGGAGCCCGAAAAGCCGGGGGCTCACCGGGGGTGTGGTAGCATTCGCTGATATGGAAGGCTTTGGAAGGCAGTGGTAGTATTGAATACTCCGCGCAATTCCCATGGGCAAGGCTCTATCTGGCCATGGCATCTCATGCCAGATGTCCTTACACAAAGTGGAAAAGGCTCCGTTGTGGATGAAAATCTCCCCAGCCAGCGTCAAGGATCCCTCCAAGACTATAAACTACATGTAGCCTTGACTCAATGGCACCCCCCAAAGACATCATATTGGATCCGGTCAAATAGTACCAATGAGCGTCGAACCTACCGGCATTTCCAGCACACCAGCAACCAACTCGGGTATCTCGAGCTCGGGATATGATCGGAAAGCACATGCTAGCCCCATCCCATCCTCTTATTCGCATTGCCCCAGAGCAGAATTAGCTCACAGACCAAGAGCGGGCTTATCTTAGCCTTGCTTCCAGGCCGTTGCCCCCCTCCCCTTCCGCGCTGTCCTTCCGACTCCTCCTCCAGACGGGACTTGTCCACGGTTGTTGAAGTACCTCAGTGAGCCGTCGTCTACTTTGTATTGGCTGTGCTGTGGCTTTCTCGGTGTTTGTATTCAGCATGTTCCGATTCCGAAGACCTCGGAAGATGCAACATGTTTCTGTCTACTGATCCTAAACCTCTCCTAGGTGCTGTGCTTTCTTGCGGTGGCACCTGTTCCAATAACTCCGGATGCTTGATACTGTAATGTTACTGTTACATATTATTGCTGCTACTGCTACATCGATATCACGGAGCGTCTTGTCTCACTTCGTAATCGCAAACGGTTGGCTGGCCTTGTCTCTTGTCTCAGCGGCCCCGCGTCATGCTCGGAATATCCGTGGACTGCTGAGTACGTAGCTCTCCACAGGTCCGTCTCGAGATGCAAGGCTGGGGGTATCATCCCGCCGTAACGCATATTTTGTGCTCGTACACGATTGCGCCAAGCACGGAACAGCATTCGCCCAAGTGAAAATCTCGTTTCAATGTACCGAGTGTGCTTACTGTAGTGCTTTCAGTTAGGTATGTACTACGAGTACTCATTCTTACCACTCTTCTAGCGATGCCCGCGCTTCCATGCAGTCAGATGGACGATTCCCAAAGCAGAATTTCCCGTGACACTACCAGGGTCGGGATATTCGTGTTTCTATAGTCCAAGGCCCCAAGCAGTGGTGCGTATGGCCAGAGGCGGGGTACTGCTCAGACAGTTGCTGCTCTGTTCATTGCTCATCTTCATTCTTTGACTCTATTAATCCATCGAAAAGCATCGTCTCCGTCTTGAAGCACCTTTCTTCCCAAATGGCCCAATCATAAAATCACTAAATCATCGCTTTGAGCTGCCACCACCAATGTCCTGACCCAGGCGGTAGCCCGTCACTCGGTCCCATTCAATCTTCTGCCTCGTCACCGGCAGCTGTCGCCGCAGGCCCTTGAATGCACCTTCGCTCAGGCTCACGAAGCTCTTGTTGAGATCTTCCTGGTACTTCTTCTCTATCGACGCAATCTCCTTGACGACTCCGGCGCCGGTGCCCGAGGGGATGGATGCGCTGACGGCCTTGTTGGTAAGCAGCCGCACATTGCCGTCTTCGTAGTAGTGCACGTCAACCATGATGGTGCCCTCGAGGTTTCCGGAGCTGGGGTCAAAGGTGTACACGGATCTCCATCGGCCGTTCCTATAACCTGTAAGTATCTGTAGCGTATCGTATGCTGTCGAATGTTCGTACCAGAAGTTGTTGGGGCTGTATTTGTTTGCGACAACGACAACGGCAACCTTTGAGTCGGATTCGACAGGGTATGCGCCAAGGGCAGCGTTGGGGAAGTGCTCCTTGACATAGCCTCCCAAGCTCTTCAGTGTTGATTTACTACCACAACGTTAGTCGGCTTGGAACTGGTGCCAGCATAGTTTCCGCTGCCAACCACTCACACCAGGTCCGCCTGTGATCCTTCCAGCAAGTAGCTCTGCACCGCACTGGCTTTCTGTAACCCCAGTTAGCCCCAGCTCGCCCTATTGTAGCCGCTCATGATGTCAACGTGCCTGGGCCACATGGTCCACCTCGAAGCTGGAGGAGCTCTCGACATCGTAGTATCGTCCGCCGCCCAGCGAGTTGTGCGGGCTGATCAAGACCTTTCGGGCAAGTTAGCCGTCTTCCGTCCCCGCAACACGTGTATCCTCGAGGTGCCGTACTGGCTGGCTGCTCCCCGGCAGCTTGAGTGTGATGAACTGCTCCTCGTTGTACCGCTCGAAGGCTGGCGCCAGCTCGTCCACGATGTTGGGCTCGGAGGCCGTGAGGGCCTTGATGTCTGCAGAATTCGCGCGTCAATGGTTGCTCCTCGAAGCTTCAACAAGTATTCCCGCCTCGGGCTGCATCGTACCGGCAACGACATCTGCGAGCTAATAGAAGTCGGGAGTTCAGAGGTTAGCTTGCCAACGATGACGCGTAGGAGGGGCTTGGAAGCAACTCACCTCTCCCGGGGGAGCTCCCTGGACAAAGGAAGAAACCGTCTCGATATGCGACATTGTAGAGGTTTAGCTTGGAGGAGATGAGGGAATCCGACCAGCTCTTTGGGAGCTTTTGACGTACACCGCAATCGGGTAGGGGCCAGGAGATGAAGCATGGGCGGGGCATCGAGGGGCAGGCGGCTGGTCTCCATATCCAATCGCTAGCGGGGTACACAGCCCGACTATGGCCCTTGGCAGTGGTCGCACGTACTCTGTTACCAATTCAGCTTGCATTGATCCCTAATCGTAAGTGGGCATCAAGGCCGTTACAGATGCTCTTATTATAGGCAGAAGAGTTGCCCGGGCTGTCTTGTGTCTTGTTGCTGGCGAATGCGGCTTGGTGGTGCATCTTGAGTCCGAGAACTAAATCTCTCGATGCACAATCAAGTCCCTGAGGCATAGATTTCGCACAGTGGCATCAAATGTCATATGTTACATAAGGCTTTGTTCTCTATTATTCACACTTATGCTAGAAAGAAGTTTTAGAAATTCAAAGATAAAGACACACGTTACTCGCTCCCCACATCCTTAGTACTGAACCGTCTTTTTAATACTGTCGTAAATTCCTGAAAAACACCGTTAGCAAACCAATCCAACCTACCCGAGAGGATGTATATCTGGAGATACTCACTTGCAACATCCGGGACGTGAAACTTTTCAAACATGAGAGCGTTGTGGATACTCCATCCAGCAACACGAGACACGGGAGCCTCGAGCCTGTTGAAGGTATCTGCGTTCTCTTGAATGGCGGCAGCCACCTCGGCACCAACACCGGCGTTCACCATGGATTCATGGACGACCAGGACTCTTCCAGTCTTCTGAACGCTTTCAAACACAGCCTTCTTGTCCCACGGATATATTGTGCGTAGGTCAATCAGCTCGACGGAGATGCCCAAATCCTCCTCGGCCTGCTTGATGGCCGCCATGCAGTTGTACAACGGCTGACCATATGAAACAATGGTGACGTCCTTGCCCTCCTTGAGGACTTCCGCCTTGGATAGAGGAAGCTCATACGGTGCCACGGGGACCTCCTCCACGGCGGCCCGGTACAAGATCTTGGGCTCCATGAAGATGCAGGGGTCGTTGCTTCGGATGGCCGCCAGCAATAGTCCCTTTGCTTGCACAGGCGATCGGGGCATGATGACCCGCAGTCCAGGAACGTGTGTGAACAAGGCCTCGGGAGACTGAGAGTGGTACAGGCCACCGTGGCCGACGGTTCCGCAGGGCATGCGGACCGTCATGCCCCCAGCACTCCGGCCATTGGTGCCCTCGTAGTAGCGCTTCTTTGCCGCCTCGTTGACAATCTGGTCAAAGGCGGGAAAGACGTAGTCGGCGAACTGGATCTCGGCAACGGGCCGCATTCCCTCGACGGCCATGCCAATGGCGAAGCCGAGAATGCCCTGCTCCGTCAGCGGCGTGTTGAACACCCGGTCGGCTCCGTGCGTCTCTGCGAGCTTCATGGTGCATCGAAAGACGCCGCCAAAGGCAACGTCCTCGCCAAACACGGAAACCGTCTCATCCTCCGTCAGGGCGATGTTGAGGGCGTCGTTGATGGCCTGGAACAGGTTCATCTTCTTGGTCGCGCCACGGAGGGCGTCGGAGGAGATCTCCGCGTTCTGCTTGGCTATCGCCGACGTGTGAGCCAGCAGAGGGGTTGTCGAGTAGTCAATGGGCAGGTTGAGCTTTGCGTTCGGGGGGTGTGTGGAATAGCATCGTGCCAGGTTCAGAGGTGCTGATGACGGAGCTCGGGGATGCGCCAGCGCTCCCTTCAAGTGACGAACCGCCTGACGCTTCATGGTGATTCTGATGCCTTGGACGAGGATGAGGATCAGAGGAGAGTCGAGGAATACGGGGTCCAGGATATTGCGATTCCTGCGCCCAAAGTAATTCTCATCGGTCGTCGTCGGTTTAGACGGATGGCAATGGCGCTCGGCTTGCTGCGGCCTGTCGCGGGGCTGGAGCCGGCAGAATTGGCGTTCTCTGGGCTAGACGGTGAAGCTAAGTGATAAGCATGGGGTAAAGTGGTCTGGAGAACCGAGGAGGTGCGAGCCTTAGTAATCTGGAGTTTATAGTTGTTTACAGACTCCGTGTAGTCTAGGAAGAAGCATCAATACTGTTGTGCGCAGAAGAGATTGGAGTTATCAACAGTTTATAAGTGCAGAGTTATGTACATGTACTTTGTAAGTATGGAGAGCCTGTTCAAGCCGCCAATGAGTTGAAATGAGCTAACGAGTGTGTTACTGTTACTTGTCACACTAATACTACCGAGTCTCTGTTACAAGAAGAAAAAAAGGAAACAATTGCTCTGAATAACTCTGGAATACTTCTTTCACGTATTGAGTATTTGGTCGCTCAAGATTAAGATGCCAAAATCCTTGGCCGGTGGCTGGTGTTGTTGCCAAGAATCGTCTTCGTATAGCTTCCGCATAGTGCACACCCCTTATCGCTATACCAGAACCAGGACGCGTGCTCTCGGCAATGTATTTGCACCAACAAACCCCTCTCGATAGTCTTCTCGAATCTGTGTCGCGTACTCCGTATTTCTACAGGCTCAATAAAAATCGGCGGCGGCAATTCTTCCAATTATAGCTCTGCGTCTCTCGCTCCGCCGTGCCGCTTCCGGGCCTGGTGCCGTCCTCCCGGCCGAATCTCCGATTTGGGTCGTGTTGCCCGGCCAACGAGCCAAGGCTTGGCAATCTGACCTGCAAAACTCAGCCCGGTGACGTGTATAATCGGTTAAACGGCCATGGCATTGTTTTGAGTTGTTTGTAGAGCATGTGGAATTGTGGTTTTTCTTCTTTCAATCGCTTCTTGAACTTCTTTCCAGCGTGAATTTCATAGAGATCGATGCGTTTTCGAGTTGATGCGTTCTGTATACTAGCGAGCTCCCGCTCGATCACGACGTTACGATGAGCGATACCGACGTACCGCGTGCGCACCACCACCGCAACCGCAGCGCGCGAGGCGAATCATCCAGAAGAGACAGGAACAGGGACAGGGACAGGCCGCGGAAGAAGGAATCGCGGACGCGGAGAGGCGCCAGCAGCGCGGATGAAGGCAGAGCCGACAGACGCAGCAGGTCGCAGTCGCTCTCCGCAGGGGCGCTGGCGCAACTGAACCAGGATAATGTGAGGCAGCAGAGACAGGCTGATCGCGAGCGGAGGAAACGAGACCGCGACCGAGGGAGAGGAGAGGACGATGAGAGAGCCCGAGAGCGCGCGGAGAGGCATCAAAGGCGAGAGCGAGAACGCGAGCGCGAACGGGAGCGGGAGCGGGAGCGGCAGCGGGAACGAGAACAAACAAGAGCAAGAGAGAGGTCGCCCAGTCCCGACCCGGAGACTGAGCCCAGCATTGTGCCAAAGAAGTATCGCAAACCTAGCAAGCAGAAAAAGTCCAGAGTTGTTAGCGGGGCAGTGATGGAGGAGGGGAGGTCCAAGGGATGGCGGTTCGGGTTTGGGATTGGGGGTCACTCGCGGGATGATAGCTATGACAGTCTTAGAAAAGAAGACATGTATAGTCAGCCGGAGAAGAAGAAGAAAAAAGGGGGGTGGTCCAAGAGAAAGAAATGTAGGTTGGCGATCGGGGACTGCTTAGAAGTATCACTAACCTTTTGTTGCCAGGGATCATTGGAGGAATAGTTGCCCTCGTTCTCCTCATTATCATTATCGTGGCCGCTGTGCTCGGCTCAAAGCACAAATCTGGCGGTGGTAGTAGCGATGATTCGTCGTCTGGGTCTTCTGCAAGCAGCAGTGATGTCCCGCTCAAATACAGAAACACAGATCTCGACCCTTCGACGTGGGCGAGCACGGAGGATTTCAACACCACCTTCACCGACCAAATGGTTGGGAATCTTCCCGTCATGGGCCTTTACTCGAAATGGGACGATTCTGCTCAGGCGAACAGCAAGGTGCCTGCGCTGGACAAGCCCTGGGGAGACTATTCGAAAACACCGGCCAAAGGAGTCAACTTGGGAGGGTGGCTATCGATTGAGCCTTTCATTACACCGTCTCTCTTCAACTATCCCCCAAGTTCTGGAATTGTGGACGAATGGACCCTATGCGCCCATCTTGGATCCAAGGCCGCATCGACGATTGAGAACCATTACAACACCTTTGTTACAGAGGACGATTTCAAAGCTATTGCCGACGCCGGTCTGGATCATGTCCGCATCCCTTTCTCGTACTGGGCTGTCAAAGTTTACGATGGTGACCAGTACATCTATCGAACATCGTGGCGATACCTCCTGCGCGGCATCGAGTGGGCTAGGAAATACGGTCTACGGGTCAACCTCGACTTACACGGCCTACCAGGGAGCCAGAACGGATGGAATCACAGCGGCAGACAGGGCACAATCGGCTGGCTCAACGGCACCAACGGGGCGCTAAACGCACAGCGATCCCTCGACATTCACAACAGCCTCTCACAGTTCTTCTCCCAGGACAGATACCAGAACATCATCACGCACTACGGCCTAGCCAACGAGCCCAAGATGACCTTCCTCAAGGCCAATGACGTGGTGAACTGGACGGAAACGGCATTCACCATGGTTCGCAAAAACGGCTTCAAGGGGCTGGTCATCTTTGGCGACGGCTTCATGGGCCTGGACAACTGGCAGGGCCTCATGCAGGGCTACGACGGGCTGGTTCTCGACGTCCACCAGTACGTGATTTTCAACCAGAACCAGATCGACTACACGCACCAAAAGAAGATTCAGTATGCGTGCCAGGGATGGACGCAGCAGGCGCTGCAGAGCCAGGACAAGAGCACGGGCTACGGGCCCACGCAATTCGCCGAATGGTCTCAAGCAGACACCGACTGCGCCCAGTACGTGACCAACGTGGGCCAGGGCAACCGGTGGGAGGGCACGCTCAACACGGGCAACGCGAGCACGGCGATTCTGACGCCAGACTGCCCGACCAAGAACAGCCAGTGCTCGTGCGACAACGCCAACGCGGACCCGAGCAAATGGAGCGCCGAGTACAAAAAGTTCCTGTCCATGTTTGCCCAGGCGCAAATGTACAGCTTCGAAAAGGGGCTCGGCTGGTGGTACTGGACGTGGAAGACGGAGAGCTCGCCGCAGTGGAGCTACCAGGCCGGGATGCAGGCGGGCGTGTTGCCGTCGAAGGCGTGGGAGCGGGATTTCAACTGCGACGCAGACGTGCCGGACTTTGCGGCGAGCGGACTGCCAGAGTATTATTGATTTTTTTATTATGATTGTTGTTTTGTCTTGTTCGGGGAGGGCTGATTGTTACATATATATTCGGCGGGGGGGGGACAAGGGGGAGGAATATGGGGAGGATGCGAGTATAATTTGGAGAATACCCTGTTGTTTTGCGTTTTATAGAATGCCTGCTGGTGTACATACGAAGAGCTCATGTTGTCTGCGAGCAGGTCGGGGGAGTTTTTATGATTGGCGTTGGGCTGCTTTAGACATTGTATATCGATATTGGAGGTGACGATGCCCGATGATGGAGATGCAGCATTGCGCTGTACATGTACATGGCCTGAAGATGAATATACGAGACTGTGAGGAGGATTGAAAATCTCAACGATTTTTTTTGGCCTCCAGATGTGATGTGATGCGTTTCGCGAGTCAGCAACGGGTCGTGATATTTCCGCCTGGGCGCGTGAGCTGCTGCAGGGTGACAGTGTAGCTTGACGTGAAGGTCGAATTTACGGATTAAAAGATGACTTTCTTTTCAAACGCGAGAGCGAGAGCGAGCGAGGCCCGGCCGCAGCACCCGCGATACCCGAAGCCTTCTCGCGCCTTTTCTCCCAAGGCCTAAGGCCTAGGGGCGGCTTCGTAACGCCGAAGGGAGCTTGTACGCGTGTGTGAGAGGTCTGAGCTGCTCTGGTTTTAATGGAGATTTGATTCCATGTTTCTCTTGAGGTCTTTATTAATTCGTAATGCTAGGTATGTAAGCGGCTTCACTTCGTTCTCGTATTATCCGTATTAGTCGTAGTATCAAACCGCCCGGTGCGTTTGGTCTCCACGTGGGAAACAATGGGAACGAAGACCCTGTCGTTTACGAGTACGTGTACACTAGAAGAATGAAAGTTCGTGTTTTTTTTTTTTTTTTTGAATACATCTGAATACGTGAGGAAGGGCGTCCAATCGCCGAGACGGGGGCTTGCGTTTTCTTGCTTGTTGGTCATGGGAATTAGAAGGGTTTACCAGCTCTAGGAACGAGGCCTAGGAAGGATCAGAGCTTGCAGTACACAACTCTGTTAGGAGTTGGACAAATAGGAAACATACTCGTAAGCCAAGAAAGCCAGGGAAAAAACCCCCATTTCCTCCTGGGGTAAGTATTGCCGCCGAGAGCTGCCGGGAGGAGCGAAAGCGGCCGGACGTATGCATAGCCTGATTTGGAGTGTGCTCGGCAGTTAGCGGACCGCACTTTGTTTTGCTCTTTTTTGGTGGTTTGGCTGGCCTTGTTGGATCTCGCTCTTCGCCTTTATGTAAAAACGTCCGGTGTGGGATCCACTGACGATGGGGATTGGCGACGGGCTGATTAACAGCTTTACGTCGAGGCTGGGGCTGGTGATTGGTAACGTTGAGTCCTATTCTGTTGTCGTGTGGTTGCTTGCCCATTCTTTCTTCTTCTCTTCTTCTTTACTTCGAGTGGGTTCGTTCTCGGATGACTATTTCCAGGATACTCGTGCAGATTCGGGCGTATTCTGGAGGGGGATCCATTGATAATGCTTGACCGTCACGTCACCTCCTGATTGATAATGCCTGCATAGCATCTTGGCCACCATTGCCAAAATCTGCTATATACACGGGCGTTGATCCACCGGGTCATCGTCTTGGCTCAACTCTCATCAAGCATCACTAGCATTAACTTATTAGAATCCTCTTTTCACGCAGCTTGGCCACGGCATCCCACTCCGAGGCCGTTGAGAGAGAGAGAGATACATACATTACAGAAAAAGAGAGTCGCTAACCTAATGACGGCACCGGACGGGGACACAGCTTCGACGCTCGCGCCCGACATGGCAGACCGGGAAAACGGCGAAAAGCCCTACGAGAACCCCAGCCTGGGGGGGGATGCAGATGATCTGCGGCTGGAGATGACGCCGTCGACAGGGAGCTCGGTGAGGCGGGACCTGGACCGCACGCGGTCGCAAAACGGCTACGGCGTATCAGACGAGCAGCGCGGCGACAAGGCATTAGAGGCTGGCCAGCCGGAGACGGATCCGTACGAGGTTGGCTGGGATGATGGGGATAACGATCCGTCGTGTCCTCGGAGCTTCAACAAGGCGCGCAAGTGGCTGATTGTGCTTATTTGCGCGTGTGGAAGCCTTACAGTGTAAGTGTTGATGTTTTTTTTTTTTTTAGTATTTGATTTTGATGTGGTTGATATCACTTGTTTGGATTGTGTGAGACAAGAGGAGCAAAAGGAGAGACATGGACAACGAGATGGACGCACGCCTTGGTGAAACCTCATGGCGCTTGTGTGCGTTGCATTTGTCTCACTCACGGCACATTATGTCGAGGTTACGAGCAACAAGAGTTCAATTAGTCGCTGACATGGAGCCAATCTCTTGTGCAATATAGGACATGCGCCAGCTCGATATACACCTCGACTTACGCGCAGATGGAGGCCGAATTCCACAACGTGCGTGAGATTTCCGACCTCGGCCTGTCGACGTTTGTCCTGGGCATCGCCATTGGGCCCATGCTACTGAGTCCCCTGAGCGAGTTCTACGGCCGCCGGCCCATCTACCTGGTGTCGTGGACCATGTATCTCATCTGGCTGATCCCCTCGGCCGTGGCCAAGAACATTGCCACCATGGTGGTTGTCCGCTTCTTCGACGGCTTGGCGGGCAGCGCCTTTCTGACCGTGTCTGGCGGCACCGTGGGCGATTTGTTTGCGAGACACGAGTTGCAGCTGCCGATGGCGGTGTTTAGCATTGCGCCCTTTGTAGGGCCTAGCCTTGGACCTCTATTGGGAGGCTTCATCAACTACTTTACGCATTGGAGGTGGACCTACTATGTGCTGCTCATCTGGGCTGGCGTCATGTGGGTTGCCATTGTTGTTCTGGTGCCGGAGACGTACCGTAAGATAGAGCCCTCTCCCTTGAATGTTTAAAAGTATACCATCAGCGTGAGATTGAAATGACTGACATGAGAGTTTTGACGTGTCACCTGTAATAGATCCGATATTGCTCAGAAACAAGGCTCGCAAGCTGCGAAAGGACACGGGCGACGACCGGTGGTTGGCCCCCTCGGAAAAGACGCAAAAGACTGTGGTCCAGGCCGTGGGCACCTCCTTGCAGCGGCCCTTTCAGCTGCTCATCTTCGAGCCCATGTGCCTCAGCCTGTGCATCTTCACCGCCATTCTGCTGGGCATCCTCTACCTCTTCTTCGGCGCGTTCCCCCTCGTCTTCGCGACCAACCACGGCTTCAACCTGTGGCAGATTGGCCTGACCTTTGTGGGCATCGGCGTGGGCATGGTGCTCGGCATGCTGACGGACCCGGTCTGGTTCCGCATCCGCGCCAGGCTCATGGCCAAGCTGGAGCAGGAGACTGGCGTGCCGGGCGGCAGCGAGCCCGAGTTTCGGCTGCCGTCGGCCATCGTGGGGTCCGTCCTGGTGCCCATTGGCATCTTCATGTTTGGGTGGACGACGTACTCGTCGGTGCACTGGATCGTGCCCATCATTGGATCGGCCATCTTTGGATTGGGGTGAGTCTATCTTTGAGCCACGGTGACGCAGCGTTGCAAATAGTTGGCATCCTTGTTTCTTTGATGCCACCCTCCTTCTTCTTCCCATCCCCTCCCTCCCCCTCCCTTCTTCTTCTCAGCCGGTTTCACGTTTTGAGCATGACCTGTTTCGGGTTGGAAAGTAAACGTCCTCATTGGATCCTTGACTCGGTGGCTGACTCTGGATGTTCGCTTTACAGCAACCTCCTTGTATTCACCAGCGTCTTTACGTTTTTGGTAAGTTTTTCAAAAAATCTGTAGCAATGCCTGACTCGTGCTGGGTCAAATTCAGCAACATGTACTGACCGACGGACGTGTTCAGGTCGACGCCTATCCCATGTATGCCGCCAGTGCCCTCGCCGCCAACGCTTTTGTGCGCTGTTCATTCGCAGGTATGCCAAGTCGATGATCCGTCATGCTTTGTCCATGTATGAAGCAGTGGCGTGATGTGATGCTAACTTGATGGTCTTGCAGCTGTGTTCCCCCTGTTTGGTACACAAATGTACAACAAGCTCGGATTCCAGTGGGCGTCGTCGCTATTGGCGTTCTTAACCGTGGCCATGATACCGTTCCCTTACCTCTTTTTCAAATACGGCAAGAAGATTAGGAGCAAGAGCAGATTTGCCAAGAATTAGGAGACGGCTGCTTGCTCTACCCTCTGGCTTTCAGAGGTGGCTTGAAGGAGGGGAGGGGGACCAGGGGGGGAGGTGTACGATGCACTGTAATCGTATCTTGTGTGGGAGTGCAATACTAATACCAGGGCATTTTGGGATAATTCGTTTTTTAAGGGGCGTAAGGGAAAACACCAAGAAGGAGAGAAAGAGAAAAGAGAAAAGAGACAAGAAGTGACGGTTTTCTTTGGACTACATGTACGGACTATCGGATAAGACACCACGTCTCGGCTAGACCCCCGAGGCTGTATGTAGCATGGGATGAGCGACATGACGGATATGACTTATAGATAATGATATTAATAAGAGAGAAGACATTGGATTATATCACACCGAGGAGGGGAGGGCCAATTGGACAAGAAGAGTTGGCTTCTTGGAGACAGGGATTTGAGGTGTGAGTCACGGGCGTCTGCATGAGAGCCGTCTCTGGGCGTAAAAGCAAGAGCAGAGCACGCGTCAACTAGGACGCAAGGGGGATTACTATGGAGGACTTGCCAAGGCCAGAGAGAGAAAGCCATCTCGTGAGCTGTTTGGCTGTGTGAGTGGCCTGGGGTCGTGTGTGGCTTGCGGAGAATGAAGTAGCCAAGCCACGGATGGCTTGTTGGGATACATGAAGGCGGGCGTTTAAAGTTGAGAGAGGAGGGGGGGCAGTTGTGTGTTTTTTACCGTCAATGGAGATGGGGAGGCAACTCGTGATGAAGCTAGGAGACAAGAAGGATTCAAAATTGGGCATGGGAACTAGATACATGCATTGATCCATGCCACACTTGAAATAGCGAGTTGAGGTTTTGCTACTTGTATGTGGATTTCAACAGTCCCAGTTTCTGCCGTCCCCTGATTTGACAGCCCATGGCACGGCAGGATGCGGAGCTGAAGCCCAAAGAACCAATGGAGCAAGTTGTTGTGATGCGCAAGGGCTTTTTTTTTCTCCATTCGAGTCTTTGCCTTTTTGGGGGTTGGGTTGCAAGCAACTCGAGAGGGTGATACGGGCCTGCAGATTACGCAAGTACAAAACGTCTGGTCCATGCAATTGACTTGATGGAGCGGTGGCATGCCGTGGCATGTGAGACTGCCATGTAAGGGGAACATGGATGATCCATGTGAGAGACTGGAGAGTTTATGCTGTGTTTGAGACAAATGTGGACGGCGTATATTCCGTACTCGTAGATGAGATGGCAAAGTCCCATGTTCGTTTCTGGGGACGGGTCGAATAACCAGGACATGCATGTTTTACGACAATGAGGGAGGCAGGGCACATCAGTTGGGCACTGTCATTGTTTTTTTCCGCCTGCACGACTCCTCAATAGGGGGCGAGCTACCTTCGTATACAATTTACAGCTGCATTTGCATTGACACACAAGATGTCCAGGGGGGTTGGGCTGGGTTTGGTTCATCGAGCGTGCCTTGTACTCATAAATGCTTGTAGAGGGACTCGGAGCCGGCGTCCCTCGGGAGCTCGGTTATCGCTGATCGAGCATGGGGAGGGGGTTCCGAGATTTTTCGTGTTAGCCGTACGGAGTAGAAGCTCAAGAAAGCCAATTCTCCTTTCCTTGTTTCCTTTTTTTTCTTTTTTCCCAATCTTTTTTGTGGGTACGTGTATTCCAGAACTATTTCTTGTTGTGTGTTGACTCTATTCTCTTGTAAGTGCCAACATGCTTCCATCTTGTTAGGAGCCGTTGTGCTCAACTCGTATTCATCACACAAGCCCTGCCGCCTTTGTTGGGCAGAATTTCCCCCCCATTCATGAAAAAAAAAACAAGAAAAAAAAAGACAAAAAGCAACAGAAAATTTCTCCCGTCCCCCGGCTTGACACATGCAGCGAACCTGCATTCGCAAGCCCAAAGAGCAAATAATGGCACCCCCTGGGCTTTGGACTGGAGCTTCTGGATTGGTGGGCTCCCAAGTTCGTTGTTAGCCGCACCCACCGGCGAACCCCAGAACGGCGGCCGCGGTTGGGACTAGAGAGACTAGGGGAGTACCTTGGCCGTCGGTGAGATTTGTGAGGCTGGAGAGAGTAGACGGCATGTACTTTGTGTCCAGGTTCAGACGAAGTTTTTTTTTCCCCCCAACCGGGATGCTGCTTGCTTTTGAGCGATCGTCGTTGCTGGAGATGTTGGCACTTGCAGAGACCCTCACCGGTGAGCAGCTGGTGGGTTTGTAGAGATGCAGCGAAGACAGCCATGCGGCTTTTGAAGGATCGCAGCCCGGTCCAGGCTGGACAGCCGGCGCCCCTCTTGGCCAAATCACTGCCGCAATCTAGTGAATTTGATCTGCAGGCCGATGCTGTGCGAGCACCTGTAATCAAAAGGACGGACGGACACACACGCGACACTCCCAACTAACTGGCCTTGCATTCTGTGCTATTGATCGAGGTGACTTGAATGGGTTCAAGGCTGTTGGGGGAGGGACTCGCATCGATTGCATTGCATTGATTGGCCCTGGTCCAGTTGATTCGGCATAAGCCATGACTGTCCATTACATGTACCTGGTTCGTCCGCTCTCGCCCCGTGCATGCGGATGCCCGCAAGTACCAGCTACCGCTCGCCGGCCAACCCTTGGGCCGTGGCCACTCAGCGTCCAGCTGATTCCCAAACAGCCCCAAGCGCCGCCGCCACCGGCCCAGTTCGGGTCAAGGCCTGGAGCAAAAACCCCGCAGTCCTGCCCTGCGTTACGGGGGATCCCCAGCGGTCCAGCGGCACTAGCACCAGCCCGTTCCCCCCCCCAGCGGCAATGCAGCGGTGCTCTCCAGCGGTGCTCCAGCGGGTGCTCCAGCGCACCCAAGAGAGCCGCGCACCGCCCGCTGCAATTGCGAATCGAATCGATGGAACCTCGCTCGGAATTCTGACGGCAACGCACGAGCTTTAACTCGACGACTAAGCAAACGTCGGCACTCCAGCCTCTGACTCCAGCCTCCTCCTCTCTGCGCCTCAGCTTCTTCCTTTTCCTTTGTCTTCTTGCCGGGCCTTGATTTCTTCCAACCAGACAGACCGTCGGTTGCCGTGGCCAGCAGCCGCATTGCGCATTGCATTTCGCTGCCAGCGGAAAGGGGCCAAGCCGCAACAGGCGCAAACGGGGCCCTTTGCCGTCATCGCCGCCATCGCTCTCCGGGCCTCATCCCAGCCGAGCCGCTGCTTGCTCGCATGCCTCGTTGCTGCGCGCCCTCAACTCAGCTTTGCGATCCTCGGGCCCGATCCTCACAGCGCGCCGTGTCGCCTCCCGCCTGCTCCTGCTCCTGCTGCTGCTGCTGCTGCTGCTGCTCTGCGCATCATCCAACCCCCAATCCAATGGTGGGCGCGGCCAAGCGTATGGGTAACGGGTAGCTACTTCGAAATCTCTTCGCGCTCTCTCCCTCTCTCTCTCTCTCTCTCCATCTCGCAGTTCTCCCTTGGGAAACGAACCTATACCCCCCCCCCCCCCCCCTTCTTCTCTCTCCTCCCACTCCCATATCCTTCCTTCGCCCGCACTCTGCGCAGACGCGGCGTTACATCTTGTCTCTCGAACCTGGGCCGATCGATCACACACCCCCGTTATCCGAGAAGGGAACAGATCCTGCCCGGCTGCGCTTCCGCGCTGGAATTCACTGGCCTCCATGCCACCGGCGCCGCCGCTCTATTGATTCTACCGCCTTTGTCACACGACCAGACGCCCTCCTGCGTGCTTCACGAATCACAGACGCCCATTGGCCTTCGACCGCTGTGAGAATACGAACTTGGCCAACCCCCGACCTGTTTGGCCCTGTCTGTCGCTTTCGGCCTCCCGTCCGATCAACTGCCGGGAGCCCACACGGATCGTCCCTCCCGCGACCGGTCAGCGCATAGTACCTACTTGTCTCATACATACATACCGCGCATATACAAGCACGAGCAACGTCGAGGCTCTGCTTCAGCTTCTACTTGTGCTTCTGCCCTCCTGCTCAGCTCGGCTCAGTCCAGCCCGGTTTGGCTTGGCTCTCTGCCATTCGTCCACCTTGGGTCTTGTTAACCGCATATATCCCTGGCGCGCTTCAAGCCACTGTGGATCGCCTCTTGTTTTAATCGCACATCCCCAAGAAAAGTCACGGCCGTGTAACTATCAGGCCCTTGCTCGCTCGTGCCACGAAAGCCGTGCGTTTGGTGTGGTTGATCAGCGCAAAAGTTGGATGGATTTGGGGGAGACGAGACTTCTGGGGAACGGAGCCCGATCGCCGCCCTGATTTGCAAAGAGCAAGACGCATTACCTGGGCTGCTGTGCATGCGCCAAGGAGGGGCTTTGTTGTTCTATAAAGACCAGGCAAAATGCCCCAAGACATGGAGGATAACGGGGCAGACGTCTCAGATCCCGTATCCGAGAACGAGGAAGACTCGGAGACTCTGCTGAAAGACGAAGACGAGAGAATGGCCGACCCAATGGCGGCCAATGGTTCTTACGAAGATAAGAAGAAGTATGATCCCAAGGATCCTTTGCGGCCGAGGCGGAAAAAAGCAAGGAGGGCATGCTTTGCTTGCCAGAGGGCACATCTGACATGCGGTGCGTCTTTCTCGGGAGAACGAGCCCCCCCTTTCCCTCTCCCTTTCCCAATGCCCCCGTCTGCCAACCCAATTCCTCGGATATACAATCGAACTCGTTGATTCCTTTCTTGGCCGTCCTCAACTTTCATCACCCTTTTTTGCTAGCTGTGACTAACATTTGGTTGTAGGAGACGAGAGGCCGTGTAAGCGGTGCATCAAGCGTGGTCTTGCCGATGCTTGCCAGGATGGCGTGCGTAAAAAGGCCAAATATCTGCACGATGCCCCTCCAGAGGCCCTTCGACCCGTTCTCGGCCCCAACTTCAGCCCTCCTCCTTCTGCAAAGGCCAACGGACACCGCCATGATTCTATTCACTCCGACAACAACGTTCTTGGCACGGTTACGGGCGACGGCTTTCTATCGCAAGGCAGTGCCACGTTCCCGGTCTATCCAAGCGTCAGCCAGCCGCAGGTAGCCATCCCTGAAGCCATCCACCTCAACCCGCAGGCATCACCCATATCGCCATCTTTCCACAGCGCCTCCGCGGCGGGCCAAGCTCACATGGGCGGCATGCTCCAAGGAAACACCATGGACTTTAATGCTCTGTTCGACCCCAGCAACCCCGCGCTCTACAACTTTGATCTCGAAGGCCTGAATTTTGGCAGTCAATATGCCGGATGGGAGTTTGGCATTCTCAACAAGATGGGCCTCGGAGCGGAGACACCTCCTCGGGAAAACTCCATCTCGCAAACGCCAAAGACTGAGGCCAGTTATGCAGCCATGTTTGGCAACGGAAGTGGATCGTATGACGGCGCCATGGTGGGCGACTATGCCGGCATGGATCTCGGCGGCTCGAATATATATACCCAAGGCAATCTTCAGCACGGCCTTCCCCACGCATTTGCCATTGCCGCCGGGCCCAACAGCTTGGCCAGCCCCAGCACCGACGCAACTGCCAGTCCGCAGGCCATCATGGATGGTTCCCCGAACCCGGCGGCTGGCGGATTCCCTGGCTTGCCAAACATGACCGGGGCTTCTCGCCTCAAGCCGAAGCAGGACAAGATGGTACAGTCGATCCTCGGCAAGAGGCAACGGGACTCTGCATCCATCTACGCAAGCGTCAAGGAACCCTATCCTTATGTTGCTGGATTCCACAACATGATATCCGTCCTACGCAACAGACTACCGCTGAGCAAGCTGTGGAAGATTGCTCAGTCGCTGGGAGAGATTCGGCCGTCGTTCATCTCCTGCACCAAGGACCTGACGCGCGAAGATCTCATCTTTATGGAGAAATGCTTCCAGCGGACCCTTGTTGAGTTTGACGACTTTCTGCAGCACTGCTGCGCGCCAACCATTGTATGTCGACGCTCCGGAGAGGTGGCAGCCGTAAACAAGGAGTTTGCGGCGTTGACGGGCTGGCCCAAGGACGTGCTCCTGGGCAAGGCGCCCAACCGCAACATCTATACTCGATCCTCAGACGAGGGCACGGACGATGGCGATAGCTTAACTTCATCTGGCCAAGTGACGCCTGCCAAGAACCAGCCGATGCAGACCAACAACAACAATAACAACAACAGCAACAACAACGGACGGCCACAACCAGTCTTCTTGGGCGAGCTGCTTGATGACGACAGCCTTGTCGAATTCTATCGCGACTTTGCCCAGCTTGCGTTTGAAGATAGCCGAGGCAAGGTGCAGCGCAGCGGCCGGCTGATGAAGTATCGCACGCAGGAGATGCTGGATGCCAAGGAGATGCTGGGGCCTCAGAGACACCCGAGGACGGGCATCCTGAGCAGTCGCGTCACCATGATTGACAGTGAGCACGGCATTTCGCGCATCGAAAAGGACGGCAAGGTGGACTGTACGTACTGCTGGACGATTAAGCGGGACGTCTTTGACATTCCCATGATGATAATCATTAATGTGAGTTTTGGCTTGTTTCATTCTGATATTCGATGCTGTCAGTATGCTAATGGTTTATAGTTCTTGCCCCGATATCACCCCAACCAGGAGCCACATCAGCTCGCTGTATGACGCTCATCGTCGCCCCTAGTGGGCACACTCTCTATACGTTAACCTTTTATGCATACAAGGTGTTGGCAATTTTTCCATTCTTGCTTTTTCCTTTCCTTTTCAACGTTTTTGCCATGGGCTGGGGGTGAGGTAACGCATTATACGGCTTACCCCTTTAAAAACAAAATTTCGGTGGGCTATGGGGGCTAGATTTAGGATTGCTTTTCTTCTTTTTCTGCTGTCATTCATGAAAGGCACGGGGGCATCTCGTGACGGGTATGATTTCTGGCTGGCTTGGGTATTTTGTTTTCTTCGTTTTCGGGATCCGCTATGACATGAAACTTTTAATGACAAAAGAGGGGATTACTTGGATGATACCCGCGTGCGCGAACACACACATACAGACACAAAACACATAACAACGCATACCTCACACACATTCTCCAAATTTACGTACATTTAGTATATAAGTGTGAACTGGCCAAGAAGGGGGATTTGTGTATCTTGGCCGGTATGATGCTATTGGCTTTGTTTTCTTCTTCTATTATCCAAGAACATTTGCGGTGCTTTTCTCTCTCTCCTGTCTATGGTGATGCCCATCCCAACCTTGTATCCTCTCCCTCCCACCTGGTGTAGTAAAAAATAGCCATCTTGTCTGTGACACTCCAACAAAATTGAAACAAATTAAAAAAAAAAAAAAAAAAAAAAAAACATTGAGAAAAATCATCTATAAAGGCTTGACGAACCACTCCGCATCCTCCTCGCTCCCCTTATCCCACGCCCAGCTCTCCCTCGCAAGACTCTTCTTGGCAACCTCGCAGTCAAAGTTGATATCGTCAATCAGCGCCTCCAGACTCTTGTAGTCCTTTTCCTCGCGGATGAAGCCCAAGATCAGCAGGCGCATGTGGGCGTCGTAGAAATCGCGGCCGAACTTGTGCAGGATGTGCACCTCGGCGCTGCGCACGGTGTTCTTGTAGAAGGGGTTGTAGCCGATGGACATGACCATGGGGAAGACGGTGAATGCGCCGGAGGGGGCGGAGGCGGGCTGGTCCGGGTGGGAGGACGGCAGGGCGAGGGAGGCGTAGCCGAAGTAGACGCCCGAGGGGATGTTTGCGATCCAGGGGGTGAGGGCGTCGTCGACGGGGAGGTTGGCGGTTGGGATGCCGAGCTGGTTTTTGAAGGGGGATTGTTAGAATGATGGACGTTTTTGGAGGTGTTTTTTACGTACCTCTTTGGAGCCGCGGCCGAAGCCGGAAATGACTTTGCCTTCCATTTTGTAAGGGTAGGGAGATTCGGGGCCGGCTTGGGGGCCGACGATGTCGGGGCGGGACGACATGGTGATGGGTGATGTCGAGTGAGTGAGTGAGTTTGGGATGAGTTGAGTTGAGATGGCTGAAGATGCGGGTGATGAGATGCGCCGGCAGTCCAGGGACACGGAGTTTCCTTGGAAACAATCTCTCAAGGGTTTGAATAGTATCTTCTTTTATGCCGCAGACCCAACGGAACAAGGATGCATCTAACTCTTGAAAAAGAAAGGAAACTCGGTCGGTATATGACTCTTGCAATCGAGGGGCTCTCCGTAATTATGCCTTATCAGCTCGCGCGCGGGATTGCCCTGGAGAAGAGAATGGAGACGGCGTGCGGGCCTCCAGATTGGCGGGGCAGAAGCCAAAGGAAACGGGCAACTTTTTTTTTTTTCCTTCTTCTTCTATTGACGGCGCTTGGGTCTAGTTGATCCAGCTCGGGCTTCGGTGGCGGGGCAAGTCCGGACGCGGGTAAGCGGGTTTTCTATTGCTGTAAGGATTAGGATGCAAGATTGGTGGTGTTGCTGGAGAAGAAAGTCGTGGTTTATGACTCTTTACATTGTAAAAGGGGGGGATCATGGATTCATCAAGAGCAGAATGGGGTGTTTTAAATCACTTTTTTTTTTTTTTAAAGAAATGGTTTTGGAGGTATCATTTGCATATTCATTTCAAAACTACATGTAAGCCGTCAATCTGTTGCTGACCAATGGCCCCAGCAATTCCGGGGCGTCAAAACGCCTTTGCAAATTATTAATCTGCCATCGTCATATTCTGTGTATCATTCTGGTCCCCCTGTTCCTAACAAAATGCGCAATTGACCTGAGCACTGGGGGGGTATTGCAATTCCAATTCCAATTCCGACAATTTCTGAGCTCAACAGTGGCGAGTTCAGACGAAACTCTGCGTATAAAAGAGCGTCAAAGAAGAAAAAAATGAAGACAAAAAAGAACCAGAGAGAGTGGGATGGGTATTGACTCTTCACAGATGCCGCAAAACAAAATGCAGCCCTTTCTGTGACACATGTTGGACTCGCCATTCACTGAGTTTCCTCCTTGGCCTCCTCCTTGGTGGCCTCCCACTCGGTCCGGCCAAGCCTGATGATGTCGCTCTGGCCGAGGATCCAGAACTTGCTGGGCGCCTTACCCTCGTCGGCCAGCTGCGTGGCCCGGATGGCCGCTCGCGCAATCACCTCGGCATCCTGCGCGAAGCTGTCCTTCAACCCGAGGAAGCCCAGCCCCCGCGCAAACGCCATGGCGAGGCCCTCGACGAGGCGCTTCTGCTCGCGCTCGCCCATGATGAGGCCGGGGCGCACAATGATGCCGTGGTCGAACTCGAGCTCCTTGACCGTGGTCTCGACGCCCTTCTTCATCTTGCTGTAGGGCGAGGTGGACGCCAGCAGGCCGTCGGAGCCGACGCTGGAGATGAAGACAAAGGTCTTGACGCCGGCCTGCTTGGCGGCGCGGGCCACCTCGACGTTGAGGTCGTGGTCAATCTTCCATTGGTTCTCGATGCCGCCGGCGGCCGCGCGGGTGGTGCCGATGGCGGAGAAGGCGACGTGCGGCGCGGGCGAGATGCTCGTCAGGGCGGCGGGCCACTTGGTGACGTCGGCGTCGATGATGGAGTTGAGGTTGGGCGATTCGGCGGCGGCGGCCTTGGGGGCGCGGCGGCCGACGGTGTGGACGGGCCTGAAGGGGCCGGTTGCGAGGAGGTTGGAGAGGATGAAGGAGCCTACGAGGCCGGTCGAGCCAAAGACGGCGGCGGAGTGGGGAGCGGCCATTGTTTTGTTTTGAATCTGTTGATGGCGATGGCGATGTGTTGAAGTCAAGTCTGGAGCTATGTGGGAGCTATATGGAGTTGGAGGAGGAGGAGGAGGAGGAGCCAGATGGGGGGAGAGGGCAGCAACCAGCTTGGATTGGGTACTAATCCATCATATATAGTACCCATCTACCTAGGTAGGTACTTTCGTGCCTTGTAAACGATATGCGTAGTACCTATGATGGAATGGAGTTAATAACAAATGCGGCCCGAAACGCCCGAGCTTCTGGAATGATTGGGGGGCCCATGTCTGTGATTGTCCGCCCGCAGGCGAGAATGGGCAACATCTAATCAAGAATTGAACCAACGGCTACCATGTGATACGGCGGACAGAGCGGATAGGAGCGGACTTTTGGAGGTACTACTAAATTGATACGGTAGGTAGCTCTGGTTGTTACGATTGATGTGATTTGCCTGCTTGGTTCTACCTTAGTAGGCATCGATCGTATTAACCTTCTGACGGGGGCGCCGGCACAGGCACATACAGTACGGGATGTTCCGTGACGGACGTGATTTCTGGGTTGACGCTCGAGGCATTGGATCGATGCAGCTGGTGGAGGCGTCGGGGCAATTACGCCGCTGCCCCGTCTGGTGCTTATGATGCTGGTCGAATTGATTGCATGTGATGGATGTCTGGTCCTTTTTGGGGACTGCATGAGCTCGTCAGACTGCAAAGAGCTCACATCAAATGCAATTTCAACCTCCAGGGCTGAGCTACAGCCGAGCTACTTTGATCCATAACGGTCCCCTCCAGGGCATCCGCATACTCGCTAGGCGCCATCGGTGCCCCTCCAACTGCCCTACTGCCAGCCCAGCATTGCCCCTCCATCACTGCTAGGTCCGAAGTGGGCTTGCGACAGCTTCTCTGCCTGCCAGGATTGAAGCTTCAGTTTCCAATCAAAAACTCCGCCATCGTCGCATCGCATCACATCATATGCGCGCAGCCTGATTGTGAACCGAGGAATTACTGTTGCACCGACTCGCATAGCCTCACATCACGCAAAACGAAAAAAACCAAAAGAAAAAAAAAAAAAAACACCTACGCACCTAAACTCCGCCCATCATGGCCACTCAATACGAACGTAAGCTCAGTCAAACCAATCCATCACAACTCCAAGATCTAAAACACAACGCGCAGTCGAACACAATGTCCAGTTCTCCGAATCTCGCCGCGCCGGCCGCCGCGTCGACATGGCCTCCTTCTTCTCCCTCCTCAACCAGCTAGACGAGCCCGCGACGACGCAGAACCCGCACAACAACCCGCACGCCACGCCCACGCCCGTCGACACCGCCGCGCTCTTCCGCCTGCTGCAGAGCCAGATGCAGACGCTGCTGACGACGGCGCCGACGACGGACAACCGCTCGTTCCTCGAGGACCTCATCAGCTCGCTCGAGGAGGACATCCACGACCCGCCCACCCGGCTGCAGGGCGCCAGCCAGGAGTTTGTCGACATGCTGGACCGCGTCAACAGGAAGAGGCTCGACAAGGACGACGACTGCGCCATCTGCAAGGTGCCCTACCTGGAGGACGAGTTTTGCCTTGTCGTGGAGCTGCCGTGCAAGGGGAAGCACCGGTTCGATCTTGAGTGCGTTGGGCCGTGGTTGCGGAGCAAGGGGACTTGTCCCATGTGTCGTGAGGAGATGGGCAGGAAGAAGGAGGTTCCTATTGTGGAAGATGATGAAGAGGAGGATGGCGATATGATGTATGCGTAATGATGTTGGGCATTGTTAGAGTTGGGCGCATTGGTGTTTCTGTTGAACTTTTCATTTTGGGAAGGATGGATTTTATGAAGCCGTGGCTGCTCATGATGTAGAAAGCGAATATTTATGGGTTGCCAGCATTTGGCCCACGCGAAAAAAAAAGGGAAAAACAGATTCACGTCTATTGTTTTCGTCTCGAGATGGCTTATGCCTCCAGGCCCTTGATCACTTCCAACGCCTTGTCAACCCTTTTCTTGGTCTCGGCGCTTGCGTCTGCGCTCAGCTCTTCCAACCTCTTCTTCCAAAAGCTCCATCTCTCCTCATTGAATCCTGACTTGGTTCCCTCAATCAGAGAACCCGGGCCTAGAGCTCGGGTAGCTTGCGCATCAAGCTCGATACTGTTCTTCGTCTCGTTGTACAGCACCTGGCCAGCCTGGGTGAGCCACTCAGACGCAGTGACCAAGTGCGTGTCCCTGGCCTCATCTGTGGGAAACGGCTCTTCCAGCCCGTCGCGAAGCTCCCATAGGGCAAAGTTTGTCCAATCCTGGACGGAGGCGCCGAGGAGGCGGGCGGCGAAGGAGTTGAGGGAGAGCCACTGGGCGATTTTGGCGGCTTGGTCAGGTCGATTATCGAATTCAGGGGATGCTGAAGAAAATCAGCAAATTTGTAGCTAATTGTGTATACATCATTAGGTCGCTAATTAGCAAGAGAAGCTGCAAACCCACCGTTCCACTCTTCTCTCATGACGGCGCCAAAGAGCGGCATGTCGGCCCACAGCTCGTGCTGTGACCCCCAGATCTCGACGCTGCCACTCCGCTTGGCGTTGAGCGCCTTGAGGATCTCGACGAGGCTCCGGAGGCGCGGGTCGTCGAGGGGGAAGCGCTTGGCGACGTCGGCGAGGAGCGTCCACAGCGACCAGAGGAAACTCTCTGCGTCTTCGTTTCGGGGGCACAGCTTGTCGATGCCATCGGCTGCGGTTTCGGGGCTTGTGCTGCGGTTTATGGCGGCGTCGAGGAGGTCAGCGAGCTGGGACTCGGCTTCGGGGGTGAAGTCGTTGCCGGTGACGATGGCTCGGAAGTCGAGGGATGAGGTGGACATGTTTGCTGTGGAGGGAGATTGCGAGGATGTGAGTGTGAGCCGTTGTGCGAGGTGGATTGGTGTAAGTGGGAGTGGTTGTGAAGAGGAACTGTTTGCGGAATCAAGCGCTGAGCTGTGACCGTGGCATGTTTGTAGTTGAAATGTGTGTCACATGGAAGGGGTTTGAAACAATTTGATTCTGTGTAGTCTGCAAATCGACGAGCGACGTCCACGTGTCATTCGTGAGGCCAGCTTGGCAGAGCTCATGACATCTGAGCCATGTACAGTACGGAGTCCAGGCATCACGAACCAACTGCGTCACCGAAATTGATTGCGGCGGGGCAGTGTCTTTGGTTTGGAGGGGCACAAAGTAGCACAAACGAGCTGGAGTTGTATTTACCAAGTCCAACCAACCAATTGACGCACGCCCTCACGGCATCGAGAACCATCAAGGCCCTTGTTCAAAAAACCACCAATTCACATGCGGCAGGTCAGTAACCGTTTCTCATCAATCAACTTCCGTTGCTCTACTGTACACGAACACGAACATCTACGCAATCGTCATCCTCATGCCGCCATTGGCGCACACCACGCTCCCCGTCGTCCACCCGCTCTCCGCCGTGCACAGCATGTCAATCGTGCCCGCAATCTCATCCGCAAACCCGGGCCTCCTCCCGCCCATGCCCTCCCTCACCAGCTTGTCAAACTTGTCCGCCTCGTCGCCCGCCTGCCGCAGCACCTCAGCCTCGCCGTCGTACGCCATCAGCGGCGCCGCATCCACGTAGGGCTGGTTGCGCGTCCAAAACGATGGCCCTGCCGCGGCGTACATGTCGCCCCAGGCCGGGCCCGGGTTGATGGAGTTGACGGTTGCTCGTTCGCTCAGCTCGCGCGCCCACGTGCGCGTCATGACCTCGAGCGCGCCCTTGCTGCCTGCGTAGACGGACTGGCCCAGGTAGCCGATGGACGCCGACACGCTCGACACGTTGACGATGCGGCCGGACCGGTCCGTGGGGAGGTGAGGCGCCACGGCCTGGGTCAGGAGCAGCGGCGCCAGGACGTTGACTGCGTAGATGCGGGTGAACTCGGCCTCGACGATGGGGCCCTTTTCCGGGTCGTTCATGAACTGGTTGGACGAGATGCCGGCGTTGTTGACGAGCATGTCGATCTGGAACTTGCCGTCTGGGTTGTAGCTGTGGAACAAGGTCCGGGCGGCCTCGACGATGGCGGGTGCTGCTGTTGATGCCTGCGCGAGATCTGTCTGGACTGAGTGGCTGTGGATCTTGTGCTTTGATGTGAGCTCCTCGATGAGCTGCCGCGTCATTTCCTTGGACGAGTCCGAGGTAAAGGTGATGAGCACATTGCTGCCCTTGGCCGCAAGCCGCCTGGCCACTGCCACTCCAATACCTAATTGTCTCGTGAATTAGCATGTGCTGGTGGTGAACAAGGCTGGCTACATGAAGCTCATCACATGGTGCAAGGGCTATGTGTAAGCTGGGGGGAACCAACCTCGCGAGGCACCGGTGACGATGGCCAGCTTTCCTTCATACGGTCGTGCCATTTCGAGGATTGTGAGTGAGTTTGATGAGGGATGATGATTTCAAAGAATCAAAGTCCCCTCAAGCATCTGTTTCAACGGGCATCGGGCATCCGTCTGGCGCCCAGCCGAATATATGCCCGTCCATGTAACCGCAACCCCACCAGAAGATGCCCCGCGGCATGTTTCTCCGTCTTGTTTCTCCATAGATTCTCCGCTGCACATGTCGTCATTGGAGCGCATGGAACTCGGTGGGATAGTCAGGCGGGATTCAGTCAGTTGTTTCGTTTGGCAACTTATACTGCTAGATAGTGGGAATGGCTCTTGATGAGTTATGGTTATATAGTCCGAGGTGGCGTCCTTGCCATTCGCTCCAATCAGCGTCCTTCTTCTTCAAAGTGCGCTTACATGATGAGGAAACAGTAGAGCACGAAGAAAGGTACTCCGTTGCCGTTGCTTATAGCTGGTAGATGGCAGCTAATTGACTTTTGTCTCCTCTCAGCCTTTGTCCACTCTTGGAGCGGCTGTATGCTTGATTCATAGTAAACAGTCAGTTTACTCCAGTTACCGCATCGGTAGAAGTCTCAGACCTTCTGCCAGATTAGGCATTGGTGGTGTGGCTCATGTACTGTACATATGGCTACACCTTTTTGCAACACGCTGCAACAACATCACATACACCAACGGGGTTTCTTATTTAAGAAACCTCAAATAACAATAGCCAATGAAACAGAGGGCAAATCAAAGTGGACTCGGTTGCCTATAGGTAGCGCTATATACATGTACTTTTCTGGCCCATGATACCTCGACGTCTTTTGTTGCGGGTTTCACCTTTATGTCAATTTGGAGTTTGTGAGTAGTATTTCCACCTTGACCAACGAGCGTTAATTCGATCTCGATTCATCTGCCCTGTTTTCATCTCACGTTGTCATCTGCACAGTGGCATACAAGAAAGGTGGGTGAGATCTGATAACTTTAAGCTTATATACCTTCTACAAAGATCTTCGTACGTAACAGTTTAATTATTCGCAATTTGTGGTGGTGGTCTAGCGTAGCTTGTTACTTATCCGGCATCTATCCGTCAACTCTGGCTTGAATCCCATCTATTAGCACTCGGTCAGTACCTGGTGGCATACAGCATGGAACCATATCGGATAGGTGCCGGATACATGTACCAGCTGGCGCCAGGTTTAATACAGTGACGGCATGAATACATGTATATATGTAGCGACTATTTACGCAAACTGATAACCCAACAAGCCATTGCGCTATGCTTGATAAGCCGTCTCATCATGAAACTAACTTTTCATCAATACCTTGGATCTTGGAAACGCGACCCCCAACCGCGGCTTACATGGTTCCATCTATAGAATACACTGCTAGGATGTAGAAAGAGAAAGATGCTAATAGGCGGTAGGGGTTTGGGTGGTCGTGGAAGCTTGGCATTGAAATTGTATAAATGCCATGCTTGTTTCATCAAAAAGAGCAAAGTCTTGTCTAACACGAAGCATCGGATTCGTCGTCTGATTCTTCTCCACGAGAACTTGGCTACACGCATGAAACACAATACCTTAACTTCAGAATTTCACGTGTAGCAATCATGGCAGCCGTTTCTTCTTCCCCCAAACCGCACATTCTCATCATCCCCGGAGCATGGTACCCGGCCTCAAACCTGGACACGTTCATCGAGTCGCTAGAAGCCGCAGGGTACTCCGCTGAAGCCTTCTCACTCCTCAGTTTCGACACAGCAGGCGTCTCTGTCCAAGACGACGAAGAACAGGTGAAAGCTTCACTCACATCTCTCGTTGACAATGGAAAAAGCGTCATCATCGTTGCCCATTCGTACGGCGGGTTAGTTGCATCGGGAGTTATCGCCAGCCCGGGTCTAGATAAAAGGACCAGAGAATTACAGGGGTCAAAGGGGGGTGTCGTTGGTATTGTATATCTGGCGGCCATTATACCTGCACAGGACGAGGGGATTCTTCAACTGGTAGGTGGGAAGTGGTTGGAGTACATTGATGATACCAAGGTGAGCTTCGCACTACTGTTACGCCATCCTAATTTTCTCCCTCTTGATACGTTAAAACTCGAATTGCTCAACTTTCTTGTGCTAACAATACATCTTTGTTTGATGTCAGGCTGAAGCGGAATGCCTTCTCTACACGTTCAACCCAACAGAGACCTTCCACCATGACTGCTCAGCCGAATTAGCTAGCAGTGTTACAAAGACCCTACTGCCACACTCTGAACTGGCCTTGAAAACAGCGCCTTCGGCGGTAGGATGGAAAGATGAGGCATATGACGGTCGCCGCGCATACATTCGCTGTCTTCAGGATAAGGCGCTTCCTATTGGCATACAGGAACACTTGGTTGCTCGATCGGAAGTCGAGTGGGTGGTCAAGACTCTGGACTCTTCACACAGCCCGTTTCTGTCGATGCCGGGCGAGTTGACGAGGGTGTTGGAGGAGATTGTAGAAGAGTTTGCAAAGCGTTGAGTGCTGGGGTTAAATGTAGAAGATGCAAGTTTCGCATCAAGACCCCTTATATGTTGAAAGTCGTATACAACGGCATTATTGTTGATGTGTTTCAAAAATCTACATTCTTACGCGCCGCAGAGGCATCCATATGGTCTCTCTCATGGCCGCTGGCTGTGCTCAAGACCCCTGCAAGCCATCATCAGACTCTCCCAGAATGCCTTGCAAGCCTCCCGCGCCGCTGCTGAGAACCACTCACACCACCGTTGCAATATCATCCCGGCCAAGGCTTTGCGATAAAAAAAATGGGAGAATCCCTCTTATTTCCATTGGTCTCGAAATAGGATGTTGTGATGAATTTATTTTTCCAACTTTTAATATCATACAGCAGCTCGAAGTTATGGATTCTAAAAGGCCGCGCGACGACAACTCGGATGGCGAAGCTGGTTCATCGGGCACGGCTGACGTTATAAATAAACATAAACGTCGGAAAACAAATCAAGCAGTTAATCTCTGCCGAGAATGCAAACAACTCGACATCGACGGTCTCTTCCGTAAAGCTTTCGAAGACTTCCAAAGAGCCAGAAAAGGCTTAATCAAGCGCCCTTCAGAACTATACAGCGGGCGAAACGACGGTCCTTTATTCTATGGAGATGCTTTCTTTGCTCATTCGTTTGGCAGTCGTCTATCGGCGAGAGCAACATGCCCTCTGTGTCGCTTCTTTTGGTCCATGAGAATCCAACCGGATAAGCGTCATGCGAAATACAAGCTTCTTGGGTTTTGCAGCAGCGAAAGTTGGATATTTGGCCTCTCCAAGTTGAAAAAGAGTCCAGCTTGGCACAATACGCGAGATACGGTATGGATGGGCGTCATGCCAGATGTTCCGTCTATACCACAGTCTGGTCATGGCGATGGTTGGCTGGACAAAGACATCCCGGCAGTTGGACAAATCTACCTTTTGCAGCCTGATGAGAACGAGGAGGATAGTCCCGCATTATTGGAAGCGCGGCATCTCAGTGACGCAGTCGATTTCACTCTTGCACAGGAGTGGTTCTCGTTTTGCCGAAAGTGGCATTTGAGCTCCTGCAGTCGTCCGAACAAGGGTGATACCATCACTCGAGGGTTTCGTGTAATTGACTGCGAGAAGGATCCGCCGGCGGTAGTGGAAATGCCCTGGGGTGTTGAATATGCCGCACTCAGCTATGTATGGGGCCAGCGGCCGGAAGACTTGGTTGACTGGCCTGCAACAGTCTTCGATGCCGTTGCGGTATCTCGTAAATTGGGATTGAGATACTTGTGGGTTGATCGACTATGCATCAACCAGCTTGATCCTATGGAGAAAGACTATCTCATATCCCGGATGACCACAATTTACGAATATGCTGAGCTCACTATTGTATCAGCTTCTGGGTCTGGAGCAAGCGATGGCCTCCCTGGGGTACGATTAACGCCTCGAGAAAGTCAGCCCAAGATTCTACTAGAGAGTCGGAATCTTCTAGTATCTGGACTCCAAGATCCCCGTCAAGAGATTCTGGCATCCGAGTATTGGACGAGGGGGTGGACATACCAGGAAGGCGTCCTGTCGAATCGGCGTCTAGTATTTACTGACCATCAAATGTATTGGGAGTGTCGCTGCATGGCTGCACATGAGAGTCTCCGGATGCCTCTGGAGCTACTTCACAGAAATCACGTCTCCGCGATGGATGCTACAGATTCGCGCAGGAGAGAGATTCTGCCCAAATACCCAATGGACAACATATGGAGGACTATCTTTTGGGAGGAATATTCAAGAGTGAAACGTCTGGTGGAGATTTGGAGATGGGCAGCCATCAACGAGATGTTATACAGACAGATGAATACCGGCTTGAATACGGATTTCCTGTTCCAAACGAAGCCTCCACCGGGTCACAACTACGATCGTTGAATGACCATATCCGTGCTTTTTCGGCAAGAAAGCTAAGTCATGGTGGAGATTCACTCAAGGCTTTCCTTGGTATCGCCGGTATGTACAGAGACAAGAGACTTTGTATATATCTTGGCATTCCCATGTGGATGGACGATATCTTGGTCGACCTGACGGGCTCTTACATTACATTCGCCCTCTCAGTCTGCTCATGGTACCATCGCAGCGGTACAGAGCACCAAATGTTCATTTCAGAACCCTGTATTCGCAGAACACATCTGCCATCCTGGACATGGGCGGGATGGCAAGGCACAGTATCATGGCGTGCTCCACCGTCCGACGAGCATAGTGTCTTTATGAGCGATCTGATCACTGCCGAGCCATTACAGATCCACTTGGTATGGGCGACAGATTTGTATCTAAGGTCACCATGCGAGCCAGTGTGCTTACGATTACTGAACTTGTACTCTACAGATGTACTAGAGGCAGAAGTTCCTACGCTGCTCGAAGTACGGAACCCCTTAGTATTGAAGTATTCGGAAAGGCACGAGGTCAAAGGAAGCTGGGAATGGAGACGCCTAGCAGGCAGGGCGGGCGAAACACGCCGTTACCAGGCCGAACGACAAGAGTGGGATAAGAAATGGTACCGCATCGCCGGCAGGCTCGCCTGTGTCAGCATGTCCATTTCAATAACAGAAGAGGACTGGACTCGAAAGCACGATACAGGCGAGCTCATCAGTGTGCTCATCTTTGCTGCTCAACGGCCCCGTACAGAGCATGGCCGGGCAAGGTTTTTGACCCTGCAGAGGGTCGAGTCTGATTCGTTTGAGACGAGGTGGGAGAGAGTTGGGACGCTGCAGCTTACCATTCCGGAGGTTGACTTGGATAAGTGCTTTACGAATGAGGAGTTTCTGAGGAGGATTCCGGTGAGAGAGTGGAGAGGTGCAATTGTCATCCAGTAGGGTTTCAAGAGTAAAGCATTATGAAATAGTTGGTCTTGTAATGGACACTATTATAAATTTAGCTGGAGGATAATATCCGTGACAAAGAGTTCAGAGGGATATAACGTCTATAACTTGTAGTGAATTGCAACTCTCTTGATACGTTCTTTGAACCTCCCTGTATCAATCTCTAGGAAACAAATTAAGTTTCTTTCTGCTGAATGGCAATTGCGAGAAGCCACTTGAACATGAAGCTCACGACCGTTACCGAGAAGATGCTTCGTTATTAGACTTGTGGATTTTCAGTTGCACCACTTCTACAGCACTTCTACAGAACTTCCCAACAGTTTTTAGGCCTTGGCAAGCTCATCTAAACCTTGATCCTGAGACATCATCATATCCTGAAGCAGTAGACCATATTAGTATGCGGCTAGATTCGATCGACTCACCCCTTCAAGGGAGGCATACAATAGAGTACAGGAAAAACTTACAAATATTGATACTGGTAGCCACCTTGTTACAAAACAAATAATGCCACTATATGATCCTCTACATACCATTCCGTTTCTATTACTGGCCACGATATCTGGTAGGATAGAACTGACGAGCTCCTGTGTAGAACCTCCTTTGGGACCGAGCTCATTCTTGGCCCACTTGGTGATTGTTTCGAGGATTTTGACATAGTAAGATGTTTCTGGAAGCTCAGGTATCAGCTCATTAGCGTGAAAGAGCGTAGCAACAGTACTGAGCAAGATGGTCATGACACTCACGCCAAAGGGGGGAAGTTCCAAGCGAAGCGTCTCGGAGATGCTGTTGATAGCTGCCTTGGAGGAGGCATAAGTTCCTGTGAGAAGCTGCCGCGTTAATCATGGTGATTACATACTCGTCGTTTGTTTTCGGGCTTAGAAGAGATGTGCAAACGCCACGTAAGATCAGCTGTATTGGGTCACATTACACTTACCAATCCACGGGGTGTTGACTACTGGGCCCACGAAACTCATATTAACCACTCGAACTTTGCTTTTTGATTAATTGGGGAGCAAATGCTTGAACAGTTCTCACCACCCCCCAGACGTTTGCATTATATAAGTTTTGCCCCTTGTCAATGTCCACGTCCATAATTGGCATCGTGTATCCAACCCTGCGTTGTTAACCAACACGTCCAGACAGTGGCCCGCCTCCTCGACTGCTTTTGCAGCCTCCGCAACGGACTTTTTGGATGAAACATCGAGAGTTGTTACAGATACGTTGGGGAGGCTTCTGAGCTCAAAGGGAATTTTAGATGTGTCGCGTGCAGTCGCAAAGATACGGTGGTGTTGTTTTGCGAGAGTGAGGGCGAGGACGGCACCGATGCCGTCGGCGGAGCAGCCAGTGATGAGGATTGTCTGATTCTTGACCATTTCTATGTGAAAATGGCTAAGCCAAATGACAGAGATATACTATATCCGAAAGGAGGATGAAGAGAGGTCGTGATGGAAGGGTGGTAGCGATTCAACAAGTACGGGATTTTCAGCTTTCAATCCTTCCGCTTTCCCGTCACGTTCGCTGTATAGTAGTTACAATAAAAGCAACAAGGAATGCTTTTTTGGCTATAAAAGGTCCTCTACTGAACGTTGGTTCGCAACATGCTATGTACTAACCAAATCTCGCCCATGCCGTGTCATTCCTCTCATTTGTTTGGCATCTAGCGGCTTGATTTTATGGCTATTGACAGGATCAAGCGCTTCTTCGCAATTAAAATTGGGCTTGATTTCATCCTGAGCCTAAAGGATTCGTAGGAGCATGTAGCTTACATGCATACACCCGTTCACGTAACCTTTGTGTGAAGTCAAGGTAGACGAGATCGGCGAGGTAGATCTAGTAATAGCCCCATGTTGGCACACATCCCGATCTCCTGTAAAAACAATTAATACGGTGCCATGAACATCAACCACGTTCATGAGAGTCTCGCACTAGAATCAAAATCTCGGTCTTGGTATACGTGCTCTCGACCTTGTATGATAATTGGGTTGGAGATGGTCCCGCATGTGTAAACCAGAACCAACAACAGAAGACCTATGACGATAAGGATCGACTTGGTTTGTCATCTTCAACTTGCAAATTGTAATAGTTCTTATTATAGCATCTAGCTCAATCCAGAATCTCGCTTTCTTAGGACATTTTAAGGTGAATCGAGCATACAAATGAAGGGAAAAGAAAGAAAGGGAAAATCAGAAGACCATTTTGAGTCGCAATATGCAGCCGCTTCTAAACCATATGTTCAGGATGAACCTCCTGCGTGATGTCAATGTTTCGGACAATTCCATTCGTGCCAACATTTGCCGATTCCGGCATTTCATTCTCTTCCTTGACGCCGCCCTGGATCTGCACCACTCGTGACGAATAGCTGCTCGCATCGTAACTACCGGAGCCCTGTCCGTGGGATACAAAGTGCTTGAGATTTCCCTCTGAAGCAACCTCGTTTTCATAAGTCGACTCTTTGGAGCTTTCTGTGTTGAGATAGTCTTGAGCAAGTCGAGGGCCGCCGCAATGTCTGTTGCTGTCCTTCTCAACGTCTTTGTCGCCTCCTTCACCGTCACCTCTGCCGCTACGGCTTCGGTGAACTTTAGATATAAGCGCTTTCCATGCTCGAGTTTCGGCAATATGCTTCTTGCACACGTTCTTGAAGGCGGGCACGCAGCAGACTATTATAGCGACAGTGTTTTCGACGATGCTGTGCGGAACCACTGGTTAGACAAGATGATCTGACGGTAATTGCCTGCATCACGCACTACTTACATGCAAATAAACAGCTGACTCTCTAGCCAGGTGAGGTCCGGTGTGCCAAGCAATTTAACGCGAGCCCAAAGTGCGATGACACTGGCGATGACTCCCCTATTGCCTCCATATTAGTACATGCACGTGTACTTGTTAGCAATGTTCATGGTTGAGCACCTACATCAAAGCAGTGAAGAAGACGGCGCACAGAGCGATGCGTCTTCTGAGAGGCATGTTGAGCTTCCATAGTACGGGTAATGGTAGTATGAAGATGGCTATGTCTAGGACGACAGCCAATGAGCCCTGAACGGGCCCGAAATAGATGATCTTTCCGGGATTGCCGCTCGTTAAAAGATCTGTCCACGTCTCACCAGGACGTGGACAGGCAAAGGTAAGCTCGAGAACTGTGTTGCTCCAGTAGGTGAGAGTGAGGGCGACCATCAGAACATAGCAGGATATACGGATGGTCCTATTTGCAGCGAATATTTGAAGATAGAGCAACACGATGGCAGCTTTGGCGAAGAAGATGGCGGGACCAAGGAGCATGCCGAATGAAAAGATAAGCTTCATGTATGTTGCAGTGTACCAACACATGGGGACATTCCATTGGTGCCGTGAATACCGAGTCACTGGCGAAAACAAGATCAGCATTTGGTCAGAAAAGCCGCATTGACAGTGTTCATACCTGACAGTATAAGCCCTGTATAGGCAGCATTGAGAACGACAGCGATGATGGCAAAGTCTATGTGAAGATGATCAGCATGCATTACATCGTTGCCCTTGCTCGGTCCTCAAACTTACAGTCTGCTAGCTTCAAGTTCCGCCAATTCATCCACATCCGCGCAGCAAGGAATATTGTCGACCATGTGAGCATGACCGCCGAGACTGCGATAGTAGCTCCCGCAAGCGTTTCAGGGTCGACGAAATTAGGAACAACACCTGGAGGAGGCGGAGATGCAGGGACTTGGCAGAGATCTACGCCTGGGGGTATAGTGAGACTGCTCATTTTGTCTTTTTTTTCCTGGCGCTTTTCTTATACTTCCTTTCCCTTATGCTCCAGCTTCCAGTCGAGGCTTCCTGAGAGCCACCGTTGCGAAGTTGGAATGGTAGTTGTCAGTTATATAAAGGAGCAGACGTAAAGCGGTGGGTGAATCGGCTAGTTCATCTCGAGAATCTGACGGAAAACCAGCTAGAGAAGATATTGGAATGATATCCAGGACGATAATGAGGTGAGTGAGGATGAATAGAGCAAATATAATGGACGTGCAGTCAATTCGCCCCTCCGGAACCGACACATCGAGATCCATCCTCTTTAAATCTCCAAAGAGCATCAGCTAGTCTTTGAAGAGCTACAGCTGATGAACCAAAAAGGTATGAATGAAGAGCTAAAAAATAGCATTGGTGTTGGTTCGATAACAGTGTGGAAGGCGTTTTACGCATTAGTCGATTTAGCCACTCTCGAGATCTCCGAGAGCGTCTATATCTAGGATTCTTTATTACGGGAATCAGTTGAAGCGCTGTATGACAATAGTGACCGAACTCCCCAACTTCGCGGAAATACATGTAGATTCGTATCGTGTTCTTCTTTTACAGTTCACCAGCAATTATTTTGAGAGTTTCATCCCATCGAAGAGTCAAGATGAGAATCTTCTTTATGCCTAGCGCGATCTAACTAAAGCTTCTCATTGTGCTCCATCTCCCTTCTTCGCACGTTGGTGTTGGTGGCTTGGCAAGCTGGAGCGGGGGAATGAATGTTGCATGTTCCGGATTGGAGAAGATGTGGCCAAAGTCAAACCAGGGAAGCAGCCAGTGCGTGGAGGCTCGAAGGGTATCCTGAATCAAAGCTGAAAAATGAATCGCAAAGTATATGAGCGCAAAGAAGAGCAATCTGTCCCTCTCGTAGGCCATGGCCGTGTTACTCGGAGCTGAAGTCATATACACAAGGCCTGTCATCATATCCCTGAGTAACAACAGCAAGGAATGCCACTTATTCGTCTAGACACGATACGTTGAGTTTGAATTTCAACGTTGGACGATCCGCACAGCCTTTTCCATGGCATCAAATCAAGCATCAGACTAACATGGGATGCTCCATATATGATCGTAGGGCGTACGAATCACACATCCGAAATAGCTTCAAGCACAGACCTTGCTGCAGATTCTCCAGCCGGCACACCGGATACGACTTGCTGGTCCATCTAGTCCAACACCAAGCTGATTCAATCAACAAGGTCACGCCGTACATTGATGGGGGCATGAGCCAGAGAGATTCCCGCAACCTAGACGCCTCCAATACGAGAAGAATAGAAATGAATACAAGCCCCTCACATATTCATGCAGGCGACTGTGACTATGGGATTGGCTTCAGCCCAGCCGTGGCGCAGCGGTCCAAAGGTAATCGATCTGTTTAGCGGCACTTGTGATGCATTAGGCTCTTCCCGTGGCCACTTGTTGCGCACTTGTTGCCTCACTGGCTCGTTTTCATCCTTCTGATGGTCAGGGCAATGCTCGGCAGCGGTGGATGAGATCTTCCTCAGGGAGGGGAGCACGGATACCAGACAGACCTGCGTGTAAGTCTGTGCCACATGTGTGCCGGAGTGCCCCGGCGAATCAGATTTCATGCACATGAGTGAGGCTGATGCAGGCTGTGAGGTACAATAAATGGCATGGTTTGTATAGAGAGTCGAGACTGTGGTTGCGAAAGCTTGATTTAGCAGGCGGCTATCGGGGGAGGGTCAAAGACTGCATGAATGGAAGAAAGAATCTATTCGTAACGGAGGTGGTGAGATATGAAAATATCATTATTTTACTAATGTGTTAGGTAAAAGTATATTCAACAACAGAAATCCAATAGCCCCCTAAATAACAAGCTCATTACACGCGTAGGTGATGAGATATGCTTTCTCAGAGGTGCCGTTGCTTCTTTAAACCGACATATAATCAACTCCCTGTGCAGAAAAACAAGATGCCTTCGTCACTAAGGATGCCTTTTGCGAAACATGATGATTGTGCTGCTCCGGGGCACAATGCTCGACCTCCAGGTCATGGATCTTGGTGCTTCAACATCAGGTATCTTGCACTCCCAGTCTTCCAAGATGCGGATCAAGATGAGCTTGGTCACTAGCGAGGCGTAGAAGCGACCGGGGCTGTTTTTGCAGATCATTCTTCATTAGTACAATACAACGCCTCGGCCGTTCTCTTTGAGCAGATCATCCTTGACTCACCAAGCCGCATTTCCAAGTCCCCAAATTGGCCAATCAAGGTTAGCATCGGTAAAATTGGACTCCTTCTGTTCAGGCATATCCGTAGGCCGCTTATGCTGCTGGTGTTGGGCGTTGTCATGCGCAAATCTGAAGCCGTCAAACGTCTGCGGGTCTCTGTATCGCGTGCCGTCTTGCATCATTGCTCGCTGGGGGATACATGCCCAATCGCCCTTGTTGAGGGATGAGCCGTCTTGGAAGGTATACGGGGCGAGAGCCTTGCGCCGGCACGTAACTAAGGGTACCGTACCGTAAGTCAGTATTGTTGGGGATGGCCGTCGTCTTGTGATAGTAATACAGCTGACTTACTGGCATCGAAGTTGCTGTTGCGAACTGATTCCTTGATGAAGCTGTCAAGAAGTGGCAGTCTTTCAACGTCTCTTGAAGAATCCTCCGCATGAAAGCAGTCTCGAATCTCTATAGCCAATGGCTCAAAATACTCAGGATGTAGGCATAGATCTTGAATTGCATATGTTGATGTCTTATCGCAATGTCAGTATATTAAAAGATGTGGCATATAAGGTGGGAACTTATACCATGGCCAGTTGATGAACTGATGCAAACCAAACTGCCATAATCTCGCCCACCATTCTCGCAGGCGTCCAGGGATTTTTGCGAGGCGAGGTTTCAATCAACCATTGCATGCAATCCGTCTAATTGAGTTAGCTATTACACAGCCACGCACAAATTTGCTGAACAATCTTGACTTACAGGTGTCATCTCGTTAGACTGAAGACCTCTAACAGCAAGTCTCTCCTCAACCATCGGTACCAGATAGCGATATAGTGTTTTTGCAGCTTTGTGTCGATTGGTAGCAATAGATGCTATCATGGACCGCATGAACTCGGGAGATATGCGCAAAAGCTCTGCGGTGGAGACAACAGTCTGCGGAAACTCCAAGGCTGCCGATGTGAATTCGGTGTTTTGGGCTATCCCCATATACTTTGTCAGCCTATAGGTACATCTATTTCTATCAATGATAAGAAAGTAAAAGGATGTCATACAGAGCTCTTCGCCAAAAAAGATGAAGCAGTTGACTCTAGTGATGAGTGTCTTCATAAATGGGAATATCCTCATGTGCGCAAAGCCTTTCAAATAGTAGTTAGAGGAGCCATTCAGCAGCCACTTGAAAACGCATTATTGGCTCACCATCTGGCTGGGCATCTCTTAGCCCGGTCTCCAAGGAAGTCTTCACTATACGCTCCAAATCGGGTTGAAATTTGGGAAGGTGAGATGTAAGAAGGCTTCGAAGAGCACGAACAAATCCCGTGCCCTCAATTCCACGCTGGTCTTGCCATTCAAAGCCATACATTGTGTATTTTGGTTGCAAAATCTGCTCATTCAATCAGTCATGATATTCGTAAATCATAAAGTGTTGCCTCGTATACCTCTGTGGCTACTGCATGCAACGACATTTGCTGCAGCGGCGCATCTATGAGCTCTCTGATGAGGTCGGGAGATGTGATGAGAAGATGATTGTTGGATGGGGTGAAAATGACAAAAGCCTTTCCCAGGGCCTATCGTCCGTCAGAATTGTAGTTTTAAGTCAAAGTATGGTGTCGTGAATAGTTGTCACCTTGTTGTATGCACGATCGATGAGTTTGGGACCCGAGACAAGATAGTGTATACCTTGTACGCGTCGATACAATGATACAATGAACTATACATGAAGAGTTTAGTAAATAAGCACCTAAATTACTTGCAAATCAGTCATTTTAACTGACATTGCTAGTCCATTGATACTGAGACACAATCAAGATGGCGACTAGAATGGCGACTTCCAGCAGCTGCTTTTTGGACGCCATCAGCATTGCCAGGCTTGGAACAATAGGATTAATATCCGCAAAGACGGACATCTTGGGACTTCGCTTTTTATTTTTTAAAAAAAAATTGAAAGATAATCGTAGAAAAAGCTGCTAAGAAGGAAGAATTGTAGAGCAGCGTGAGATGCAGACAACTACTTGCAAAAGGGAGCTGTGTTTATAACACGATTGAACTTCATACTAAGACCAATACAATTAGTGTACATATTCCTAGGAAATATCCTAGCACAATCACCTTGAACGGTGTTGTGGGCAAACTTGTCCCTCATGTCATCTACCGCCTTCGCTTCGAGACTATCAACCATCCACACCTACGTAGCGTATCCAAACTGAGGCATCGCCTTGTTGCCCCTTTCTATTATTACACCCTGGGAACTATGATAGGAAGCACTCAAACAAGCATTGCCATACATTGAGTACCAGAAAGTGGAGCATCATGGTAGGTGGCTGCCTGGTCTGCATTGGAATCCTGGCTCATAGACCGACACTATCAAAGACATGTCTTCATATCCGGTATACATTGGCTATTACAGTACTACATCTTTATACGGCGGATATAATTCCATCAAGTTGCCCTTTCTCTCCTATCTCTCATCTCTATATGTTGTTGGCAGCACTCTTCATCTCTGTCCCACAAGCGTAACGGCGAGCACGGCCCAAGTTCATCGGCTGAAGTTGTGACACCGGCACTTTTACCCCATCGATGCCCCCGGGAGAGGCTGCATAAGTGTCGGCTGCATACAGCGCCGGTAGCCTCACACACCATCGGTTCGAAGGCCATCCAGGAAATTGGGGGCTCAGCTCTTCACTTGGCAGACCCAATGGCATCTATCCAACTACCATGCCATGATTTGCGGCTGAGGGGGAGGAGCGTCAACTAGGCAAGGACCCTAGTCATACGTATCAAAAGACTATCTGAGAGATGACGAGAAGAGACGCTTTCCGTAAATTCAGGAGTATATCCCGCTGTCATTGCTGGTTTGGGAATCTGATATTGGCCAGCCCTGTTTGTTTGCTCAACCCCAGCCTAGCGCCTGAGATGGCACGCAGCCCCTGTTCAGCGAGCGATAATCACCACTAGCCGGGTAGCTGGGTCGAGCACACAGGTGTCATATGTAACAGGCATCTATAATTGGGTGTCTAGACGGTGATGGTGGCGTTGCGGCGTTCTACTGCCAAGGAAACGGCTACACTGCTGGTGGTCCGGCCGGGAAGCTTGACCCGTGTGCTTGGGGTCCCTCATAGTCCAAGAGTTGAAAGGATTCCATCTAACTTTGTTACCGGTACGGCGGGCCGAATGTGATTTCGGTTGAGCCTAAAGCGAAAGCAGACTGTGCTGAGGTCCTGAGACTCCCAAAGCCCAACACATCACGCTACTCATTGCACTGGCTCGATAGATCATATTGTTGTTCTTTCATGAGAAGGCCAATGTAGCTCTGATTTATTTATAGGTCTTATTATACATTGACATTAGATGAGATTGCTCTAGGGAGCCTAGGGAATCACTCTTGTGCCTCAGATGGAGTCAGACCATCCGCAAGAATTCCTGTTGGCTCACGAGAACACCTAGACATCAATGATATATATTCTCTATGCATAAGGAACACCAAGTTGCTTAAAATTCAAGACAACGGGCATCAAGTTTGTCGTTTACTTCTTCCAATGGACGTATTTACCAAAGGAGGCGTTTGTAGCGACATTCTAAGACCAAGCCTGAATACAACAGCTCGTGAATATTGATTCATCTTGATGTTTTCCCCCTCTGTAAATATTTCAATAATTCTGGGTGAAATTGGGTAGAAGACAAGTTATAAGAGACAATATGGCTAGACGAAGTACACGTAGATGTGAATTTGTTGGTTAAGTGTGTGTATAGGGTGTGTGAGTGAGACATGCGTGAGCTGCAGTGACACCACGTACCTTTAACATGTCAAGAAGTGCAGTAGTTACCAGTAGAACTACCAACTTAATCCCAATCGACTCTGTATAAACCACATTGAGCGATTGATTCTGCATCAAGATGAATACATGTATGCTGTTATCAATTCTCCTCTGTGCTGCGATTTCCAACACCATGCACAGACTCGTATTGCCCAACCACCTTGATGGTACGTAAACAAACGAGGCTGGCGCATCAATCCTTGTCCGGCCGCAAAACGCATGTCATCATCGCTCTTCTCACCGTCAGACTTCCTGACTTGGCCATCTCTGCATCTTCAATCATCTCGTCAACCAAGCCAAAAACAATGGACGGCCCTGCAAGTAGAAATCGAGACCCTCTAGAGGCCATGGACAGCCACGACGAAACCACCCGCCAATTCTTCTCCCACACGGCCGCCAAGCGTGTCAACACCGACGCCGCCATCGCAAAGGCCCTGCGCCAACAATATCCCAACCTCTCCGTCTCCATCGCCCCGGCAGGCTCGTGCAATCTGCTCGCCTACGCATCAGGCGGCCACGCCTCGTTCACGCCCGTCGGCAGCGACAACGACGATTCTCACGTCCCGTCCTCGCTGTCGTGGAAGGTCTACGTCCCGCCGTCGAGGCGCATGGACGGCGACCTCGGCGTCATCGCAAAGGACGTCTTGTTTGAAAAGTACCTGTTCCAGTGGAAGGACAAGGACTTCATCGTGTACCTCGTCAGTGGCCGCGACGGGACCGGCGCCTACCCCCAACTCACAAACTTCTTTGTGCTCTCGACGCGCGAGGAGCTGGCCGAGCAGCTGATACTCGCCGCCGGGCGGTGGACCAGCGAGCTGCACGAGGAGATTTGGGTGTTTGACAGCGGCTACTGGTCCAAGAGCGCGGAGCTGTACCAGAGCGCGGCGAAGTCGTCGTGGGAGAATGTCATTCTGGATGAGGACATGAAGAAGGCGCTCATCGAGGACCACATGTCCTTCTTCCGGTCGAGGGCTACGTATGCGAGGCTCAAGGTGCCGTGGAAGCGAGGCATCATTTATTACGGCCCGCCTGGAAATGGAAAGACGATTTCTATCAAGGCTACGATGAATATGCTTTACCACCTGAAGCAGCCCGTGACGACCTTGTATGTGAGGTCTCTGAAGTCGGTATGTTTGTCGCTTCATATACTTGTCCATCGCTTTCACATGGAAAACCTGGCTGACAAGAGTATTCGTGACACAGTTCATGGGACCAGAGAGAAGCATCGCTCTTGTGTTTGCCAAGGCGAGAGAGTTTGCCCCCTGCTATCTCGTCTTTGAAGATCTCGACACCATTGTCACCGACGACGTCCGAAGCTATTTCCTAAACGAAGTAGACGGTCTAAAGAGCAACGACGGCATTTTCATGATTGGAAGCACCAACCATCTCGATCGATTAGATCCAGGCATTTCCGTAAGTCGCCCTTGAAACACCGCAACATTGCTTTCATCACACCTAACGCATCGTTTTTAGAAACGCCCTTCTCGCTTTGACAGGAAATACCTCTTCCCAGACCCAGATTTCGACCAACGCGTCGCCTACTGCCGGTTCTGGCAGAAGAAGCTCGCCGACAACAAATCCATCAGCTTCCCCGACAAGCTCTGCACCGCCATCGCAGAAATCACAGGCGAATTTAGCTTCGCCTACATGCAGGAGGCCTTTGTGGCCGCGCTGCTCGCCATTGCGCGCAATGAGCTGCCCGGCGACGGCGACGACGACGACGCTCAGGACGACGCCATGGTTATGACGATGGATTTGGCGGACAACGAGTGGGTCGAGGTGCTGGATCGCCCGGTGGAGGAGAGCCCTGAGCTGGATGAGCTGGCTCTTTGGGTTGAGATCAAGAAGCAGGTTGCCATTCTGCGCGAAGGGATGGAAGAGAAGACTGCATGAGCCTGCTTTTGGGTGTTGGTGTTTGCAGATGACGGGTTCGAGAAGGAAATCATGACGGAACAGACTGTTAATCTCGTGTTATGGAGCAAGCGTGTCACATCAAGTCAAAAGAGAGATATAATCCTACTTTCTTGTTTGTTCAATTTGCCCTAGTATACAGCAATCAATAGCTAAAGGCGTGAGAGTACATGTAAAATGGTCATAACTAATAAGTACATAGAATCATAAGTCTTGCTGCTCCTCAGGTATCCAATATGAATCAGCGAACAAACCAAAAACAAAAGATGAGTTGGTAAATTGACGCCCGGTACCCTGCTCCTCATTTAAATCCGGTACCAAGACAGACAAGCAGATGTGAATGTGAAATATCTAGGGATGTCCAATGGAAAGCAATGCTGTGCGAGTTTCAGCAGGAACACAGCTCGATGCAAATAATCGTCCATCCTCATCAAGTTTGAAACCTGTTTATACGTTAGCGTCCCCCTATCTCGATTTCAGTAGTCACGGTGGCCCTTACATTTCGGGGGAATTGGTTATCTCCTCGAACGTCTGCAAAATATCGAATCCCATGGCCACAAGCGGCTCAAAAGCGTCATCAACAACCTGCATCGGGTTAATATCCTAAGGAAACAAGTCAATGAGAATCGAGGAAAACGTACCCAGCTCAACACCGACTTGTTTGCTTTGTGGCCCTTGTTCTGCCGAAGGCCCATCAAAGCAAGGCCCTGTAGCACCAAAGTCGAAAGAGGAGCAGGAGGAACAATTGGGGCCAGGAGACCGCCAATGTCTTGACCGAGAGACACCAACGGGGGAACATATCTGGCGAGAGGGCTGTTTGGCCTGCAAATGATGATGGTCCCTAGCAGATTTCCTGCTGCATCCTTGGCTCGCACAATGCCACATGCCTTGCTCTCTTCCAACGCGGTTCGGTAGAGTTCGAGAACTTCCGGGTTTGCATGGGTTCGTACATGATGCATTACCGTGTCTCCGCTTTCAAGGCCGTAGATCAGGTCAAAGCTAATGTTGGCTCGCTGGATGCTTTGCGAGAGCCCCTCGGGAGCATACCACGCACTTAAATCTTGGATAACCATGTTTGTGAGTCTTCGTGGGAACTGAGTGTCCCACCCGCTGTTGCTGAACCATTCCTTTGTCGTCGTCACTTCGATATCGAGAGGGATTCCCAGAAATAGAGCAGGGAAGCTTGATCCTAGCTGGACTTTCTTGATGCCTCTCTGCTGCGTTAAGCTCTTCAGTGCTCGGCGATGGAGAGACCGTCCAATCGACAGGTTCCGTTTAGTTGGGTCCACAATGAGGGCTCCAAGGATGCCAACGTTTTGGATGAAATATGTAGCAACGAAGCCGTAAAGGGCCTGTGTGCTACTGTTTCGCACCACGAAATGGGTCTCTTTTACGTTTGGGTTGTCAAGGACAAAGGTATCCGAGGTTGTCGTCTGCAGGTACCGGAAGTCCTGGTCGCTAGCCCTGTGCACCGCCCGAATAAGGTCGTTGAGGCCTTTTCGATCCCGATTGCTATCAAACTCTTCCACCAGCCAATGCTGTCGAGACTTGAGGACTTTCTTGCTCTTTCGGAGGGTTCCCGGCATGGTGCCAACCGGGTTGCTGTCTCCAACCAGCGCTCGGACGAGGGCAGCCATGGCATTCTCCGTAAAGTCGTATGTGCAAATGTAAGTGCCTATGGATTTGTCCATGGCGAAGTCGTATGGAGAGCTCACGGCAACGACAATGAGCTGCTTCTTTTGCCCTCTGCTACGAAGCATGGAGCACATCATGTCAACATGTTTGGTAAATCCAGCCTGATAGAGATTTCTGTTCGCATCTGCCGTAAAAATGATGATACAAGATGCTCTGTTGATAAGGTTCTCGTGTACTACAGAATAGAGTTAGCCAATATCTGAGAATTCCCCCCTCCCCACCTGCTTGACGTATCTCTTACCAGGTCTCACTCCGTTAGCTGTGTAACTTGTGTGCAAAAGCTTCTCATTGCGATATCTCGCAAGCGTTTTGCCAAATTCTCGAAAGACTCCTTCTCCGCTCATTATGGCGCTTCTTTCTCGAATTTGATGACTCCATCTGTCGTGCATGGTGGTGATCATAGATGCATCGTTCTTTGACTCGAGCAAGCTTTTGGTCAGGGATGAGGCAGGCAACGGCTTGACCAAGGGGGTCAGCAACAGGAGCTCCTCGCCGGGATGCATTGAGAGAGAAAGGGGCAGCAGCTTCTCCTTGTCTCGTACAATGGTGATGGAATCATCGTAAGCTCGCCGAGATAAGGCAAGATGAGAGGGACGAATCTGTGAGAGTAGATTGATGCCCGGAGGGTTTAGTGCTTTCGCCCAAGAAGTGCAGGTCGACTTTAGATGAAAGATTCTTCTTAGGGAGGTAAAGATCCTCTCCTTTGTAATAATGCCGTTCTCGTAGCCCAGCTTGAGGCCTTTGATAGCTTCCAACTGAACGTCGTAGGCTCGGCAGAGCAGCACAATATCGCATCCCGCCTCTACGGCCATGACAACACCGTTCTGGACTCCGAGATCTTGGCTCAGAGCTTCCATTTCAAGGCATTCTGAGATGGCAACGCCTTTGAACCCAAGTTCGTTTCGGAGAAGGTCGTCGACAACCTGATCGGACAGACAAGCATGGCTGACATTCATGGAGGGGTTGGAGATGCCACATCCGCCAATGAACATGCCGTCGAGCTTTCCGGAGGAGATGGCGTTTCGAAAGGGCACCAAAGCGCTGAGGCTCAGCTCTTCTAGTGTCTGAGTAATGATGGGGACATCAAGATTGGAGCCAAGAAAGTCGAGGTTTCCATAGGATGGGAAGTGTTTTCCACAAGAGGCCACGCCAGCGTCACGGATTCCACTCAAAGCTGCCAGTCCATACTGGGATACTTCTTGGGGGTCATCACCAGAGGCTCGCACTCCAATGACTTGATAGCGCGCATTGTTAAGAACGTCCAAAACCGGGCCCAGCATGAGGTTGACACCACAGGCTGCGATTTCGGTAGCAGTTGCCTTGTTGACTTCATATGACAACTCAAGGCTGCCAGTGGCTGCAATGGCCATGGCGCTGGGGAACTGGCAGACATAGTCCTCGTCGAACAGACTGTTGACGCCGCCATTTTCTTGATCTACGGCAATGAGAAGCGGCTGTGGATGACCGGAGTTCTTGGCAATCATCTGAAGCTCTTGAACGAGCATTGCAGTGTGATGCGCCGCTAATTGGCCAGTTAGCAAGATGCCCGGATCCACCACAAGAGGTCTATGTAAGTGCGCGAGGAGGAACAGGTATTAAGAATGAATACCAGGCCCATGTAACACGTGAGGATGATGGAGTGTTGAAGGGAGGGGGAATCACGCACATTTCAGGTTCTTGGCCGTCAGAATGATGGAGCCGAGATGGTGATCCTCAATGAGGCTTCTGATTTGGGGCGTGACTTGGGTGCCATCCCAACCCATGAGCAACATCTGCCCTATCGCCCTATATCAAGTAAGATGTGTCAATCATAGTCATTGCAGCTAGCAAGCCAGTAACAAACATGTAGGTCTAGATTCCAAGCAGCCGAAATAGACAGCTACAGCAGCAGCAGCAATGAAGGTCGATGGACAGGATGGAAGGACAGCCGCAAAAAGATCAACAGCAGGGCCACGTACCAATCAAGATTCTGCCATAGCGGATCCAGCTCAAACTTGTCGGCAGAAGAGCCGCTGATGGAGTTGGCCATTGTGGATGAGACGCGAGCCTGTCATCACCTCCAGGACATGGCAAGCGGCGGCGCTGGTGGGCGCAAGGCAAGGCGAGGCGAGTCGAGGAAGCTCAACTCAGAAGCGAGAGAGTCTCGCGACAAGTGACGAGGGTGGGCTGTCTGGCTATACTCGTACGGGGATCACACAGCACACAAAGGGCATTTGCTACGGTACGGCTCAGCTGAAGGGCCCATGTCTCGAGCATCGCTCATGACATGAGGCCGCCGCGGTTGGAAATCCGGCTTAATGTCGGGTAATCAGGAGATAAAACTCGGCGGGGCGCCTCGCGGGTTTCGGAAGTTCGAGGCTCTACCTTAGAGCTACTAAGGTACGGAGTAGACCATCAAGATTACCTGTATGTAGTCGTCAGTTGAGTGCATGTAAGCCGGGGGTGCTGCTAAACGGCTGTCTGCAGTTCTTGGGAACACAGTGGCAACACAGGTCAGTAGTGGCGCTACCAAGTTCTACGGTGGTTGTACAAGCCATTGAATGCCCTCAACTGTCCTCAGCGTGCTACTACAGGTAACTAAACCTTGGCAGCTCGGCGGAGTCGCTCCAGTCCTCATCAACGGTGCTCCATCCGATTCCAGCGGCCGAATTCCAGCAGCTCCTCCAGGATTGGCTTCGTTCAGCGCGTGTTCCCCAAAGTGGGCTGTTGCCGTACTGTGCATGTACCGGACCGTGGGAGTACATTCGCAGGTACCGCAGTATCGCATCGTGCCCTTTGCCTTTTAGCGCATTGCAAGTCAACGTTACATGCCAGCCCAGGCTTGGATCGCCACCCGCACTGCGTTTGTGCCCGTTCCAGCAGCCACTGTAAGTTGGGCCACCTCAGGTAGCAGCGGAACTGGGTACATGTGCATACAACGGCATCTCGTTATAGTGCTAGCATCTGCTATAATTCGCCGTAGCCAAAATGGATGTTGACGACGTTAGTTATGCACGATCAATGAAGAAGATGGACTCGGGCTTTTCAACAACAAGTAAATAAACAATCAAATATTTTTTGACTCCAACGTTTAGTGAAGAAAAAACAAAATAAAGGGCATTCAGCCGGTAAGCGGCCTTCGGGAGAAAGGCAAAAGAAACAAGTAGAACACCAAATAGCTCTCAACCCATTTTCCTAGCACCACGCCCTATCAAGGCGCCACTCACTCCGAGACAGTCCAGTCTGATCCATCTCGTTTCTGCACGTCATAGCCCAAGTACAGCCCACGTACTCCCATAACTCGCCAGATCTTTGCGTGCAACAGCTTCTGAGACCCCCGTCCAGACTCCAGCCGGGCAAGCTCCACCGCGAAGGCACATGGCACCGTGACTTCAACGGATAGGCGAGGATTTTTTTTTCCCTCTCAGGCTGCTTGCTCCATAACCTAGGCGCTTGCTACCATCGGACGCTAATCGGCCTTCAGGTTTCGAAACTCTATGTAGTTACTCGGCCGGATCAAGGGAGTGAGACGAAGGCGTGAGGCGTGAGAGGCGTGTGGTCTGGCGTGTGGTGTTTGTAAATGCCGTATATACATGTACCGGCCTTGCTCCCGGGCGTTGAAGCTGCTTCCTGTTCTGCTATGGAGCCAGTATCAAACGGTGCCGGGACGAGCAGTCCTTCTTCTCCCAGAGCGCCCTTTCTTGAATCTTTGTTTCCACCACATCCTCCGTGAAGCCCGAGAAAATCATCTTTAGCATTCAGAAGATCCTATAAAAGACAAAAACAAAAAGACTTGAACAAAACAAGTCCTTGGCTCACGAGGGAAGCGCCGGAGCAAACATGCCCATAGCACTGTCCCCTCCGTTCCGGCCAAGAAATGGCTTGACCAAGTTCACCAACTGCCGCCTCCTGCGCGGCGATAAGCTGGTCGAGGAGGATCTCTGGGTCAGCTCGCTATCCGGCAAGGTTGTCAACAGCCAGGCTGCCTTTTTCGACGACCTCGTTCTCCCCGACCAGACCATCGACCTCGGCGGCCGCATCGTCTCACCGGGCATGATCGATGTGCAGCTCAACGGCGCATTTGGGTTCAACTTCTCGACGCTGCTCGATGACATGTCACAGTACGGCAAAAAGGTCAAGGAGGTGCAGAAGTTGCTGGTGCAGACGGGCGTCACAGCGTACAATCCCACCATCACCAGCCAGAGGCCAGAACTATACCAGAAGGTGGGTCACCCATGCATATTCCTGCTTGATGGATTGTGTTTATATGTTTTCATATTTCATTGCGGCGGGGGGTTTGCTTTAACCTCGTGTCATTGGCTCGCGCATAAACTGACTCTGGTGGCATTTCCATGTAGGCTCTTCCGTTCCTGGGACCGTCAGGGCACTTGCAGGAGGCCGAAGATGGGGCCGAGTCGCTCGGCGCTCACTGCGAGGGGCCGTTCCTCAGCCCGACCAAGAATGGCGTGCACAACGTCGACGTGTTGATAGAGGCGCAGACGTACGAGGATCTCGAGGCGTGCTACGGCAAGCACAATCTCACGCCTCGCGCCGAGGGCGACAAGATCCCCATCAAGTACATCACGGCGGCGCCGGAGCGCGGCCAGATGATGAAGCTGATCCCGGAGCTCACGGCCAAGGGCATCATCTACTCGGTGGGACACTCCGAGGCGACGTACGAAGAGGCGTCTGAGGCCGTGGGCCAGGGCGCGACCATGATTACGCACCTGTTCAACGCCATGCGTCCTCTGCATCACCGAAACCCAGGCATCTTCGGCGTCCTGGGCATCGCCGAGAGCCTGCCGCGGCCGTACTTTGGCATCATCGCCGACGGCATCCACTTACACCCAACCACCATCAAGATTGCCTTCAACTCACATCCCGACGGATTCATTCTCGTCACCGACGCCATGCACCTTGTCGGACTGCCTGACGGCGCATACCCGTGGACCAACGGTGACACGACGTGCAATATCGTCAAGGTGGGATCCAAGCTGCTGCTGGAGAACTCGAACACCATTGCCGGCAGGTAAGCTCACTCCATCTTATTTCTTTGCCACCTCTTCCGCCCCCAAGCAGCTATCGCAGCACGTACACCGCAGGATGGGTATGCTAACATTAGAGCCAAACCACCCCAGCTCCATCACCCTCCTCGAATGCGTCAACAACTTCCTGCAGTGGACAGGCACCGGAATTCCACACGCGCTCAAGGCCGTCACGGCCACCCCCGCGGCCATGCTGGGCTTGCAGGGAGTCAAAGGATCGCTTGACGCCGGTGCTGACGCTGACCTGGTCATCTTTTCAGAGGCGAAGACGCCCGACCGGCCCAGCACTCTGGTATTGGACGAGGTGTGGAAGTTTGGCACCAGAGTTCACCGCGTCATCCACAATTTGTAGAGGGAAAGGGAAGGTCAATTGACGGAATACTAATTTTGTTGATCCATTGACCGGATTGACGCCGACGGAAGACTGATGAATGAACGAATGAGTCAGCATGCATGCATCTGACAGCTACAGGAATTTTAACACACAACAATAAGCATAACACCAAAACCAAAAAGGACAAAGTTTTTTTTTTTTTACAACTTCTATAGATTGGGGGCTTTTTTTTCTTGGAAATTGCAGGGCGTCATTAGCAGATCGTGTTAGGCAAAGAACATTGAAATATCCTTGATATGAGTAAACATGTAATCAGAAGGGCTGGAGTCTGAGCTGCGATTGGAGCATTGATCAATTGCAATTGGTACGATTGGAGCACCGCTGTGTGTGCAAGGTTAAGGACGCCCATACGGGTGCTTGTGCCTGGGAATGAACACGTCAGGTATTACTCGTCGGGTTTTCAAACCATCTTACGATGTGCACAGCTTTTCCGTGCCAAGTGAGCTTAAATTACCGAGCCGACCCTCCGTCAGCTTCTGCTTGAATGCCGCCGGACCCTTGCCGCTCTGCCTCTGACAGCTCTGGAAATTGCAAAATTGCACCCGCGATCCTGTGACGCTGCGCGTTCGAGGCTCATGACCGCTTGGCGGCATGTTGTGGAGGAGGGCGGGTTGTTTCTGTTAGCAACCAAATCGCACAAAGTAGGTACTCGCACATCCGGGCCAAGCATCAATAGCATTGATCGGGCTGCCTCCTCTTTGGCAGGGCCCTTTGCCCATGGGGAAAATGGCGCCAGACGATGGATGATACCAGACATGGAGGAGGACTGAAGCGAGTGCCGACCAACCGTAGGTTCTTGGCTAGTGCGCGTCCCGTCTTTGCGACCGACCCCGGACTTTTTTGATGAGGAAAGCTGAGAGGATTCCAGGAGTGAGTCGAAGTGGCAAGGTAGGGGTACATGCATGTACTGTCGCACGTCGAGAGTCGAGTTTCGGTGAGGAGAGCTGGAGGTTTACAAAATCAAGTTGATGGTGACAAACAGCCCTGAGATATGGAATAGGAGGATTAAGAGATCAAATGCACGTGGTAATGACTTACAAAGAGATGGATATCAAATTGGCCTGATAGCACCTTGGCGCCAGATAGATAGCTGGCAGTTCCTATCTGCTTTGACGGCGACAATCAGACCAGACGGCAGGCAAAGATAGCAGTGGATACCTGTACGTCCAGCTCTGAGACAGAGATAGGATAGCTGCGCTGATCGAGAGATAACGAGCGGAGCGGCAGCGTCAAATCACGCAGCAGAGATAGGGCTGATGTTTGATGGACTTGATATTGACCTCTTGATCGGAACGTTCCAGCCAGAAAACTGAGGTGGCCATCAGGAACCGCCACGGTGCTCCAGATGGATGTCACCAAGAGCAACGTCGAGGGAAGACAACTCCTCACTTTGGCTTCAATTCTCCCTGCAGTGCGACCGGCTCTAGTGGCTTTTGGGGCATCTCATGGCGGGCAGCCCCGCTGGACCATGGCGCTGCACGCGTTTTACCCCAAAGTCCTGTCCCCGGCTTCTCAACTTGGCTCTAGAGCGTCCTTCGGAGGGTCTCGAGACGCCAGCCCGCGTGCGCTCCACGCTCCACCGCCCCAGGGTCGGCCCAATGGCGATGGACGGGCTGGTGTCAAAGAGTCTGGTCTGGCCGCGGGCATTTTGAATTTTCATTTGAATGCCTGCCTGCGCGCGAGCGACAGCCAGAGCCGGATCCAGAGGGCCTGAGCCAGCGCGAGCCAGCGCGAGCCAAACCGAGCCACTGCCACCCCCCCAGCCAGCGCGGTACCGGTACCTTGTACTGTCCTGTAGTGGTTGCGCCTCAGCACCTCCAGCGGACGCAAGGCTCTGGGACCCCCCCGAAGCAACGTCCGGTTCGGTCCTATCGCTGCTGTCCCGTGCCTGGAAACTCCATCGTCTCCCCATCTTCATCTGCACTGCTTCTCCAGCACCTGCTGCGAACCGGCGTCATCATCGCTGCTGCGAACCGGAAACCCTGGACCTCGGCCTTTGCTCGCCTCTCTCTCCTCCTCGCATCCTCTTCCTCTTCTTCCTCCTCCGGTGCCTTTTGTCTTTGTCTGTGTTCTCGCTCCCCTCCCGGCGAATCTGCGACTCGATGCGTAGGTGCTGGGCTGGATGATGCCATGGCTGCCTTCAACTCCATGCCGGCCATGCCTGCTGCCCCTACGGCGCCCAACGATGCGATGGGGTTGAATCACGGTCCGCCTCCGCCCATGGGAATGGATTCCTTTGATCCCGAACTCAACTTTCACGAGTCTCTACTGTACGTCGAGCCCTTTTGCTGTCCCTTTTCCTTGGGCGTAGGCCGGGGCCCTCTCTACCTGCCGTTCTCACCTCAGCCGTTCTCCCCCCTCCCCCTTGAATTTTGCCACTGACTCTCAGCGATGCACATAGCGACGGCAGCGCGCTGGCACCTCTACCGTTCACGCCTTCGTACGAGTTCGACAACTTCGTCACCACCTTTGAAGATCCTTTTTCTTATTCGTCTCGCCCGTTCGAGCCCATCACCAACCAGGATGCCGCGAACGACGAGGCATCTCCCCAGGAGCTCGACAACAAGCTCCTGGGCTTCTCTGACCCCATCATGCATGCGACCATAGTGGATGAGGCGGGAGCGTTTGCCGACCTGAACATGACGGCGGAGCTATACGGCATGTTCTTCGTCGCCGAGGATGTGTTTGGCGGGGAGAATTCAGGCCGTCCGCTAGAGTTGACGTGCTACCGTCGGAACCTGTGGCAATGCTCAGGGCAAATTACCTTGCCCCGAGCCGTGAACAACGTTATAGATGAACAGGGGCGCCAGACGGCCATTACGGAGCTGTTCGCGTCCATCACGGGCTTGGAATCGATCGAAGGGAAAGCCGCCGAAATCATCACAATACCGTGGAAAGGCGCAAATCCTCAGTTGGAAGAGGCCAAGATCGCATCTGCTCCTCCCAATTTGACTCTTGACCTAAGCATTGGCCGAGAGATTGATGCCAACAGAGTCTCTCTGCCCGTCTCCTGGAAGAGACTGCAATTCAAGCACGCCACCGCTAACAACGGCCGGCGGAAGGGATTGCAGCAGCATTATGTAGTCCAGATCAATCTGCTGGGCAGGACCAAGTCGGGAGAGATTATCAAAATCGCCGAGGCCCAATCCGGCCCGGTCATTGTTCGAGGGCGAAGCCCGCGGAACTTTGACAGTAGAAAGGACGTGCACCTCACCAGTGATAAGAAGCTGGAGAGGAGAAACACAAACAGCACGGACAATCCCACTCCCAAGGCGGAGAGAGACAATTTGCTGGCTTCCCTGCCAAGATACCCATCTGTAAGTGGCAGTCCTAATCAGCACGCCCCCGGCCTTGGCTGGAAGTGTGCTGTTCATACACGAGGTTCTATTTTCGCCATCAGGTTGCTAACGTGACGTACCCAGTCGAATGGAAATGAATGGACCACTCCGCAGGCTGCACCACAGCCCAGCCAGAGTCCGCACCCAGCGAAACGCATGGCTCTGTCTCCTACAGTTTCTCTTCCACCGGTCCCGGCATGGACGACAGAGAACCCCGTGGGCAAAGGCCCTCCTCCGAACCATCGAAATTCCTTCTCACGACCGCCCAATCCCACGGTCCCCATCACCCTATCGCTATCAGAGGACGAAAGGAGCCCCAACAGATCAAGTGCTGAGCTGCAGAGCCCACAGCTATCCAAAGCCTACCCGGCGAATGGCCAAAACGCCAGCAACAGCCCGGCTGAGGAAGCGGATCCTCTCTACGAATACTTTCCCCTTAGTGTTGATGACTGGTAAGATGAGACAACTACAAACATTGCCGGTGTACGATACTGGTATCAGGAGACTAACTCTGTACATATAGGATGCCACCAGTCGATGCTGTATATAGGCCGCACATAGTCCACCACACCATTGCGCCGCCAGAATTCAAGGCCCAGCAGATAGGCCGAAAGGTGAAGCGCTACTTCACCGCCGATTAGAGATCCGATGCCCGGCGTCATATCGCACTCGACAGAACGCAGTGCTACCATTTACGGCGAATTTGCAACGGAGGACATGTTTTTAACGAAATCACGAAGGCTCCATCCGACGGATTGCAGCATTTCATTGTATCATATAGTGCGGAATCTTTCTTCCTATCTTGTCGTTGGGGAGCCCGTGTATTCAAGGGATATCTTTTTTGTTTTAAAGTCGCGGGCTATTTTTCATTATGCGACGACATGACTGGGACACAGCAGGGATCTATATACCCATGGGGCTCTTTCTGGTTCTTGTGTTTTTCTTATTTGTTTCGTTTTTTTCCCCGTTGGTATTTTCTTTTATTCGACTCGTGGGGGGCATGGCTAGTATGAGTGCAAGGGCGAAGAGAAAAAAAATGTAAATCATTCGTTAAAACATCACTGTGTCGATTTCTTGATGATTCATAAAGGGAAATGGTGTGCCTGTTTTGTTATATCTAGGCCTTTGTGTCAGTCCGTCTCGCCTCGAGAGTTTCTGTAATCGCGTTTTGAAGATTTGGCGTGTTCATAATCATCAAAGGGATTAATGAAATGCCCAAAGATGAATCTTGTGCGAGGCCTGATTACATATATCCGAGTATGTAGGCAGATAGCTCTCAAGCACGGGGAAATAGGAAGAAGTTGTATAGCAAAGGGAGCTCCGGATGAAGAGGCTTCAGATCAAGTGACGACTAATCTCTTGATCACACCATTAACGCCGCAATCACCCCAGGAGTGAGGTGAAAAGGGCAAGATTTAAAAGCAAGAAAGAGAAGAAGAAAAAGGAAAACACGAGAATACACATGAATCGCGCAGAAGCACGCTCACATGCGATGAAACGTAGCCGCGATCCAATTTTCTGGGGGGTATCTGTGTCAATTTCCATGTCCAGGACCCTCAAGGTTCCCGCTTTTTAGCTGGGCAGCATTGCCGGGCGATTTTGTAGCTGGATGCATTGCATCGGACACTTTTTTGTTTTTGTTCCGTGATGGATGGAACTAGTAGTAGGTATACATTTCGAAATCGGGAGATGGTATGGCATGATGTTTGGCGAAATGTTTCGATGGCAGCGTAGCACTCGTTTGGGGGCTTCAATCTTCTTGTTTGTTGTCTCGGCTGGTTGCGAGCGTTGTATATTGGATGGATGCTTTGCATCGTTGTATTGCAGATGATTGCTTACATGACCTTTGTGGACGCGTTTCCGGCTGCGTTGGATGCTACCCTGGCTGCAATTGTCAGACGCCAGAGTCGTATCGACAGATTTTGTCAAGGGAGAGAAAGAGGCAATAGGAAAACTCTGTTTTTGGAGTTTGTTTCTCATCGAGTTGGTTCAAGGCTGCCAAATACGTAGTGTGATCATCATTCTCGCTTCGGATGGACGGCAGAGTATCCACATATAGCGCGTGTGCCAGTTTTCGGTCCGGTTTATGTATGTATGTATGCCGAGCTTTCAGACACACAAATCCTATTTATTAGCTATGAGAAACAGAAAAAAGGACAACTGATGAAGGAGACGGGATGGAGAGAGTAACGTAGCAGTTCTTATGAGACATCACTTGGGGGAGACTGTTCCAGACTTTTGATGAAGGAGACGGGTTTAGAGTGAAATCACGACATTTTGATATCTATCGGAGTGATGACCGTGGGAACCACCCTCGGACTGTACGGCAAAGAAGGGAAAGCCGTTGTTGGCAACCACCAGCGTCATCTTGACCAAGGCTCCGAAAAGAAGAGGAGAAAGGCAACGATCCACGTTACGCATGTAGCATTGCAAAGAAAAAGCCCACGCGGTTCAAGGAAGCATCTGCAATACCATCCCCACGACGCAAAACGAAACAAAGAAAAGAACAAATCTGAAAAAAAACGCAACAGAACGAGTCTTAAGACCCGCCAGCAAATCAACAGCACCCGCACCTCAAATCAACATCCCTCCCCACGCACCCGCTCCCCGAATAAGACAAAAGCATCCCCAATCGTCTCCCCCCACGCATCATCCCAAGTAAAATGGGGGGTCGTCCAAGCATACATCCCCATCCCCATCCCATCGCCAGCTCTTTCTGATGACCAACAGTACCTGTTCCCATCGGCCACACAAAAAATAAGCTTGTATTAACTCATCCCTCCATGTCCCTTCCCCCCAAACTTTCGGGAACACCCCCGGGCCCTTGCCTTGTCCCCCCAAATAATCAACCCAAAAGAAAACCAGCAAATCGGATTCCCAAGCGTGGCCTGGACGGAACAGTAACAGAAAAGAGGATACCAAGGGGGCTGGGGGCGTGGCCACCAACGGGAAATGTCATCTTTTCCCAGCGATGGTAGAGACGGCTTCAGCTAGTTTTGGGACTATTGGTGATAGGGAGGGGGGTGTTGGTGTCTAGCTTGGATTTGCCTAAACGGGGCACTTTGATTGCCTTTTAACCGGTGTTCTATTTTTTGGTTATCAAAGGACGACGACGACGCTTGATTCGGATTTGATGCAAAGTACCTTGGAAGTACCATTGGTCTTGAGTAGACGATCATGTATGACGTGCATGTCTCGGCTGTCAGACTTGAGTGTTGAGCGTTGAGCATGCGGGCGTGCCACCCTGGAGCCCAATGACGATAAATGTCTTAACACACATACTTACAGAAGAAAAGCACATGATAACGTGATGGAAGGATAATAGGTTGACAGACAGACAACTGTCAATGTCTCTTAGGTCTTTTGGTATTTTTACATCTTTTTGCTAACCCTTTTTTGTATTTCTGTGTGCGTGGTATATATATACATCATTCCAAGGCTCCCATTCGAAAACCCAAAAAGCGTCCAAGATCCTACGTGTGAATAACGAGAGAATAATAAAGCGAGAGCCAACCAATTCTAAAACTCCATGATTTCGTGTTCAATCCTTTTTTGCCGTCTAAGCAGTAATGGCACTCTGCTGAACAGCCTGCTGCTCAGGGTTCGGGGTCAGCCTGTCGGTGAGGTGGGGCTCAGGGATGCGGGAGGCCATGCGGTCCGGGACCAGGTCCGGCGACACGGAGCGGATGGGGTACTCGGTGGCCGGAGTGGCCCGGAGAAGACGAGAGGTGGTGGGCTGGGGAGCGTGGATGGTAGGGGAGGAGACCTCTTCCACCTTGGTCTGGGGGATGGGGCCGTTGCCAGTGCGGACCTTGGACGGCAGGATCTGCTCGAATCCGGCGTCCATGGCCACCTTTTCAATGCTCTTGAAGTACTATACCGAGTTCCAAGTCAGCACATGTTTGTATATATAAGATGAGATGAGAGACGGCCCCTTACCTTGACAGTCTTGACCTTGAGCTCGGCAGTGGCATCCTCATCCACCACAATCATGGGGTGAGGGTGAAGCTGCAAGCTGGACAGGGTCCACATGTGGTTGACACCCTCCTCGATGCACTTCTGCAGAGCAAGCGACTTGCGCTGGCCCAGGATGATGACGACAACCTCGCGGGCCTCGAGCACGGTCTGGACACCGACGGTCAAGGCCATGCGGGGCACCTTGCTGATGTCGTTGTCAAAGAAGCGAGAGTTGGCCAGGATGGTGTCATAGGCAAGAGTCTTGACACGGGTACGGCTGGCCAAGCTGGAGCCGGGCTCGTTGAAGGCAATGTGGCCGTCCTCACCAATACCGGCGAGGAAGAGGTCAATGCCGCCAGCCCTCTTGATGGCATCCTCATAAGCGACGCACTCGGCTTCCAGGCTGGGAGCGTTGCCGTTGAGGATGTGCACGTTGGAGGGGTGGATGTTTACGTGGGAGAAGAAGTTCTTCCACATAAAGGTGTGGTAAGACTCGGAGTGGTCGCGGGGAATGCCCACGTACTCATCCATGTTGAAGGTGATGACATTTTCAAATGAGACCTAGCACGATTCCATTTAGCTACTTGGGGTTTTCAAGAAGCTTTAGATGCTGCAATTTTTTTTTTTTTTTTTTTTTTTTTGCTTACCAGACCGGCCTTGTACTTCTCAACCAAGATCTTGTACACGCCTAGAGGGCTGGAGCCAGTGGGCAGGCCGAGCACGAAGGGATTCTCGGCAGAGGGGTGGAAGGTGTTGATACGGTCGATGATGTAGTTTGCGACATAGGCGCTGGCGCCGTTGGCATCGTCACGGATAATCAAACGCATCTTGATGACTGGGAGAGAGAGGGGAGAGGACTAGTGTGTGGGGGAGAGTAATAAAAGATGTGGTGAGTGTGTTATGAGGAGGGGGAGAAATGGATATACAGGCTTCTCCGGGGAGGTCGGAGCAAGAGGAGATTTTGATTGCAGTATCAGGAAGAAGGATAAGAAAGAATTCTTGGACTTTGTTGGATTTAGAGAGGGAGGAAAAGAAGAAACTTTTTCTAAGAGAAAAGAGGGAGGGCAGGACTACGGCTCCCATGGCTTAAGAGAGAGCCCAGTTTGTATGAGGGGAGGAGGGGCGCCCCTTCGAGTGAGCGACATGCAACTCTGCCAAAAAGCCGCCCCATGTTCCTGAATCGGAAGAGCGCTTAAGACACCAAGACACATCGCTGGGTACCCTACGAGTATAGGTAACTGGGCCATTGGCGAACACACATGGGCCAAAATAACAGCCCGTACATACAGAGTTACAGCCCAACGACGGAGACTGCGGGAAGAGCGCTCTGGGGGGCGTGTTTGTTTCTGGGCCACTCCAAGGTGAGGTGACGGGCTTGTACTGCACTAACATCGAAAGTCGCAGCGGCAAACTAGGACGCTTTGGAGGTGCCATGTGAGCGGCGCTGGGAATGTTAGTGGGCCGGGCGATTCTGAATGATGTCGGTTTGGGTGTGAGAGAAAAAAAAATTTGGTTCGATGGAACGTCACTGCATGCTTCCATCGGTTGCGCGCCACTTTGGGTCCCCGTAACTGATGGACGTTGGTGGTGGGGAGGGTTTCAGTCTTAGTATCTTGTCTTAATGTTGTCTGTCTAATACGGGCTCCGTTGGAGTTTCGGTATATCCAATGCTTGCCGCGCTCCGTATTCGATTTATGGACACTATACCGTACCCATCACAGCGATAGTGCTCCAATGCGGGTTGTTGCATCGCGGCATTGCAAACGGGGGGGTCCCTTTTTTTTCTTTTCTTCTTCGTGACGTCTATAACGGGCAATCCAGCTCACGCCCGTTTGCCGCTAGGGCAGCCAATCACGAGCCACGCCCGGCTAGACATTCTGCCTTGTAGAACTAACAGTGTCTGTCCAATGTTCTTTCATTACTCCGGCTGGTGGGTTTTCCCATCGCTCAAAGGTCTCATCGATAGTGGCAACTGCCGGATCGGTGGTACGTGACAGAGAATTGACTGAACTACCTGCCTATATCCATACCAGCAGCACGGCAGTACAACGTTTGAGGTTTAGTCTTGGTTGTTCACGATGGATCGGCATCAGGTGAAGAAAGAGTCTCCTTCGGCCAGTCATGAGCGGGGCCATGTTGTCTTGCCTGTCAAACGATGCTCGACGCCGTCTTGTCCAATGTTGCTGCTGGCCGTCTCGTCTCGTGGCTTCAACGTTCCAGAGATGCTAGGCCCAATCAACAACCCCCCTGGCATGTCGAGATTCAACGCTGGCCAGTCATTCACGACTGTGACCCCAGGCCGTCGTGCGACTCGTCTCCTGTTGGCAGACTCTTACCCCATCGTGATGCGAGTATTGTCTCATGTCATCTCGCCTCATCATTCTGATGCTCTCTCGCCTCTGCAATGTGCCCATGCCATGTATCCACGCCCGAGACACCGAGGCAACATTGATATCCGCAACGGGCACCGTAACACAGGCGTTTTGGCGAAGTGGCTTCTTCGTTGTGTGAAGCACGGTGCAGGTAGCACCATCGAGGTTCGTACGCATCTCTATGCGACGCTGGCCGGGTTCATAGATCCATGCCAGAGTCAGATGCCCTCTCTCAGCTGGTGACTGTCATGTTGTTAGCCGAGACGGCTTGCAATATTACTCGCGTTTGCTCAGGCAAAAAGAGCGTCATGTTTCGTTCAGGCATTAACTGTACGAGTAAGCGCTTCCGTGGACGAGGGTTAGACGATCTTATGAATGCACAGATGGGCTTCGGATACAAGATACCGCCGATGCTACGCTGCTCCGTCCGGGAAGCATACTAATATAGTAGGAGGAAAGGTGATGCACATGCTTATCCGGGCGATCCAATGTCGAAATGCCCCAAAGCCCAACTACGGCCGTTAGATGAGGTTGCAACCTGGGCATCATGATTATCCCATCAGGTGCGGCTCGCTATCTACAATCTCTGCATTAACCCAGTGCCCGGGGTTGGCTTGGCCCTGCGAGGACGATATAGGAAGGCGACTGCAGCCGAGGCAGGATTAAAGTTGGGATTGGGAGGACGAGTGTTTCGAGATCGAGGCTTAGCGTTTGTGCTATATGCGATTACCACTTTCTCTTGCTGGACGCATAAGGGACAACCTTGCGGTCACGAGGGTGCATGGATGGACGCACGCCCACAGGCACTCCTTGTTCATGTACGAGCTTCCATTCCTATCGGTCTTATCGCCGGCCGCGAGGCTCACCCCTCTAGCTCTGCCCCAGGTCCGTCCTCACGAAGCTGAGCTCGCGGGAACCAACAGTAACAGTAACAATACCAGAGAGCCTCACAGGTAGCTATGTTGCGAGCAATCGGCTTCTTGGCAGGCTGCGTGCCCCCAAAGAAGGACCCCTAAATGGGGGCAAAAGGTAGAGAGCGAGAGAGAGAGACACACACACATGGGCCGCGCTGAGTGAGTTGGAGACCAATATTGGAGATTGACTGAGTTGGAGAGACATGGGGGTGCATGCACACCTTGGAGTTCCATTGGTGGTTGGGGATTAACTTGCGCCACAGGGAGATTTCCATGGGCTGCATGTACTTTGTACTATCGAACGAACTGTCCCCGTAGCACGACAGACAGACTGACTGACGGGCCCGGAAATCACTAGGATTCCATGTTGATTGGCATGAAATGGATGCGGTGGATTCGATTCGATTGCTGTGCGGAGTTGTGGCTGGTGGGCTGGTACCCGCCACTAATGGTACTATAGGTAGGTTGGGATTCATGGATTGATGGCCCGCAGCAGCTCACATTGCGTTGGATCCAATTTGACTGATCATCATTTGATTGATTGATTGATTAAATTACAGTGATTGGATTGGATTGAGTCCTTCATGTACATGGACACTTCCGTTGAGCCGCCCAGCAGATGAGATTCCGCCGTATTCCCTGTACCTGTACCTGTACCTGTACCTGTACCTGTGCCTGTACCTGTACTTCATGTTGTACGCACTCCGCGCCGTTGCATCTCTGCAATTTCAGGCCATCAGCACGCCTCCAAATCGCCGGACCCAATGGCAAAATTTCCCGGCCAGCTGGGCCAGCCCCCCCTGTCCATCCCGCGCCTAGTCGCCGTCAAAAAACCTCCACGCTACCAACTCTCCACCGCAACGTTACAACACCACAAAAAACCTCCCGTCTCAACTGCTCGACTCGACTCGACTCGAGTATCCAACAGCCCGTATCCTTTTTTGCGTTGCCTCTTTGCAGAGTCTTGGCCTTGCCCATCCCATCCCATCCCATCCCATCCCATCCCATGCGGCGCCACACCTTCTGCTCCTCTCCACCCGACTAACGGCTCCCCCCTTGGCCGGCCCCCTGGAATGGAAGCGTCGCCCGCACCCAGAAGCCCTCCTTTTTACGAGTACCAAGGTTGATCTCGTCGAACGTCCCATTCCCTTTGGGCCGCCTCCATTGTCGCATGCGCTGCCGTGCCAAATACGGGCAAGTATGGGGTACCAGTACACGCGCCACTGCGCCGTTGACTTGCTTCGTATTGCAGCTGTCTGGCGAGTGAGCGCGTGCCCTGCGATAATTGTTGCTTCCAGACAGCAAGGCGCGATGTGACCCCCATCCCGTCCGTTGAACTTGTGCCTCCTTTGCTTCGCCCTTTCGCAGCATCAATACCTTATACGAGTACCTATCTACTGTCTGCTACGGCTACTCGTACAAGTACCTGATCTTCTGCCCAGTGCGTTGCGTGCCCGCTGAAAGCCAGCCCAGCCATTGACGGCTCCACCGTGCCGTGCGACGTTATTTTGGCTTCCATTGTCTCTGGTCCGGCGAACAAGCTCTCGGCAGTCTGCATACGAGAAAAGCTCCATCTAGCCTCAGATCGCCTTGTCAGTCGCGCAAGCACGGGGCATGCCCTGTAACCTTTCGAGGCACACGCCTTCTGCTGACTGACCTGCCACCATACATACATAACATTACATTGGATTGGCAAGGCCCGTTTAGCTGGTTACCTTTCTGTCGCTCACCTTGTTGTGGCCATCCGGACGCTGCCATTCGCCGGCCCTCCGCATATCCATCCGACAACTCGAGGGAGACCTAACCACCTATACGGACTGCTCCGTGCCCAACCCTCGACCTGGCTGGACTGGACGACCGCATCTCTCTTCCCCATGCGACCCTCTCTCGACCCTCTTTCTTCTCCCCATTGCCAGCTGTGAGGTGGCCGTTGCCCGAGATTGCATCAGCACGGGGCAGGTTCCATTCCACTTCCCCTTCCATCGCTTCTTTTTACTAGCTTCTCTCCCTCGCTGCCTTCTGTTGGTCCACGGCCTTCTGTTGTTGTTGTTGCTCTTGCTGCTGCTACAGATCCATCAGTCCCGCGCCCCCCGAGTCGTGCCTGTCGATCGGGTTCCAGGCCTGACCTCGTGTTTGGACGCCTTGTCTTGCATTTACCAAGCAAAAGATACGGGCAAACGTCGCTTTCCCCCCTTGTTGGCGTGGCAGAGTACGGACCGGCTGTGTACCTCGATTGTTCGGCGCTTCTTTTGCCGCGATCCTACCTCCACCATCACCCTCGTTACTTTCTGGCTGGTGACCTTTGCTTATACCACATCCTTGATGCCCTACAGTCTCCATACTTTCCTATATCAGCCTCATCTCGCCCTAACCTCATCCGACTATCTTGTTCCTTTCGCCTCTTTTCTCCTTTGCCTTGCCCATTCACGCTAGGTCCTTATAATATCTTCCAGCAATGTCACAGTTCCGGAAAGCGTTCATGGCCGCCGTCGTCAAAAGCTTGCTTCGGGGCAAGTCCCTGATACAGGCCATCTTGGCCTTTTGGTTGTCGGGGAACAAGAAGAGCAAGGAAACAGACGGCCAGAAGAAGACTCTCCAGCAGTTCCTAAAGGATGCCGAGGCCGCACTGGTCGGCCCCATCAGCGGTGATGGCCTGCAGGAGATTTCGATGAACTTGAAGAAGCAGATTCTGGAGGGGCTCAACGCGGATTTGCAGTGCATGCTGCCCTCATACAGCCACCAACTGCCATCAGGGTCCGAAAGTGGGCAATACTTGGCCTTGGACGTGGGAGGATCGACACTGAGAGTTGCCTTGGTTGAACTGCGAGGACGCGGGACGGAATCTGGAAGTGCCACTGAGATTGTGAGCATTCAAAATTACAAAATCACCAAGGAAGTCAAGGATCTCGAGGGAATGGCCTTTTTCGAGTGGATGGCCGCGCGTATTACCGAAACCATCCAAGGTACGCTCAACAGACAACACAGCGCCGAGGATCCCCTGCCTCTTTCTTTGGCGTGGAGTTTCCCCATCGAGTGAGTCCCCTCGTTCCTTTTTTTTTGGATCGATTTGTGCCTAAGACTGACATTAAAAAAAAAAGGCAAACGTCTCTTGGTGGCGGCAGACTTGCAGCGATGGGTAAGGGCTTCTTGGCCGATATTGGCCTCGTTGGACAAGACCTAGGAGACATCGTCAAGACCGCATGCAAGAACCAAAACCTCCACGTCGAGCTCAAGACCATTCTGAATGATTCAAGCGCCTGCTTGCTATCACGAGCGTACTCTCACTCGTCGACACGATTTGGCCTCATCCTGGGCACCGGTGTCAACATCGCTGCCTATCTGCCCGTCTCATCCATCGGCCGAGTGAAATTCGGCGAGCGGCCAGCCGGCTGGTTCGATGAAGCGTCTCACGTTATTGTCAACACAGAGCTCGGCATGTTTGGATCCAAGATCTTGCCCCTGACTCGATGGGACCGACAGCTGCTCAAGGAGCACCCCAGACCCGACTTCCAGCCCTTGGAGTACATGACTAGCGGCATGTACCTTGGCGAGATTGTCCGGTTGATCTTGGTGGAGGCCATTCAGACGACTGGTCTTCTGGGCGGCGTCGTCCCGCCTGCTTTGACCGAGCTTTATTCTCTCGGCACCGAAGTCGTCTCCTTAATAGAGGGGTAAGTCGCCTTTGCGTTGGATTGATGATTTGTCAGCCTGTAGCAAAACTAACATGTTTTACCCATCTAGTGACACCACCACGGACCTATCACAGGCTATCAGCATCTTTACTGAAAAGTACCCTTCGGCTCACACTCCCAGCGTTGTTGACATGAGCGCCATCAAGGCCATTGCATCATTCGTTTCTGTGCGTTCAAGCGCATTGATCGCCTCCGCCGTCTACGCCCTCTGGGATATTCGCCTGGAAGGTGATGAAAAGTTTCTGTCAACCCTTTCTGAGTCCTCTCCCCTTCGATCCAAGGTTGAAGACGACATCAAGATGGAGAAGACCACCGTTGCGTTCAACGGCAGTGTCATTGAGCACTACCCAGGCTACTTGGCTAGTTGCCAACGATACATCAACGAATTGATGGAAGGCAACTCATCCGGTCTGCCAAAGTTCATTGAGCTTGTTTCTGCCAAGGAGAGCTCATTGACGGGAGCTGCCGTAGCATTGGCGTGCGTCGACTCATGAAAGAAGAATAAAACCAACAAAAACCGAAGACCAAACCTTCTTTTCGTGCTTGTCTAAGAGAATGTGTGTGCGTGTGTACGCAAAGACATGATACCTGGGATGATGTGTTATGTTTACTGGGATATACGGGGTATGCGAAGGTGATGCATACGTAGAGGCGCCGGTTTCAGCATTGCTTCTTTCTATCTGGCGCCACTGCCGGGGTTTTATTTTATTGTTTACTTTTTTTTTTTTTTTCACTACACACTCTTATTCACCGTTTTCATTTCTCAGTTGTATGTCTTTGATTCCTTGTAATTTTCTGCTTCTGTTCTTTTCTTTTTTCTTTTCTTTCTTTTGTCTTTGTGGGCAATGGTTATAGTCTGGAGCATTTGACGGTACGCTGCTGCAAAGAGCGAATGTTGCGTCATGTAGATTCAAACAGCAACAACATGTATATATTGCATTGCATGTCCTGGATCAAAAGAAAAGCATTACATTATAAGCTTGACCACTATGTCCGTGACTGTCACTGTTTAATCTGTGTGGTTTTTTTTCCCTCTCTTTTTTTTCTAGATAAAGGTGAGGTATGAAGTCCCGTCTCGAGAGATGTTGACAATGTCACTGCTCACGCACCGTGGGAAGTCTGGCGATTGGTGCTTGATGAAGAATGACGTTGGGCCTATGAAAAGCAACCTGACATGTGTTGTTTGACGTGCCTCCCGCGTTGCTGCTATTTTGAGAGCTGTCGATGGGCGTGCAAAGTGGATGCTCCGTGGCTTGGGCGCGCCAAAGTAACGATACAACTCTCAGGGTCCCTCATCAGCCCGCATTTTGCGTAAAGTGCAAAGTACCGTGTACCCCGTCAAAGTCATGTGACAGCCTGCCTTCTTCGCGTAAAGAGGCTAAGGAGCGCGTCTGGCCACAAACAAAGGCAAAGGCGTCGAGCTACGTCAATCTTTCACGATCATCTTTTTCTTCTTCCCTCTCCTTGCTCTGCTTTGTCAAATAGCGTCTTTTGCGGCGCTTTTCGGAGACGTTCAACCAGAGCCCTTTGCTTCTTTTTGAATCTCGAGAAAGAAAGAAAGAGTTGCCTCTTGTTTCTTGGGGATTTTTCACAACATGGCTGATGCTGAGGGCATATTCAGCGAATGCTTCGTCGCGTTCGTCCCCAGCGCGCAGCTGGCTCCGAAACTGATCAGCAGTGTACGTGTGCTGCCTACTTGTGGTCCCTACGGCAGACTTGACGCATTCTAATCATCGTCATTGACAGCTCTCGACTATTCTAACGGAGAATGGCGCCACAACGGTCGACTATCGACGCGATGGATCCATACCAATTGACCGAGTCACGCACATCGTCTCCAACACGATTGACTTCCCGCAGTACATCGACTCGCAGGCGTACATGATTCCGGTTGTCAACACGCACTGGATCACCATTTCAATATCTCGGCGGAAGCAAGCGCAAGTACGGCCGTTTTCGCCCGATCCCCGCATGATCTTCTCCGAAGTCGTGGTTACGTGCGCGGATCTGCCGCAGATGGACAAGGAGAGCATCTTGGGAGCGACCATGGCGCTGGGAGGGCAGGAGTCAAAGGACGTGGGCAGGCTGACCACACACGTCTGCGCGCTGTCCATGGACCATCCCAAGGTTGTGTTTGCAATGGGGAAAGCCTGGAAGGGCAAGATAGTTTTGCCGCACTGGTAAGTGTGTCAATGGCGGCTGTGAGGAATTGAAGAAGGCTAAATACCTTTGGCTAGGTTTGATGATTGCTTCAAGTTGGGAAAGAGAATCGACGAGGGTCCCTATCTTCTTCCCGACCCCGAAATTCTGAAAAAAGACGCCGATGAAGAGCTCGACATTCCGTCAAATAACAACTTGGTCGGCGCATCATCAGCGAACCCTGAGTTTATATCTCTGTCTGACGGAAACTCGGCCAGACCGCCTGTTACCGTCTTTCAGGACAAGCTTATCTTGCTCGGTTCCGACCTAAAGATAACACCCCGCCTCGAGAAGGCTTTGAAAGATATCATCGTGTATGGTGGTGGTCGATTGGTGCAGGATGTGGAAGAGTGCACTACCTTGATCTGCCAGTACCGAGACGGCGAGCAGTACGTGAAAGCCTCTCAGGCTTGCAAGGAAGTTGGCAACTTGTCCTGGCTCTATTTCCTCATTGTTCACAACGACTGGACGTCACCCCTGCGTCGCTTACTCCATTACCCCATCCCTAGGAATGGCATCCCAGGGTTCAAGGATCTGCGCATCACCGTGTCCAACTACGGTGGCGAGGCTCGCATCTACCTCGAGAACCTTATCAAGGCTTGCGGCGCCGAATTTACCAAGACTATGAAAGCGGATAACACCCATCTCATTACTGCTCGCAACTCTAGTGAAAAGTGCAAAGCTGCTCCTGAGTGGGGGATCACAGTGGTAAATCACCTCTGGGTTGAAGAATGCTACGCCAAATGCGAAATCCAGCCTGTCAACATTAAAAAGTACAACCACTTCCCTCCTCGGACAAATCTGGGCGAAATCATCGGACAGACCTCTTTCAATGAGTCTCGGCTGAGAGATTTGTTCTACCCCGGGGGTGAGGAGAGCATGTCCCCAAGAGCGAAGAGAAAGAGAAAGATCCTGGAGGCTGCTGAAGACAACGCGTATTCACACGGTCCCGCGGAGGGCGTAGTGATAGGCGAGGTGGCGCACGGAGGGGATTCAGACACCACGCAGGAAGACAATAGCGAAGAGGATATCATTCCTTCAGCTGCTGCTGCAAAGAAGGGTCGGCGTACTGCGCAACAAGTCACGCCAGTAAGATCCCGGCCTGGCAAGGAAAACGTGACGCCGGTTGCCAATTCCAGCGGGGGACGTAGTGCCAAGGCAAAGGCCATGAACATGCTCTCAACAATTGCTCCAGATATTGCGCTCTATGAAAAGGAGAAGAAGAGAAATACCAAGCCAGGAACTCCATTTGGTGGCAAGCGAGCCGCAGAGCTGGCAGAAAAGGAGAAGGCTGGGAGTGCCAAAAAATCAACGAGCCATAGAGATGACGCAGATGACGAAGACCGCCCGGCCAAGAAGTCCCGGCCATCTCTACCTGGCGTCGAAATGCGCGTTATCCTAACGGGGTTTACAAGATGGGTGGGTAACCAAAATAAAGAAGATCAAGATCGGGTGAGTTGCAACTGTTTCCCTCCTTTTGTTTGTTCAATTCCCTTTGTCCCGGCCGATCAGGGCGCATTACTAACAGCATATCTACAGAGAAAACTCCGCGATCTTGGTATTCAAATTGTCCTAGAGGGCCAGCCTTGTGACTACCTAGCCGCGCCGCATGTTGTGAGGACGGTCAAATTCCTGTGTGCCCTGGCCCGCGGCCCTACCGTCATATCCTCTACGTTTATCGAAAAGGTTCTCGAGACTGGTAAGCTTCAGGACGTGGACGACTTTATCCTCAAAGACTCCGAAGCCGAATCCAAGTACGACATTGACCTCGAGAGGTCCGTCAGCAGGGCCAAGGCTCACCGCGGCAAGCTCCTTCGAGGCATTCCCGTCTACTGCACCGACAAGATCAAGAATGGACCCGACAGCTATCGCGCTATAGCGGAAGCCAACGGTGCCACGTTCATGATATATCGCGCACGAAGTGGATCGACCATCAAGCCAACTACTGCAGAGGAAGACAACTTTGCACCTCCCGAGCCGGTCTATCTTCTGAGCGGTTCCACCCCGGAGGAGAAGCAGCTGTGGCCACGCTTCAGGGACATGGCAGAAAAGGGCCATATGGAACCGCGTGTGGTATCGCCTGACTGGCTTCTCGACGTAGCAATGGCACAGCAAGTGCGATTTGACAAGAAGTTTCTGCTCGACACAGAATAGGACATGTGTTTATGCGGAGGAAGTGATGACATATTTGGATGATGCAAGTATATGACGGAGTTTTTGGGAGGGTGGATCGCGGAATCTTGGTCGGTGTTGGACGGTTAATAATAGCCTTGCTGGGGATGGGAGGATAGTATGTCCGGCTGCGGTTTGTAGCCTGTTCCGTACTTGGTCTAGTTGGGTAATTCTCTACTTTAGAAGAATTTGACACCGAGAGAGTCTTCGGAGCCGAAGATTTGAGCTTTTCCCCGTTTGACCAAGATATTCAATGCCTTCATGAGCACTTGGTTGTCCATGCCGTGGAACTCTGCCAAGTCTTGATTAGCACAGGTGCGCTTGGCTGGGTTCGAGTGACGTGATTTTATATGACTAGGAGTCTCTTGGTTCAACTTGCCTGTTCCTCTGGTGTTTTCTCCCTCTGTCAGCTCATACACGGTCAAGACGCTCCCCTTTTGCGCCGTCTCTTCCACAAAGGCCTCGACAAGAGCAGCCCACTCCGCAGGCTTCCGCCAGTACAAAAACACGACATCGCCACTGGCAGCATCAGAAGCAGAAGACGACGAGGCGTCAGCGGCACCGTTGCTGGCGCCGGGGCGGATGAACTCTGCGCGGCCGTCCTTGCGCATGAAGTCGAGAACCTCGCGGATGTCGGGCGGGCTGAGTCGGCGGTCGATGGCGCGGTTGAAGAAGAGGTCGGAGTCTGCGGCGGCGGAGATTGTGATGCGGAAGAGGCGGTGGTGGCGGGCGTAGGCGAGGATGAGGGCGGACCATTTTGTGAGCTGGGCGTGGTGGATGGTGATGTTTGTTTGGCGGGTGAAGAAGGCGGGGAAGAAGTATTCGCGGGGGAAGGGGAACGAGGGGGATGAGGGTTGTTGGGGTTGAAGTTGAGGGGGTGGTGATGTTGTTGTTGTTGTTGTGGTGGCCATTTCGGATTTGTGTTGGAGGAATATGGGAGAGATGAGAGTTGAGGATGTGAATGAGTGAGTGAGTGAGTGAGATGAGATGTGTGCGGTTGGTGGTGTTTTGTTGTGAGGGATTGGATAAGAGCAAAGTGTAAGGCGGGATGACGTTGTGCCACGTGCTGGGGGCTGCCAGGTACGGTATGGGGCTTACCCTGGAGTGGGAATGGGAGGGATAGAATTGGGGAGAATGTGAGGAGTGAGGAGAGCTTTGAGGGTGCAATTATGAAGAAGGAGAAATCCATCTCCTTGTCTGTCATAGGCTATGTTGTTTCATTTCATTTGGAATGCACTCATGACGTATCGGTATCAAAGCGTAGGTGCCCGCTGGTTGACATGATGGATATGTGGAACTGCACTCTTGTGACCATCTTTCCTATCAACTCAATTGCAGTTTCTTTAATGAGAATTTGGGGGTTGACATGTCCATGTTGTTTACGGATCTCAACTTGGACAGGCTATATCTTTATCTATCGGTTGATACTGACACTGACTTGACAGCTCCTGCCTCTGCACAAGGTCCGTTTACTCTCGCTTTCCATCACGCGAGAACTGCCAACGTCAAACGATCTGTCAACGCTCTACACCGGCAACATTCTTTATCATTCTTCCAGTATCACGCTGAAGCCTACCTATACACGGTATTTTACGAACCCATAACCATCCTCGAAATGGAAAATCCTCACGATGCACCCCCACCATGCGAATCACGCGAGTCGGATGGGCCAAGCGAACCAATGGAACTGGATGAACCAAACAGATTCGACTTTGGAGTAGATGGACCTCAAGCAGGCGAGCTCGAAGCAGACGAGCTTGAACAAAATAATGGATTTGATGGGGGCGAGTCTGCTTTCGACATGTCTGCCCTGTAGGACTATGCACGAGAAGAGTCTGGAGCAGACAATCTCGAGGAAAGGAAGGTCGGAGGATTAGACTTCCGAAAAGTTTTTGAAACGGAAGCGGATGACCCAGAAGAAGACGAATCAGAATCGGAAAACTCAGAAACGGAAGACTCAGAAGCGGATGAATCAGTTCCATCATCAGATCTGGTCCCTCAAATTCGACCTCGACGACGTGACGTATATAGTGTAAGGACAAACAATCCTGTATACACCACGTACGTACCTTCCGGCGAACTCGTGATAGGAAAACGTCGCGGACCGGACGGACACCTCACGATCAAGATCAGCCAGCTATATATGCGCTCCAGCACGGTTTATCCCCGAATCCTCTTCGAGAGAAGACATACAGAGAGGGGGTTGATCATTCAACAGGCTTACCCTACCGTAAAGCTATACGGGGGCTTTTTAAGCAAGTTTGTCAATACTAAGATAACGCCCCGCTACTCGCTTGACGAGGATGGCATCTTTTTCGTTCAAGAGCGCATGGTTGGCGTGCTCTGGAGATCGGGATCGTGATGGATCTACTCCCCCTGTCGACGTGGTTCGTGGACTCCCAATACCAGATCTGCCAATGTGACGTGTACAGGGACGGCGCGTGCTCGAAAGAGACGAAAGAGAAACTTGGCAAAATTCGGATCGTCATAGAAGGTTATGGAGCCAAAGTTGAACACCTGGGACGGACGAGACGTATACATGGGTTTTGGAATGGGACAATGGTGCGCACACTTGAAATGGGAATTCGTCTGGTTGGTATAGTTGCGTTTGCTGGAAGGATTTGACATTACGCACCATGAATACCCGGGTGCCATACGCATGAATCCTTTAGGAGAGGCTGTTTAGGAGGCAATGGGTTTTGGGGTACAAGATTTTGGGTATGTAGAGCTCATTGCAGCCTTTGTGATTTCTTGTCTACTTTATGAGTAGATGAGTATAGCGACATTAATAAGTAGCGATGGGCAGCAGCCTAATATGGCTACGCTGTACTGCATTTAGAAGATATACTCACTTGCCAATAGTATACTCTGCGTAGGGATGTCATGAATAATCTCGGCTTGAATCCCAATGCAATAATCTGCCCTTTTTGTGCTCTCTTTGGACGCGCTGAAGTTTGCTGCTGCATATGAAAATTTACAAGAGAGGACCGCCAGCTTTAATCTCCATGAAAGAATTGCAAAAACTGCTAATGTACATAAATTCGTGTCATTGAAAGATAGATGACTTTATGGGAATGATGACGGGTTGTAGTTGAGAACACGCTGCTTTCCCCTCCAGGTTTAGCAGGATTGCCTATGCTGCTCTGTCTTTTCACCTCTTGCAAGTACTTACTTTATTTACTATATTCTACTAACTATAGAGTTAATGTAATATACTCCAAAACATATTCAATTCTATTCACTAATACAAATATATACATCCATCCCTTTGAAATCTCCCTGCCCTATGGCATTAGATCTAGTCCAGGGAATAGGTTCATGTTATCATCACAATTCCCTGTACAGCGCTAGTGCGCGCGTAAACAATAAGCACAGGACTAGCGCGCGCGCAAGATGATCAAGACAATAATAATAGAAAGAGTGGCAGTTTCAACGGTTATAAAACGGTTATACTTGGGTTTATATGTAGCGGGCGATCCGGTGGACGAGCAACAGGGCAACTATCTTGTTTGCCTGATATGGAAAGTATTGCCATAAGATATGGCTAATTGGTAAGATATTATGTGAAAATACCCCGCGAGGTTAACGAGATTAGCGAAAGATTCCATAGCATGCTTATATGGTTGCCCTTAATCCGCGAATTTAAGTTGCTGAAGTTTCCGCAGCAGGAAAGAGGCTATTCCTATGTCAGCCCTGAGATCCAGAACCTAGAAAGCGTCCTTGTTTACCTCTGAATTTAACAGAACTTGAGGGCATCAGTTTGGCAAGCAGCGCTCCTAGGATTTGACCAATTCTATTGTGCACAAGAGAAATAGGCTACAGAGTTATGCACATTCCAAAAGATAATACAATTTATCTCGCATGAATCATTTGGCGCTGAAATACTGCTATATTAATCCTTACATAGCACAACCCAGAATCTTACACCAGACTCCCCAGGTAGTGAATACACATGTAACAAGCATGCTCACATGAATCTGCGCCATAATCCTTTGTGATATATACTCCGCTCGAGTATAATCGCCTTCTCTGCGTTGTTGGGGGAGAGTCGAATCATGTGTCTACGCTTATTCTGTGTTAAACTTAGCTTACCGTATTTACGTTATAAGACTCGGGTATAGGTCCTAATCAGTATAGGATCGGCAGTTACTTGCTCTATACTCCAAGGTGAGACTTCTCATGATTCCATTCACATGAGGGTGAAGGAGAAATTCGCAAAATCTCATCCCCTAATCTAGGAATTATAAATATCGTCGAATGCCGGCCTGTCTCCAAGTCCAGCTGGCTACATTTACGCATCAATCTCAATCAATCCCAAGCCACCATCACTCTATAAATCTCTTAGATCCTTCATGATGAAGACGACAACTCTTCTCTCGGCCACAGTCGCCGCCCTCTCAGCGCTCATCGCTCCCGCTGTTGCTGACTCTCACGCTCAATTTGTCCTCTTCCGTGGCGAGGGCTGCACCGGAAGCACCCTCACGCTGGATGAGTACTTTGGCGATAATGCCGTCTCGTCGCCACTGGGCGAAGGTTTCTCCTCGGCTAGACTCCAGAATCCCGACGGTGGCCATGCGTTTGGAGTCTGCGGTCAGGGCTTTTCATGCGGCGGAGCCCACGTCATCCTCGACACTATCAACTGCTTCCAGCTCCAGCAGGCGAACGGAAACGCGATCCACATCGACAAGACTTGCGTTGACGGTGGTTGCTTCTCATAAGCGCATATTGTTGGAATGGCGCTGAGACTTACAGCGCACCAGCACGAGGGGGCCATCTCTTGACCACAAGTTATGGCGGAAGATGTGAGGGTTTTATAAAAATAGTTAAAAATTGATGCAATCATCTCTTTGCATAAAGTCACTGGCTCGTCATGGTGAAAAGATACCTCTGCACGCACACATACGCAAAGCATAGGACTGCACGTAGAATCCTGATGCAGCCTCATTCGTTTGACTCTCTAGACTGGAATGCCGCGTGTTGTCAACCTTTCGAATTCCGTGATGTAACTGAGACTTGATAGGGTAGCTTGTAAGAGATACCTTGACTTGCCATTAGGATAGTCGTCGAATGAACGGTGTTGATAAGGAGGTAAGCCCTTGCGGTGTCCTGTTCACACTTAGCTTTTCTCCTCCCTGCCTAATCACAGACATCGGAGATTGTATTACAGATTCATGAATGAATACAGTAGCAATTTTCCACCTAGCGTCATCATATCAACTCTCAAAATGCACAGAAGGGTTAGCCGTTGTGAATAATTTATAGTAGTATTCCTTAGTCTTATAATCATTGTACAATATTCGAAGGGGCTTACGATTACTACTTAAACCAAGAGAGGTGAGGCAGCATGGAGTGGCGAATTAGATCTCTAATGATTCGGTTACGGCCGTTTGGTGTAAAAGCAAACCAAACAAGCTATTAGAGCGTGCATATCACTTTAAAGCAGCTTATATTTGCTCAATATCCTCTGAAAGCCAGGCCAGCTGGTAGTAAAATACGCCTGCATCGTAACTTTAGATCACGCCTGAGCGACATTGACGCCCAAGCCGTTAGATTGAATCCCCTCCTCAATATTCAAAGAATTTTCACTTTGTCCCTAGCAGTTCACTGCCAAGGCTGAAGAACGGCATGCTGATATTGAGCCTGGGATCAGAGAGAGATCGGCTACCAGGGTGCCAAAAAAGGCTGTAGAGGCTCAATGGTATAAAATAGTCTTGAGTTTTGAATGACATTCATCGAATTTGCCCCTGGCAGGATCCGTAGGCTTCTTGGTTGGCCCAGCCTTTGACCCAACTGAATTTGTTCACCCATACGTTGGGTAACTCGGAACCTTCTTTGACGGAAGGCTCTGGCTTTACTTGGCTGAAATTCAACTTTGCGTCTAATTCATTAAACTCTTTCTGAAATTCACCTCTGAAATTCACTTCTGATTTTCTGTACTTGATGCATGCTCAAGACGTCCTGGAATTTGTATGTGAGCAAGACTCGATCAAGTTAAATGATGACTTGGGATACATTATTCGTTTCGAGAGCGACCAACAGTGCTAAAAAGAGATAAGATGGTTAGCGGTGGTACCTTTCGAGTCAAGTAGACGTTCAGATAGCTTTCAATTTTGAATTAGCAAGGCAGAAGACTAGCATCATCCTACAAATCCCTCACTACGCAATTTCGAAGCTGCAAGTATTGTTACCGCCCTTCCCCCATCGAGCATCTTTGCCGTATGATACCACAGGCTGCATATGTTATATTTTTGGGGACCGAATATTCTAGGCAAGCAACAAAGAGAAAAACAATCCCAAGCCTACCAACTAGCCAGGGGGGATCCTTAGATCAGTATTGTAAAGTGCTAACAAGTATCAAGTATTGTGCTAGGAAATAACACAAGCAGGATACGAGTGTCTCACGAGACAGTCAGCCACCCTTTATCAATCACAAAATGACCAGAAATCGCATCACATCCGATCGGATCTACCCGTGAAAACGAAACACCCACAATCCCACGGCACCACCATGACATCAAAATCAGCTAATCAACAACAATCTCCCGATCCCCCAGAAATGCCGCACATCAATACCAAAGCCAGCTATTACTCCGTTACTCCGTTTTTCTGTTACATCATTAAACGTACACACTCGAGTATTCACGGTAATAAATGAGACCCATTGAAAATTGAACCAAAAACTTGTTTTTTAAACTCGGAATGTCCCTTATCCTGTCTTTCATGAGTGCCTAAATGATGAGGCCCTATCACTACGCCCCGCCAGGTATCGAACCACAGTAACAAAGAAAAACGATAAGATGAAAAGAAAGGGGGAAAGGAACAATGGTAATGATGAAATAGAAAAACAAAGCAAATAAAGTCCCAAATAGCTCAGTGAAAACCAAAAATAGATAATGAGCACGCGTCCCTGCCATGAAAATACAGTGGTAGCTGGTTCCCTAATCGCCCCTCCTAAATTCCCTCTAGAATATTTTTTTGTGTCCTGCCTTGTTGCATGATAAGTCGTAATGGGGCTAGTTGACTCCTGATACAGATTCTTTCTTATATACACATACATTTCCCAGGTATCAGGGGCCGTCGTTTCTTGTCTGAAAAAGAATAGTCGTCCTCCATTAAACACCTGTTTGCCCAGAAAAAGCAGGAAATAGGGGGAGAAAAATTAGGAAAAAAAAAAGGCATGACAAAAGCCAAATGAAGTGGAGTATCGTAAAAGTAGATTTCGAAATGCAGTTGCGCGTAGTCCTCATTCTCTCTCCCCTCCTCTTGAACAATCATCAGAATCCTTCGTCGTCTGTCATGCTGTCGTAGCCTGTATCTACCTCCATGCCCACTATCCTCTTTGTAACGCCCAGGCATTTGTTGATAATCCTTTCCTGAAGGTCGGGAGGTACACCACAATCTAGTGCCAGTTCGCTGCCCATCCAAAGACGCAGTATGGCGGCTAGTCTCTCCACCAGGGGTGCAAAGTTGTTTGTAGTATCTTTATGGGCTAGAATTTGCTCCAAAACTTCCATGACTGACGTAAAGCTCAACAGCGTCATTCGTGTTTTCGTCGTCAAGTCAACCACCTTTTCGATCGAGGTGCGGACATATTGTTTCTTACTGGCGGACTCGCCACCCAGTCGCTTGAGGTGAGCTGTAGCAACCGCACAGCGAAGGCAAAGCTGAAGGTCGGGATCGGGAACGTCTGATTGAAGAGGAGTCGGGGCCAGGCCGTCAAAAGGATTCGGTTCGGAACAAGTCAGTGCCATGGGGTCCATCAGGCCGTTGCTACCAGTATCGACCCGAAGGACCTGAACGGCAGCAGCAATATTGTCTCCGCGGGATTTATAGGCGAGGACGGAACGGGCCAAGATTGCCCGTGCTCGAGCATTGGAACCCAATGGTGCGACCTTGACGGCCAGGTCCATTACTTCGTCTTCCGGCACCTCCTCAGCACCATACAGTGTTGTCGTCAAAAGGTCGTGCACCTTGGCTGTTGACCACCAGGCGGCGAGAGCATCCATCGGGGAACCAATCGCCGTATCATCGACTACCGAGTCCATGCCATCAATCGGGACCGAGTTGTATGTTGTTTCCTCGTTAAAAGCCAGATTGTGGGCTCGTTGAATGACGGTGGCGGTGAGAACGGCGTCACACTCCTGTTCGACCAAGGCAGCCAGGTGGTCAGGTAAAATGTATCCTGCTTGCTGCATCTCGGAAATCTCGTTTTCTTGTAGGCCATTGATGAGTCTATTATTTAGATCACGAGCTGCGTTCCACTGCCGCTGTGCAACCTTGGTAGCGAAGAAGTTGACCAGACCAAGCTGATACCATTTCTGGCTCAAGTCCCACAAGAGGACTCGAACGTGGAGTGCCTTGAGCATCAGACCGCTAGGGGTATTGGGCACGGTTCCAGATGCCAACAGCGTCAAGATAAGGCGGCTCATGCAAATCTCCGCATCTCCTCCAGTAAGCTGTGCGTCGAGAGCGGTGGCCCAAGCCCGGACGCGGGCCACTTCTTGTTCAGGAGTCAAACCGGTCAACAGGTGATAGGCGTGGATTCCAAAGACGTTGCGAACGCTAAGCTTGAGCGTCTTGAGCATCAGCGCGGCCGCTTCGAGGAAGAAGTTGTGATGAGGCACCCAAACAGTTTGGATTGCAGTCTCCCAAGCGCGGCGACGGACACTGATGGGAGAAGCCAGTGAAGGGGCGGGATGTAAATCAGTGGATTGCTGCTTCTTGGGCTTTCGGTCCATTGCCGAGAACAGCGAAGGGATAAAAACCCACAAAACAAGACCGAAAAGGAGCATGAACTTGATGGAAATGTCGGCTTGATACCCTGCCAACCCTACGTTGAGATGAGATGGCATATGCCTGAGAAGCTGCACGGGTAGTGCAAACAGCCCGCGACCTTGGGGCTCTTCGTTGCTCGTTTCTTCTTCTCGAACCGCTTCCAATATCATCAGGCCGGCGAGCGAGCCAACCATCAGCTTACCAAAATAGGGGCTTGCGCTCCATCCGGGCTGCTGGCCCTGTTGTTGCTCCTGCTGCTGCTGCTGCATCGGTCGAATTTGTTGTTGGCCAACCACGGTCGGATTGGAGCGAAATAGCTGCTGGGGGACGGGATATGGCTGGCCAGGCATCTGGGAGAGGATTCGTTTCATGTCCTCTGGAACATCAATCAGACCAGTGGGCATTCCGCTGGATTCTTGGCCCTGGGCATCCAGCGGGGATTGCGTCATTTGAGACTGTTGCTGTTGCTGTTGCTGTTGCTGTGATTGTTGCTGCGACTGACCGTCCTGAGGATACTGTATCGGCGTGGGCTGTTGCATTGGAGGCATAGAGCCGTTCATAGCCCCAGCCATGAACAGCTTCTCGAAAGCGGCGATTCTCTGGTGCATGGCGCTATTTTCATCCAGCAATCGGTTGTTCCTCTTCTCTAGGTGTCGGATATACTCCGTCGCTTTACTCAAAACCTGCATCATTAGTTAGCCATTGGGGACACGACGCCCCTTGATTCTTTGTTTTCCATGAGAGTGTCGAATGGGATCCCTACAGTCGCTTTGTTGAGCTTGTGTGCGGGTGTGAGACCGTGTAATTCTTCACGGTCCTCGGTTGTGTCCTCTCCCCTGGCGCTCTTACTCATGATGCGCAGGCTGGGGACGCTGTCTCTCAAGGCAGCAATCTTGTCGTTAATGTTGGTCCGGTAGCGCTTCTCAATCATGTTGTGAGCCGT